TCGAAATCTTTATTTTTCAGGAATCATGATGTTTACAAACCAAATCTCTCATTTTCCTACGAAGTATCATTCATATAAATATTTGTAAATAATTTCCACTTTTCCTTTTTTGGAAAATGTTTAAAATTGGATGAACTTCACCAAAAGCTCATGACCAACATGAAAGTCAATGCAAATCTCCAGAAGTTGAAATCAATGAAAAAACGTTAACAGAATTTATTCAATAGAAGCTTCAAATTCTTCATCAGCATTTCCATCATCACTATCATCATTGAATTTACTTGCGTAGATTATTGCATTATTTAGATACTCGTTTATTTTGCATTTTTCTCAACTCCCAACTCGACAAAAAAATGACAACTTGAAATGAGAAAATTTCTTTCTTTATGTTGATGAAAGTTTGTTCATTAATTTTTCATAGTTTTCCTTTCTCCATGACATTTTGCAACAATAACATTTTCTTTTCTACACTCAACTCATAATCATTGTTGTGCTCATCTCTTACTTTTTAACACGATATCAACAGTAGCGTAGTATCATACGTTGGATGACAATCATTTCATAAATATCTGCTTACAACTCCTTCAATGACTCAATTTACAGCGACAAGTCGAAAGTCAAAGTCGAATGAGTGGTTTTGGATGGAAAGAAAGTGTGGTAAAGAGCAAAGCCAAATAAAATTCATGAACATATTTTTCATTTTAAAATCTTCGTTTTGGAAGGAAACAAAACTTAATATTTCTTAAATAATCATTTTATTCATTGACTCACTTTATTTGTAATCCTATTGAGTTGACATGAGCTGTTTGATCCGAAGAAGGATTTTTTTACTTTTCATGTTGGCAGGGAATTACAAGAAGAATTTAATGTAATGTAGTGTACATTCTAGACATTTGTTCTTAAACCAAGGGTTTTGAATTGTTTGAAATAATTGAAAGAAAAAATTAGCAACTAGTGTTAGAAATAAATTTTTAAAATATTTTAGAAGTTTAAGAAGTTCAAGATGATTAAAGAGCAAAAGCAATTCACAGGAAATTCTGTCTTTGAACTTTCTAAATGGTGTGGAGAATTATTTCCAAAAGATTTCATTTTTATTGTCCTTGAACCTCAAGCTAACAAATTTTCGAAATTTTCCATTAGAATAATTTCGAAAACACAAAAAAATTAATTTGTAAATATCAAATATGAGTTAAATTTTCTCAAAATATTGGCATGAGAAAACTTTGTCTAATTCAAAATAAAACTCATCTTAATGAGTTGACAAATTCCTCACTTTAATATAACAATAAATTAGTGTTTGAAATGGAAAGCAAAGGGCTTTCAATATCATTTGATGGAACTTGCTGAAAAGCAATTTTGACGAGGGTTCTAATTTTGAAGGACCTTCTAAAGGTCCAAACTTGGAAAAACAAAATTATAATTGGAGTTTCTCCGAAATTGCAATCATGAAAGATTCTCCAAGGGAAAAATGAAAATTGGTTCATCGCTCCAACATTATTTGCTTCTTCAGAGACAGGCACCTGTTAAGTGTATAAAACCGCAACTCGCCTTAATTAAATACCGAACTTCATAAATTGACCATCATTCATGTTACGCCCATTTTCGTGATCTTGTAAGCTATTAATTGTTACAGTATCATGAGTTATTACATGAGACACTTTTCCTCGAGGGTTGCAAATTGCTTCGTGTTTATTCACGTTTCTCATTTCTGATAAAGCTCCTTTTCCTTTACTTTTGTTTTAAGCGAATGAATTATTGCTATTTTTCATGCTTGTTAACATGATACGAGCGAACGATAAACAAGAAAAAGGAGAAGAAGAAGAGCAAGCGAACAGCAACCAGCACAAAATAAAGAAGAATTTTTATTTATTGCCATCAGTGCAAAGTTTAATTAGCTTGCAAAAAATTTCCTTAAGATTTTTCTCCTACATTTTTTAATGGAGAGTCGAAAGAATTTACTGTTGATGAAAGGTTCTAGTAAGGGTGGTAGAATTATCTTTAATAAAGAGTTTCTCTTGAAAATGGATTGAATTTATAATGTTTCCTGAATAAATATGCAAAGAAATTAACAAGCAGAGATTGAATCGTCACAATAGACAAGAAAATATTTAATGTTTAGGTAAATAAAGAAAAGGACATTTTAGAAAGTTAAGTGCTTAAAATATAGTTGAAACCATATTTGAAGCTCAACGAATTGAATCTTGACCTTTTAACCCTTTTTCCTTCCTTTTCCTAGAAAATGTATGATTTGAATATTGAAATTGAAAGCATAAAAGGATGGATCTACAATGAACCAAAAATTAATATGGAAATAAAATTAAGAGTCAAAGAAAGAAAAAAATAACGACCGCTGGCAATATTGAAGCCTTCTTCACAAGTTTTTTATGGGTTCCAGTTCTATTCATAAACTTTTAGTTGTTTTCATTCCTTTTTAATCTAAAAAAGCAGTTCATAATTTATTGAGTCCAAAAATGTTGTAATTCTCGTCGAAAGCTCACTCAAACATATGATGAAGTGCTTTCATTTTTGAAGGGGCTATTTCGACAATTTATACATAATATTTGTCAAACTTTACCAAACAAAAAATTTGAAAAAATTTATGACATCCAGTTAATTCCAACTTTTTCAAGAACTCTACTCTTTTACATATGCATAAATATATTTGAAAATCTGTGATACTCATAAGCAGGGACTTGACTTGGATTTTTTTTACTTGCCCTGATGACTTGACTTGACTCATTCGAGCAACTTGCCTCAGGGCGAGTGACTTTTCAATCGAGTCAAGCAGGCTTGTAAATGCTAATAATAATCCTCCACAAAAATTCCAGTATCCTAACGCTACTTACATTCATCGAACTGAATGGAAGCAACCAGGAATTATATTCGAATTTCAAATCACAAAAACAAATCGCTTCTGTCATGAATTGAATATTTATTGAATGATATACACTCAAATGCACTGCTGTTATATGATGGTGGCCTACTACGGTGGTTGCACATGAATGTTTTATAAATTCAATATAAATTTGTTTTCCATCGATAACAAGAGAATAGTGACAGTTTTTGTTTGCTTCCATTATTAGAGGAAATAATTGCCGCTCGAACAAACGATTGCCAAATTAATGATAATTGAAAATCGATTAAAATGTAGTTTAGCTTTTATTTTTTACGATGGAAAGTTCAAATGAAATGGAGCTAGGATTTTGGTGAGCTAGTTAAAAATAATTGAAAAGAATAATAACTTTCATAATCGCTTTTTATGCCGCTGCAATAAGTTTTTATCATTTTTATGCATCTTTCATGACTTCTTTCCATTTTTTTAAATGATAATTTTCATAATGTCAAGCATCATGCTTTCTGCACCGCAGAAGGCACAGAGAACTTTTCTTCATCATTTTCCCAACCCCAACAATAAAAAAAGGAAGTCGAAAACGAGATAATTGTTCTGTGTTTTCATTCTCTAATTTAAAATAAAAATCTCATTCGCTATGCCAAAAGTGAATTGAATTATCAACGAATTAAAAAGTTTAACCGAGTTTTCCATTCAATTCGAGATTTGTGCCATCAAAACAATGGGAAGAATCTTTTTTGGTGTGCCTTGGTGACTGTTTGTATGACTCTCAAGTGTATTAGTTGCTCTGCATTTGGTCGATACTGCTTAAGAATGAAGAAGTCATTTAAATATCAGATCACTTGCTTGAGAAAGTTTCTCATTTTTGGTGTGGAAACAATTGTAAAAAAAACAACTGGATAACTTTGATAAAAACTTCTTTTTCCTTTTTTAAAAGAACTCGCTGATTAATTAAGTTGAATTGAAAAGGCTACTTTTATATCTTAATCTTTCTTGTAAAAGATGAAGCATCAAATTCAATAAAGATGAAAGTATCAAAAACAGATATCAATAATTAATTCTAAAGGTATCTAAGAAACCTTCTGAACGATTTTTGAAGATCATCAAGATGATCAATTTAAAATAGATAAAGAATGAGTCATCAAACTTCTTGATTAACAATTTATAAATAATGTCCGTTGTGTTTACCGAGAGTTTCTGTACTTGCCCTAAAAATTTTATCAATTCAACGAGCTTTTTATTAAAACTCGGATATAATAGCCATAGGAACAACCCGCTTACTTTCAACCCGCTTGCTTGCTTAGGCTTGCCTTTTTTTTACCGTTAGCTTGCTTGCTTAGCTTGTGATTTTTTTTCCGTTAGCTTGCTTGCTTAGCTTGCCTTGTTAGTTTTTTTTCGGCTTGTTTTCTCGGCTTGCCTAGGCCTCCAGAATATTTCAGCTTGCTTTTTCGGCTTGCTTTGGTGAGCTGGCTTACCTTGTCCCGTGACTCTACATTGTCCCCACTTCTCTTATTTAATTAAAAAAAAATTTCCAACCGGGATTCGAACCCAGGACCTCTGGCACAAGTTCTTGCACTCGTACCTCGAGGCCAAATCCTTCTTCTCAAACGAATGGCAAATGTCCTATATAAACTATTATTGTTTCCAAGTGAATTTCAAAAAATTTTTCTGACTTCACTGCACTAAGCCAATGAAGCCAATTTCTCATATTTATATGAATGGCAGATTTTCCATATAAAGTTTTAAAGCAGTTGAGACCGAAAAAATTCTATAAAACCTAAACTATAAGGTTTAAGTATAAAGTGTCTTTGGGAAAAATGTTCCTTAAAACTTTCTGCAACTTTTTTTAAGACATTGTATTTCAATAGAGTGACACTAGAGGGCGCTAGAGACGTTTCTTTAACTAATTCGTCTCTATCGCCCTCTGGTGCCATCGTACTGCAATATGATATACCAGAAATAGTTGAAGCACGTTCTAACAAACAACTTTCTCATACATATTTTTGACCTGGAAAGTTGTTGAAAGGCAGTAAGAATTATTATGTTCGATTCACTTGAAATTTCAAATCAACGGACATGCTTCTCACTCTGAAATTCCCAGGTTCAAATCCCAGTGAGTTATTTCTTTTATTTATTTTTTTATTTTTATTTTTCATTTATTTAAGAATNCACCCAAAAAAAAAAAAAAACGAAAAAAAAGGGGTCGATGAAAAGTGACGTCACAAATTGAAGTGGGGACAATGCATAGTCACGGGACACGAAAGCAAGCCGAAAAAGCAAGCTGAAATATCCTGAAGGCCAAGGCAAGCCGAGAAACAAGCTGAGAGATATCCGGATCACAAGCTAAGCAAGCAAGCTGAGAGAAATGTGGCAAGCCAAGCCAAGCCAAGCTGAGAGAGAAAAGAGAGACACAAGCAAGCAAGCAAGCGGGTTGTGGCTATGATAATAGCATTGAAATCAGATATCAAGGAAAAGAAAAATCATATTTCAATGACGGAATCTGCCTTTAACATTTGGAACAAAAACATCCGACACAACATCTAACTCATGAGAATATCTCATTGTCATTTTGCTGCCATCTCAAAAGAATAGAAAATATTACAAGAGATGGAGAAAAATATATCGAGTCGGAAACGATTTCCCCTTCAATGTTCAATCCAGAAATAATTTTTATGATTTCATCAAAATTGATTTTCAGATTTCAGTCGGAAATTTCATTTATTTTCATTCTTTTTGTATTGATTTGGATGGAATGATAAAGGAGTATAGAATTGATTGACAAAAGTTGTTTCCTGGGTTGAGATAGATTCCATGCAATGCACTAGAACTAGTTTCTCTTGGGAAGAAATGAATTTTGCTTAGCTAAACAGAAAATGATATGAGATTTAAATATTGATTCGCAACCCAACTAAATAAATATATTTTTGGAGGCAAATCATTTACGAAAGAAATAAAGAAAGATGGCGAAGGAGAAAGAATAAAATAAATAAATCTCCCCGTCTTTAGCGTGAACCAATAAATCAAATTAAGCACTAGAAGCAAATAAAACAGTTTCTGAGATAGACCCATCTTGCTTTCGAATGCCTCCTTCGCGCCATTTATCTCTTATTTAATGGTTTATCGATAAAAATAATTTCTAAGAAACCGGAAAAAGGAAGCTTTTAAAGTCGTAACGAAAGTAAGGAGACGAAAAGAAGGTCAGGTTCTGTTTACGCTCAATTAATCGACAATTTTAATGTTTATCGTAATGTACATAAGCAGCATGAATACGAAGGTACCGGAGAAAAGGTAATTCAAGCAAATAAATTGAAGCGAAAAAATAATTCGTCTTAATGATTTTTATAAGAAATAAGAAAAAATAAATTGAAAGTTTTTTCAATCTTGAAAGTCAATGAAAAGATCTTCAAAACTTGTTAAATTGTACACTTTCATCTGTGTTTGTATTCTACGCTTCTGAGATGTTTACTGTTAATATACTGTGGAATGAATCTGTCATGAATAATTGAAATTACTTCCACCAACGATTTCATATCCTTAAGCAATACTGAACTGCCTTGTTTTCATTAGATAATTGAAGCTTCTTGAGATACTTCTCAACAACAATAGGGCGACCAAGGGAGAGAATAAAGAAGAAAAGAGAAATTGCAAGATATCTGAAAGCTCACGTTCCAGTTTTCATTTTACATTGGAATCCCTACAGCTGAGATCAATTTTCAAGCATCTCAGTATCATTTTATGTCCAATTCGTGAAACGTCGTACAGAGCGATGTTATCTGCTTTCATCACCGCACCCATTTTCTCGTTTCTTACGAAATATTCCTTTGCAAATTTTTCACAAATGTTGACAAAATATTATCCAATCATACAGACATCTAAGTACGGTCCTTTGAATATTTAAACAGAAAATAACATTCATGCAAAAATCTTGAGAATTATCAATTTTGTATGTGTTGACTTTGATCTGTAATAAATTTTTATATTAACTCATAAGTTATTCGAATAAAAAAGATTAATTAATTTGTTTTATTCACATTATTGATCGACATGTTGAAGCTTCTCCCTTTGTTGAGGCAGTTAAGCTTCAGATTTAATTTCATTGTTTAAAAATCTGAACAAAAAATTTCACTGAAACATAGGCGAAAAGTTTAAATTGAATTTCAAGTACATAAATATCTTGAAATAAACAATATTGAGAAATTGCATGAATATATTTTTCGTTTGCAATTAAATTTTCTACTTCGTAAGTTATATCAACATGTTTGTATGTGTTTGCTAAAAAAGTAAAAAATAAAATCGCTTCGATGACACATTACACGGCAGATTAAATAGGAAATCGGGATAAGCGAAATAAAAAAGATACGATTCATCATAAAATTATTTTTTTCATTGTCATAATGAAATGTTAAACGAACTGTAAGTTGCAGTAAATATTTGAAGGTTTTTGTTCCTTTTTTTTTGAAACTTTTATTTCTATCACGTTTTTCATAGAGAAAAATAAATTCTGGGTTGTAGTTTTCAAGTCCAGTGAGCTTTTTGTTCTCACAGTCATTTAACAAAAAAAACTTTTTTCATTCACATTTAAGATGCTCTCGGTTCTTATCTTTAGATTGTTGCAAGTTGTAACCTGAGATATTTTTCCCTAAAGAGAAGTTTAGAAATAAATTGGAAGTTGCTAGTAACAAAATCTATGAATATCTAAAGTTCATCATTGAAGGTCATTTATTTGACTTTTTTCCAGCTAAGTTCCTTACCTTTAGAATATATTTGCAAGTCATGTAATAATCTCATATCTAATTGAGAGTTCAAGCATAAATCATAAAAAAAAAGTAACCATTGGTTATCCAAATAAATTTGCTCTTTTAAGTTTCAATTTTCCCTTCATTTCGATTTTAAAATTGTAGATTGTTACCAAAAATATTTGCTTTTCATCATGGAAAGAGTTTAAATATCTAATAACAACATAAAAGCCTCGCTGTAGCCAAGAAAAAGAAATTCAAGTTAGGAAAACAAATACAATCGTGTATGTAATAAGTCAAAAGAGCAGGAAATGAAAATGTTTACTTTTATTTGAATAAAAAACGACTGCAGCACATCCAACATTTCCATCTTCAATAAAAATAACAAGAATGTATGTAGATATATGTATGAAACTACATTCGTTGGTTTTCGAGGAGAAGAGATGACGAAACGACGAATTCTACCTTCCTAGGTTGCGAGGAACGAAAGGAAACACAACGAACAAACATTTACATATCTTTTTATGTAGATGAATTTTCGTGATGCTTCATTTTCCTCAATTTCGAGGAAAGTAACAAGAAGACTTTATAAAATGGGTCATAAACATATGTACATTCTACATGCATATGTCGTTCAAAAGAACCATCTTGTGTAAATCATAGATGTTATTTGCAAAATTTTTAAACACGAGTTTCATCTTTACTACCAAGCGCCATTAAAAGCGTTCAGAGAGTGGGCGAGTCAAAGTTCTCGTCGTAAATTGTTACAATTTTATGCATAGAAAATGATTTCATTCACTCAGATATTTATTGAAGATGAATTCTTCCTTTCAATACCATTGACAAATGCTGATGAGAGTCTAGACTCGAGACTACAACTGAAGTACTCTTCAATGCTTTCTGTAACGAAACTGAATGTTTGTCATTATGCAGACATTTGTAAACAAGACTGCACTCACATTTCACAACAATTCAATAAAATATTTCATTTAAAAGCGTCTCCCACCTGAAATTTTTGCTACATTTTATGTTTCATCAACAGAAAAATGTTTACTTTTTGAAAGCCTTCGATGAGTTTTAATTGAAAATCAATATTGATTCAACGAAGAAGAAACTAAAGATGAGAAGCCAAACAGAGCGTATTTTGCTATTCATTTGGATGAAAAATAACGAGAAAAAAGAACGTTAGGTAAGATAATTCGAAGTCATCGTGTCAAAGAGAAAATTTATTAGAGGCATGGCAGATATTTGCAATGTGATTGAAGTATCTAGATAAAAGAAAATTTAATTAATGTCCTTATTAATATAAAAGTTTAATTTCCAGATGATTACTTTATGTCAGTTTTCACAAATTGAAGATTCTTCGAGTAATTCTGTGGAAAATGTGTGTGAAGTAACAAAATAAAATCATCTCAAGTCACCACAATAATCACAATTGTGACACCAACAACAACAACGAGGCGTCGGTTGTTCACAAGAAAAAAAGAGAATAAAATAAAATAAAACAGGCTTCGAGATGCGACAGAAAAACTGATGAGTTGTTGTTATTAAAGCAGATTTTTCTCATTTATTTTGAATGCTTTTTGTGTTGGGCATTAAGCGCTCATAAATTTTAATTTTATGAGCGAAGATGAAATTGTGATGATAATACATTTAATACAAGAGAAGAGCACAGTGGAAAACGTTTTGAAGAAGAGAATGAAAAAAGAAAATCGCATCACTGGATGTACTTTTTAATGGAGAAAAAAGAAAGATAGAAATGAAGGCTGAGACAAGTACACAAGGCGAAGACAAAAAGAGAAAATTTTCCACATGAAAATTGTTGTTTATGTTTCATTAATTTTAATTTATGTCGCTGCTGTTTTCGTGCTACAATGCCTGCGTCTTTGCCGACTATATGTAATGTTAACAGGAAGCACCAAATAACGCTTTATCTTTATCATGTATACAATTTTTCAATGCTCCTACATCGCCATGACAATTACATGAAAGAAAAATATGTTTGCTTTGGAAGCTATCAAATCTGCATATTTCCACAAAATATTTTTTTTATTAGGACTGCCTGGTGGCTTTATCACAGTTCATTACACGATGTATCTATAGTAAACAGAACTATGTTTACTTTAATTCTCCATTTGAGAGCTTCAAGCGATAATCGGTTAATAAAATTAAGATATTCTTTCTATCATTTAAAATTAATTCTTTCAATATAGAAAATTTGTCTTTGTCAGACGTGCCAATCTCTTTATAGACAACTAAAATGCAAGAGAATGAAACCAGCAACAGAAAAGAAACTTTAAAGTTCACTTTGCTTGCTTCTTCAAATCTTCGATCCAACATGAAAAAATTTCCCAACTGGAAAATGGCAAATTAAATTGTTGCCATTCCGCTCTTTCGAATAGCATCCAATTTATAATAAAGAATAAAAATAGCTAGAAAAGAGACGTAAAACAAAAGTTTGGCATTCTGAAACACATCCAATTTACCATCATGTTGGATGAAGAACAAAGATACAATGAATTAAATAAAAGGAAAGAAAAAAAAGATAAAAGGCGAACAACGTCGAGCGGATGGATCACTTCAAAATAAATAAACAATAAAAAAGAAAATATAACAATATCTAAAAGTAAACCTTAAAAGCAATGTGATAAATGAGCGCTTTGAAAACTAAATAAAGTCACATTAACCATTAAGACCCATGTGTGTATGTTTAAATGTGAAAGGGAGGAAATTCAAGCTCTTATAACGTTCAAACAGGGGAGCGAGAAAAGCCCATATTTATTGGCTGCTTTAACTTTCGCACTCAATTTTACTTTCCTCCGTTTTTGGCCTTTTTTTTCGACTGAAGATGATATTGCTGCTACTTTCCAACAAAATGAATGTATGAAAAATTCCCCACATTTTCCGATGCTTCTTTTGTTAATGTTGTTATGTTAGATTTGCGTCTTTTTTAACCCATTTCATGGCAATTCTCTCGTTAAAAGCCGAGTCACAAGTAAAAAGTTGTCTTAATGTCTGATTGTTTAATGTAACAACGCTCTGCTTGTCTCACATCCCTTATCTCGTCTGTTATATTTTTTGTGCATGGCTTTGCAGTGGATTAGTTATAAGATTACGAAGTCGAGTCAGCAAGAAGAAAAAATGAGGACAAATTTGATATTTATTGCGTAAATGAGACAATAAAAATTCATTCAGTGTCAACTTGAGTCTCGTTGAGGATTTCATCTGAAATATGAATATAAATATTATGTATATTCGTATTTATTAAATATAAATATTTATGAATGTATGTGAGACTCTTCATTTATCTTTTGAAAGTTAATTGCCTAAAGATGAATTGAAATATGTAAAAAATTCAGATTAACTTATAATGTAAGAATGACAATTTTTATTTACTTACATTATGTAAAGATTATATAATAGAATGAATTGTCATTTTTTAATATTCATTTATGTGACGAGAAAACGAAGGAAAATGTTCATTAAAATGTGCATCATAAAATGCAGAGATGAGCGAAGATGGATTAAATTGAAACATTCATAAAGAATATTTAATACGGAAAGCTCTTCATTCTGCTTTCGAATCGTAAAAGGATTTCTGTATGAGACTTGGAATTATTTCAAAAGCTTTGTTAAAGGTGATTTATTATTGAATATCTTCCCAGTTCACATAATTTAATCCACAGAAATGAAATAAAAATATTCTGCAAACAAGAACATTTTGTAAAAGAAGAAACGAAAGACGACTGGCTTAAAGGTTTTCAATGTTTTATTATTATTATTATTACATATTTTTATTATTATAATTATTTTTAATAACGGATTGTGCTTTACTTCTACATAAAACACTTTGATCATCATATTTCCTTAGAAAATTCTTTTTAAGAATTTTATAACACAATATTTCTTCTCATTTTGCTGCTGGTAATCTTATGATGCTCTTAATTTAACATTACTTACAAAATGTGATACCGATAAATATTTACAAACCTACAGTTTCGCAGCGCATAATTGATAGAAGCAAAGATGCTGAATACCAAGAGCATGTCTGATGTTTTTCTGTTGAATAACGAAGCTGGAAAAATAGCAGAAAAACGACTTTTAATTTATTGTTGATCTATTGTTATCATTAAGTTATAATCATAAACATTATTGAAGCAAAGTACATGAAAACTTAACTACACACTTTATGCAAATTACTGAACAAGAAAAGAAAAAATTATCGCATAATCTTGAAGCGTTTTTCCATAGTTTCCTTCTAAAGAAGAGCTCAAACCGTTTCAGTAAAGTTTATAATATCATGAATTTTATTTCAACGATTATATAACAATAAAGTTGCAGTGTTATAAATGAATAGAGTAACTACAATGTTTATAAATAAAGATGAAAAATAAAATTGTTAAAACAAACTTCATTTGTAATTAACTTTCACTACGAAAATGGTTTGAAACGCTTCCTAGAATGACTTTACATTTTACAAGATGGAAATTATTTTGCAGTTTCACATCACAAAATCAACAAACAAGAGAAAAGTTTGCGTTGAGAATTTTCTTTTCATTTATTTCGCGCTGTTCTGTATTGAAAACTTTTTTTTCTTGTGAGAATCACAATTAAAAATTTTCTTTTCAACTCTGCGGGCATTTCTTTCGAGTTCATGATTTATAGTTTATCTCCTGGTTGTGAATGAGTATTTGCGCATGATTTGCAGCAAGATATTGTTTTAATCAAGATAATATCAAGAATATTTTATTTAGCATTAATTAGAAGTTGAGCTGAACTCATGGGAATGAAAGATTTCAAAAATGTTTCTTTGAAATTTTAATCTAGAAATTTCTTTAAATAATAATGCACAATAAGAATGAAACGAAACTATGAAAGTATCTCCAATTGAAGAATAAACTTTAATAAAGTTGTAGAAAAGCAGATTCCTGTATGGCATTGTATGATGAAGCTCTAAGTTCTTGTGGTGTTGCAACTTCCAAAGAAATAGTTTCTTCTCGAAAACAAAAATTGTTAACCTAACAATCTTGTACACGTATCAAACTTTTCTCATCATAAAAAAGTTACACAAATGTTTTGATTGGAATTGTTTACCAGGTACAAAATAATTTCGATTTGAAGATTTTTCTATTAGAAGTTGAACTTACCAGAATTCTTCCAGTTTATTAATTTTTGATTTCTTAAATCATCCCACGATGACACATAGAAAATGTGATTTGATTCTCGAATCTGTTTTGGCATTTTTCGAATTTGAGCTACACATTTCATGTGAACCTTTCCATCACTGATAAATGGATTATTTTTCTTATCTATCCGAAAGCGAATCTCTAAACTACGCTGTGACAATTTAAAACCATAAGCTTCGATTGTTGACTCTTGAAAAGGCTGAAGTAGTGCATTGTCAGCCTTTTGATCATTGATGTACCAAGCAAGAAACGGAGGAGGATAAGAGAAGTCTGATGTGCAGTTTCCGAACAGGAAGTCACCTTCGTAATAGTTTTTCTCCACACCTTCGATTTTCGGATCATGTTGAGGAAGAGCTGAGAAAAAAAATTTGCTAAACTTGCTTAATCTGAACCCAGTTTATCAACTCTTATCATAGAGTTGAGAATAAAATTCAAAGACAGTAGAAAAACATTAAAAACATAAAGCAAACAATAGAACAAGTAATCTCAGAGGAAAATAATTTTTATTGCACATCGTCAGAACATCCGTAAAAAAAATCTTTCACTCATTTTTTTTATTTCTTCCTTTTTTTCTTTTCACAGAAAATTCATCTCATCTTTAATATTACTTAGAAGAGAATTTTAATTATTCATTTAAATGTTTCCCTTTTTTTTTCTTATAAAGAAAGTGAGCAAAAAAGTTTTTCACTTCAATTACGTTGCTTTCGTCTACGCAATGACAGTGAAAGAACACCTTGTTCATTTATAATGAGAACTGTGTTAAGTTTTCTTTTTTTACTTAATTTCTTCTTCCATTTACCTAAACAAGAACTTTATAAACAACTGTAATAAATGAGGCATGACCGCATTTCAACATCCTCTCTTTAATTGTGTAATTAATTTTTATTACACGTTCTGTCGTCTGTCGCCTTTTATCATGTTAAAAAAGAATGAAACATTTTGAAGGCTTTTAATTGAGCGTACTTTTGTGAACATAATAATTACTTAGACAGTATTTGAAGCTTCCTTTGCTTTCTTAACAACCACACAATAAAACATTTTAATATGTTCTATTAACGTTAAAAATATCACTTCTAAATGATACTTACCAGCTACTGTCATGTTGGCAGTTTCATGTGAAAGCTTAAACTCAGGCGCATCCCCAGACACTTCGCATCGAAAGGCACCAGACGAATCATTACTCAAATTATCAAGATGAATCGTACAAAACTTTTCGTTGCACACGTGATCTGAACTGACATGAATCCCTTCCACATTAAATATCATGTTCTGCTTCGTTGGCATCAATGGTGCATACCTGCAATGCATCGCTTGGTTTAATATTCGCATTCATTATGCAGTAAAAGTTTTTGGACAATACGAGGTCGTATAAAAGATTTCTGATTTAGATTTGGACAACTATTTTTGTTATTGCTTATCTAGATACTTATGTGTGTGTATAATTTACCTGTAAAATTCCTTTTCATTTTTGTACCATTTCACCGAGTTCAGCTTTTGCGTTCCTATGTTGTAGCTACAGGACAACATGACTACATCTCTGACGTCAACAAAAGATGGAACAATAATATTGGTGATGTGTAAGGTGCGTGTATTTGGCAGAACTAAATAGAAGTTTAATATCAGAATTGTTTACTAATTTAACACAAATTATCTTTCTTTTTTCATAAATACTTCAAAATGGAAAGACAGATTAAGAGTATTTAAATACTCATTTAACTAATTAATAAATTGCTAATTATCCTGACATCTCAAGCATGAATTTTAATTAAATTCACTTGATGAATGAACGACATTTAACAATGCAAAACAAGGAATAAGAGAAGGAAGAAAAAAATTAAACTTCACTTGAAAAGTTTACCAAATCGGAGTCGTTCATCTCCATTTCTCATCGAAATAAATCGTTGAAAAGTTTTTTTTTCTGAAAACTTTTTGAATTGTTCTTAAAGACCGCGTTTTCCACAACAACTTATTGTGTCATTGTTTCAGTTGTTATTAAATGTATTCTACTTGAAATAGTCTTCAAGTGCTCATGGGCATTTTTATCATTCATTGTTGATTTCTCTTATTTCAAATGAATGAAAAAGGAAATCTTTAAAAAACTTTCCTCGTCATTTCTCCCAGCGGTACTTGACATTTGACTGAAAACATCGGAAGCTTATTTCATCCGCAAAAAACGAAAGCAGAAACAAAAATTGGTTTGAGAACTTGAAAGAATATGAATGTGACATTTTTACATATTTTTATGTCATAGTTAACTTTAAATGAAATGAAAAATAAGAAATAGACTTGGGGACACAAAAGGGAAATATCTGGTGAAAAATCTAGATGAAATTTTCTATCACAGCATTATGTTGAATTTAATTAGTTTTACTGAAGACGAGAACAATTCACTTCGCAAATGAATTTATTTTCGGTAGGTACTCGTCGTACACATTTTTAAGATTACGTAAATGTGTAAAAATGATAAAAGAAATTTACTTTAAACTAATTAATGCAAATATATTCATTGAAGTACCAAGCGAAGGGAAAACAGATCAACTTACATGATATTAAAATGCATATCACGTAACAGAATTTAGCCCAGATAATTTCTTTGATATTAAAATTCTTCTTCATTGTGGTTTCTAAGACTTGCTCGTTGACGTTGGTTTTCTATTCCTCGTTTTTATGCTAATGACTTCACATGTTTTAGATGACTAATCTCTTTAATCATATCTTGCACGAGAAGCTTTCGAGAACTGTCACAACTTTGAACAGTAATTTATGCCTTTTTTGTGGTTTAACGATGTTCACTCGTAAATTTTATGTTTTCGCACAATCACAAGTTTTTATCTTCATAGCTTTTCGAGGATTTGAAAGAGTTAAAATTTTATTTCTTTTTTCTCTTTTGATTTTTGCTTTCTTTTAATGATTTGTTGGATTTTTAATCCTTGAATAATTTTCAACTGTCGACATTTCATAAGAATTGGATAATAAACGAAATCATTTTCCCGTTTAAAGTTCACACCGGGCGTGGCTGAAGTTTCATCATTTCTTTCGGTTATTAACTGACTATATTCTTATTTAACATTTCATATTAAATTCTTATTCACTGCTTTTTATAGTAAATTTCTTATTTAAGCACCACGCTTATAAAAGTCCGTCTAATCCGTGGAATGTTCGTAACAAGACTACATTTCTTTGTCATGTTTCCCTTAAAAAAAATAAAGAGATGCTTCGAAACAAGACAGAGCGAGGGAAATGATTGTGATGGGTTTATGGAAAGACTTGTAATGCATTTGAGAGTTCAGTGTTAGAAAATCTCTCCAGCATCCAATGCGCAAGCTCTCATGTATGTGATGTTCACATTACTGTCTGAGAGAGACATTTTATCTTGGAAAAAATAAATTTCCACATTTGTACGATGCAAGGCAAGCATGTTTAAAGTGGAAGAAGTCGTCAATGAATCGACGATATTGATTTTCAATTGAGTGAAGCTGATGATAAAATTAATTTCTTTTTTCTCTGTACAATAAATAAGTATAAGTATAGGATATAAGATTGATTTCTTTAACGAACATTTTATAAGGCGTCGATTAATGAGCTTTCTTGAGAAATGAGCTAGAACATTTATATAAGTCTCGACCATATTATCCAAACTTGTGTCGAAACGTTCGATTAATTTCAATTCCTTGCAACATAAATTCAAGAGTCATGAATAAAGTTACAGATGAATACTGTAGATATATGTACTGTTTTATGATTCATCTTGTTTTTATGATTAATTTTAAAATATATGGCATGCATAAAAAAAGATATAAAAACATTGCTAATCAAACATTTCTCCATGACATGGAAGAATTCTTCAATTTTCGTAGAATGAGAAACTGTGAAAATAATGTTTTGATCAACCGTTTGACAAATATAATGTGTTTATAAAATGTAAGCTGTTTTTCTTTCTTCCCATCGATTTGGCTTATAAATACGGCAGTTACTTAGTCAATTAAAAATAATTTGATTTGGTGGAAAATTAAAAGCTTATGTTTATCGAAATCAGTGTGTGGAAGCAAAAGTTAGGAGTAACATAACATTTTCCGGAAGTGGAAGCTAAAAATGGTATTTTTGAAGTTGTAAGCGGAAAGCTAAATAAGCGTGTAACTAACAGTGTTTAATTGTTTTTTTAAAATTTGTGAGATCTTCATCATAGTCATGTGAATAATTTTTTAGTTTCAATTATCGCACAAAACAAATTATTTGGACTCTACCTGTAAATAAAAACCAATTCGACAAACAACAATCTTGATAAAAATATTTTCATGAAATTTTACAAACTTTGCAGTTCGTGATGTGTCATTCAACACTGAACAAGCCTAACTTTCCATCAACCTGGTAACAAAGAAGGTTTCTTTAATCTTCCGCTCGTAAACACACAATCAAACATTTTTCCTTCATCCTTTCTTATTTCAGTCACGGCTCTTGTTGAATGAAAACTTTTTCCTATTTTTCTTTCCTTCATCGAAGGCAAATAGAAATAAAGGAAAGAAAAAAAGAGAAAAGAAGAGAATGAAAAAAAATCCTCGCTTCTGAAACTTGAGATTCTTCCTCCGCGAAGTTTTTCTATTGCGCGAGCTTTTCTAGATAAGAAAAAACCGTTTTCAATTGCTCAACAAACAGACTCTCGATGTATTTCCGGAATGAAAGTTTTTCTTTTCTTTTGATTTCGACTTGATTTTCGGTATCAAATATCAAAGCTCTTCGCTACAAAATTAAAATGTTCTTCACTTACATTTATGTATAATCTCGTTCCTAAGAGTCAATTTATGTATATTCAAGTGAATTCGTTTTGTTACGGTGTGAGATTTTCAAGAAACCATTCGAATTAAAATATTATCATATTTTTCCACACGAGAAACTTCCACATAAAACATGACACGTATGAGCTTAGGGAGATGAAACTTTCCCGTTTGTATATAATACTTACACATTTTGATGCTACAACCAAACAATACAACGCCTGCTAGGCAATGTTGGAAGAAAGTATTCCCTGAAGGAGAAAAGTTTGTCATGGAAATATGTTTACTTATTCCTTCATATGAGAAACTGAGAAAAGGTCATAAAATTTAATTTTTTTATGTACAAGTTGAAATGAAAGAGTTTCTTCACAAGACTAAACCAGAAAAAGATTCAATGGTTTTTATGAAAATTCAGGCAATATTTATTTAACAAAAATACATTTATTCAAATATCATGTTACTTGTTAGATTTGAGTTGGCTGATGAATTCAAAATTGCTTTTATTCACATGCTACATGGCCATTAACATTTGTCTGATATTTTGAAGAACAATAAACTTTTTCTGTATGTATGGCTTGAATTATGGACAGGGATTGAAACTTATTGAATCATCAAATCATTCTCAAGATGAAAATCTATTGTTCTTTAATTAATGTTTTTAGTTTTCATAAGCTTTGGATGAATTAAGAGTTGGGAATTTTAAAAAATTTTGAACTTGTTCTAAGTACTATTCATCGTTGCTGGTCAGCATAAATTGTAGTACCAAACATCTAGTACGTTTTGATTTTTACGTGCATTAAAACAATTTTTAACTCAAAACATAACTTTCTCATTAAAGTTCTTCGAAAGCTTTATTTTTCAGAGATGGGCAAATGTTCCGTTCAACTCGATTGACTGACTGACTGACATGTCAATGTCTGTCAGTCAGTCAGTCAGTCAGTCAAAATCGCGAACAAAAATATTCGTTTGTTGGGAAACGTTCATATAAATGTTCCGCTCAAGTCGTTTGACTGACAGACTGACAAGTCAATGTCTGTCAGTCAGTCAGTCAAATCCCAACTCTGTTATTTTTAGAATCCGTAATAAAAAATGCATATCATGAGAACTTTGTAGAAACGAGCTCAGACAAATCAAGAAGAAAATTAATCACGAATTAATATAAAAGCAATTCTCATGTTTGTAAGTTGTGATTAATTCCCAGTTAAGACATTGATAGCTTCATTTCGAGTTTGCCAAAGGCCACTATCAATGAGAAAGGAGAGTCGTTCAAAGTTGAACGAAGAAATCTTATATGAGCTGTTAAATATCATGAATGTGGAAATTAAACATTAGATGTATGTATCACATAAGCATTAGCTGCAAGTGCTTTTTGAAGAGCACACATAAGAAAGAAACTTTTTCAATAAAATGAGGAGAACAGCGATGAGTTTACTCAAGCCAAATTGCTATTAGAAATGTGAATCTCGTTCCAAAATCCTTGAGAAAATAATCTTCCCACTAAGAGCCCAAAAATAACAGAATAAAATGTAATTCAACACACAAGATCACAAAAATGAAGAGGATGGAAAGGAAGAAGAAACAGAAAGAGAAAAAAAGAAATTTCAAAGTGCCATCTGAAATGTTTTCCTTCTTTGGTTCGCCTTATTTGATGTTTATTTACTTACTCGCTCGTCATGTGTGGTGAGAAAAAGCAAAAATTCCACTCAAGAAACCGAGATATAATAAAAGTTTTAGTGTCATAGCAACGTAACGAGATATTCTTTCCATCGCATCGAGAAAATAGTAAAAAGCTAAGAAGATGAGACGAGATTTCTAATATCGTGTCTTTTAATGTTGACTTCTTTTTCGTCATCGTCACGATCACCATATAAAACTGTAGCGAAAGGAATAAAACTTTCAAAAGTACAGAGGCAGAGACAAAACGTAGCAATTCGTCATGTAGCTTTCCTTCTTTCTTTCCATTTCAATTTATCAACTTTCATTCATGCTCTACCATGCAATGAAGGAAACTGTGGAGGAAGTCTTAGAAAAAAAGTCATTTGCTAACATCAAACGTTGCTTTTATTTGTCTAAGTCTTCTCTTTTCCTCATTTTGCTTATTTATATTTTATTTATTTTCGTCGCATTCACCACTTCGATAATATGTTTGTGTAATGTCATGTTGACTCTAGGTTCCAATATAAAGGCAATTCCGAAAGGAACGATTGAATGCCTTCAAGGCATCGTCAGTGAAGCATACAAAAACACAAAACAAAAAACCGCTGAAAATGACTTTTATTCGATAGGAAGGAAATATTTTCGCTCAATCAATAATCACATCAAGTAATAAAAAACACTTTTATACGTCATTTGATTTCCTGATTTCCGATTTGTTAAGGTGAGCTTTTGTTTTAATAGTTTCACATAAAATTGTTCGCTTAACTTTTTCTGACAGAGTGAAGAATTATTTAATATCTAAACTTTCTTTTACTGATTCAATTGTTATGACTCTAAAAATAAGTAATAAAACATCCATCTCTGCGTTTCTGTTTATCACAGCATTTGCTTTTTAAATTTACTTCACAATGATTTGAATTTAGAGACATAATTTTTAAAGGAAACTTTATTTATGCATGTACTTAGTGGTTTTACTGACCTTATGACGAAACCAAAACAGAAGTGACAAAAAAACAAGAGAACAGATCATGTCATTTTGAGCTTAAATTTATGAGTTCATAAATTATCGGAAGCTTCAGCTTTTTATGTGTGAAAACCAATGGAAAAAAGGAAATCGGGAAAAGCTTCACAACATGGAACTCGTATAATGTGCATTTACATTTTTGTATCATACTGTTTCCATGACATCAACATTCTCGTTCGTTGCTGCTAGTGAAATAAAAATCCGACAGAGACATTTTTGTGTGCAGCTGTCAAGATTGTTTAACGGGAAGAGAAAGCGAAATGAAAAAAACCAAAATTGAGCGCCATGACATCATGCCCGGATATCATTTTTATTTTATGAGCTTTGCCATTTGCATGTTGCGTTTGCAACAAGAAAATGCTTTTTATGTTGTTGCTGCTGCAGCAGTTTTTAATTCTGTCAGAAGTTCTGCAGCTTATTGCGGTTGACTATCACTGAGTAATATGATAGTAAATAGACAAAATGATAATGACTTTTTATTATTTAGCTCCTTTTTTATTTAAATCATTCCCTCAAGTTGATTTTTATTCTTTTGTTTTAAAGAAGGATTCTTTTGTTTGAAATGCATTTTTTAAAGAAGAACTTTCTTCAGATTTAAGTGCTAATGACGTTGATGATGAGTAAATTTTCCAAGTTATGAAAGCGGCACATTTGTTCAAATTCTGAGAGTTTTCATTAGTCCTGAAAAAAATCATTAAAATTATTCAAATAAAAATATTCGATCAAATACATTTTTATCATATCAAAATTTATTTGTAAAAAATAAAATTACTTCTTAGTAAGGCTGATTTTTCACAATTTAATATGTTTAAATTATATTTGAAAGCACGAGACCATTTCACATCCATTTTAAGACCAATTTATGATTTTCAAGTCCAAGTTTTTACCAAAACGCTTTCTCATTTTATATAAAATGTCCAAGCGTTGTTCAAATTTTACAAAAGTATTGAATGTGACGTGAATTTGAGATTTTGGTGAAGCTGATGCAAATACTTTCAGCATGTCACAAGAGTCGGGGAAGTTTAAAAGACATATTTTTCGCAGTGAATGGCTTTTTGGCAAGGCCACAAATCTCCAATCAATAAGTTGATAAACTCTATTCAAATTTCTGATACAAAGAAACTTTAAATTTGGAAGTTGATAAACGTGATTTAGAACGTCGAAGCCCATCCAGCTTTCGAAGACTAGAGACGTTAAGCTGTCCCTTTGTGATGTTATAAATTTGATGAAATTATCCCTCAAACATTCTCTATAATTATATGCTTGATGGAAGTCTCCACCAATGAACATCTCCTGAAGTTTAAACTGAATTCCCTCAAGTAGATTCTTTGATCCTATGATATCGGAAAATGAAGTGTTGGTCAATTCTAAAACCTTTAAATCTTTGTTCGATTTGAGAAGATGCAGCATGGTATTCATTGACTTTTCTGTGAAATACCAACTGCTTAAATACAACTTTTCCAAACTTTTTATGTCGTAAAATACATCCTCGATTAATGCAGGTGAAACATTGTAGAGCTGTAGAACTTTGAGTTTCGGGAAACTCACATCTCGGACTGTTCCATTGATGTCGCCATTAACCACTCGAACATTTTTTAGACGAAGATCCTCCATTGTTTTGCCAACTTCTTTGAAGAATCTTGAATGGCTCATTCTTGAATGGAATGACGATAATTCCATGTCCATGTTTTTCCACGATTTTGAAGTATTCATTATCTCCAAAGCTTCCACTGCCTCGGCGAATGAAACTCCAAAGATAGAAATATTCTCGTAGCTTCGTGGATGGGATTTCAGAATAGAAATAGATTCATCAATGCCTGACGGTATCATATTATCAAGGTGGAGAGTGACTTTCCGAAGACAATGCGATGATTCTGCGATGAAGTTGCGCCAACTTGTTGACACTTCTGATGCTGCCATAATGTCTATGCCATCCAGTTCACTGAATATGTTGGTAACAATCTCAGGTGGCAAGAGGTTTACGAGGTCGAATGAAGTACCTTGCTTTTGATGATCCATAGTTGAATTTTTTAAAAATTATTTTATAATTATCCTTCAAAATGTTTAATAAATTTAAAATTCTTTAATTTTGATACTTGAAACTGATGCTTGAAGCTGATTTTTAAATTTGGCTTGGTGCACGAACTGATGTTGATTCACTGAAGTTTGTTAATAAACTGATGAATAGAGATCTATAAATTTTTAAATATTAAAATAACTGAGAAATTATTGATGATAATCTTCGAAAAATTATTTTTTGCTTGAAGCGCACTTGTAACAACGAGAGTTGAACGAATAATGAATTGTCTCTGAAATATTTCCTCTCATCTTACACCCATCTAAATTTTATGCGTATTTTCCATAAGAACATGTGGACAGCAATTAATTGAATCTCCCTTCAATTACCTACCTGACTTCTGTTAAGATCAATTAAAATATCCTTAAATCCGGTTTTTCCATTCTCTCTCCGTCTTTCTCACACCTTCACATAGCAATGAAAAGTATGTGAAGTTACATAGAAAGAGATAGAGAGAAAGGGATCTTTGGAAATTCAGGTAATTAAATAATTGAAGAAATGTCATTAATATGTCATTAATATTAAAGGGATTTCAAATTATTTAATTGTTCTTAATAGGATCATCTGGGTGCAAGTTCAATTTACTAGGAACTAAACAACAATATGAATTAGAAACTTCTAGCATTCTTAATAAAGTTGACTTTACTTGTTTGTATTGCCATAAATGAAAATTAATTTTGGATGGAAAACAAAAAACTGCTTTCTAGAAATAAATATTGTTTGATTGCTGTGTGAATTTTAATCCCAAGAGATTTGAATAGGATTAAGATTAAATCGATTTTAAGCCTTCTTTTCAGGATCAGATTTATTCCTAAATCATAATCGTCAGATCAAGGTTAGATCTTTAATTTAATCCTTAACCCAAATGCTAGTCAGTAGCGCTGTCAATAAATGCTGTCAGTACTGAAACGGAAGATCAGAAACTGCTTTCAAATTGAATATCCTTAAAAGTAAAGAAAAGTAAACTTCTTAAGCCAAAAATCTAAAAATAATTTAATGTTTCTAAATATTTTACAAATTACTTCATCATAAGATTTTGCTCTCTCTTTAAAGCATGAAATATTGTTGAGAATAATACGCCAAATTAAAAAGAAAAAGCATCAGTAAATTTGTATAAAAAGACTTCAAAACCTTTCTTCCCACATTTTTATGATTATCGCTGGTAATAAGAAAATCGTTGATATCGAGGAGAAAAGAGAATCACAATGGCGATGAGCCTTTGGTAATATTACGATTTAAATGCATTAAATTTCAAATAGCACACAATCTCTACAACACCATTTCATCTTTCTGTTCTCCCTTGTTCAAACGAAAATCGATAAGCTTCATCGTCTCATGTCGTGCTTCTTATCCTTGAATGCTTCTTTTTTTTCGGACAAAATGCCAAATATGGGAATGCAATTTATTCCTCCTTGGAAATATGATAAGAAAATCCTATCTTATATGAGAATTTATCACATATTGCGAGCGTTCAACTGGAGCTTTTATGGATTCATTTATCGTCAGAGTTTTTCTTCCATAATATTTATAAGTATTCGTGAAAAAACCTGAAGTGAAATGAAACTTTAATAACATTTTTTTTATTGGCGTGCTCAATATCATAGCGTTCCATTTTATTGCCACTTGAATGAACAAACTAAGATGCATTTGAAGAAAATTCTTTTCATATATATGTAGATAAAAGTATAAGAAATAAACTTGAGATGTTATCAAGTTTTTGCTGTTGGGCGTTAACAGAATTGTCGACCATGAGATTTAAAAAACCTTTTGACCTGTAAGTAATGCGAAATAAATTATACATTTTTCTCTGAATATTGATAGATGAGACCATTTACGTTCGATAAAACTATATCGCTGAACTTTTGAATGACTTAGGGAAAATATACTCAATAAGTACTCAATTGATATTTTCTTTCTACGTTCACTTAATATCTCGATGGTTTACCATCACAGATTGAAGATAAGTGAAACAAAGTTTTGAAAAATAATTTGAGAAAATTTTGATAACGAGTGAAATAAAAAGTAACTCACTTTATTGATTGCTTCATCCGTTCGAGATTTTTTCTGCAATAATTTAACTTGGATCCATGATTCATTAACCCCCATAAGAAAAAAATACTTTTAATATAAAAGTTGTTTTAATTTGACTCTTCTTAGGTGGAATGTGAATGGTTTTATATTGTAAAAACTTGCTTCAGTTATTAAAAACAGAAATTAAAAAAATATTTCTTGATTATTACTGAAAAGAAAATTCTCGCTGCAAAACTTTTTAAGTATGAAAAAAACTTCACTCGATTATAAATAATTATTTCTTTACTAATTTTCAATATTTCCTGTCTTTAGTTATCAAATAAAGCTGTCGGATGCATTGAAAAGGAATTCAATTATCAACTAAGAACTTAAACTCAATTAATTTTTAATTAAATAGTGCATTTGACTAATTAATAGAGAGATTGAAGTGACATAAATTTCTTTCCAATTTCTATTTTCTTAAATTATCAGTGTAATGAAAAGTAAAAAGAAGATGAATAAGTAGCAACATAATTTGAGATTAAAAATTTAAGCATAAGTATCTTAATACTTATCAGAACGAAAGTAAAAGCGACAATTTTAAAATGAAAAACATGTTCATGAATTTTATTTGCCTTTGCTCTTTACCACACTTTCCTCCCATCTAAAACCACTCATTCGACTTTGACTTTTGATTCTTTTGACTTGTCGCTGTAAATTGAGTCATTGAAGGAGTTGTAAGCAGATATTTATGAAATTATTGTCATCCAACGTTTGATACTACGCTACTGTTGATATCGTCTTAAAAAGTAAGAGATAAGCAAAACAATGATTATGAGTTGAGTGTAGAAAAGAAAATGTTATTGTTGCAAAATGTCATGGAGAAAGGAGAAAACTATGAAAAATTAATGAACAAACTTTCATCAACATAAAGAAAGAAATTTTCTCATTTCAAGTTGTCTTTTTTTTTGTCGAGTTGAAAGTTGAGAGAAATGCAAAATAAACGAGTAAATAATGCAATAATCTACGCAAGTAAATTCAATGATGATAGTGATGATGGAAATGCTGATGAAGAATTTGAAGCTTCTTTGGAAAAAATCCTGCGAACGATTTTTCATAAATTTCAACTTCTGGAGATTTGCGTTGCTTTTCATGTTGTTCATGAGATGTTAGCGAAGTTCATCCAATTTTAAACATTTTCTTAGAAAGAAAAATTGGAAATTATTTCCAAATATTTATATGAATGCTGAGACTTCGTAGGTAAATAAGAGATTAGGCGAGTAAACATCATGATTCCTGAAAATTGAAGATTTCTCAAGCTGTAAATGCTGCAAAAGAAGAATTAATATTTTCAAATGAATAAGATAAGTTTTTACAATTTAAATTTAGAATTTATTTTATTTTATCATGACTGAGTTATAAAAATATGAACATTTTACATCTATTTACAATTTTAAATTTGTACATAATGATTTGAAATTTTTAACATTGAATTTAATACCAATTAGTTACATTTAAATTCAATTCTTTTCCGAATGTCCTTTTAATTTTATAAGCGACATGCAAACGTTGGAGGAAATTTAAATAAGATCTAAAAGTTACATTTATTCGTGAAGTTGGAGTGCCTGATGCGAATGCTTTCAACATGTCACAGCAATCTGGGAATTCCAACAGAGTAACTTGAATTAATGATTTACTTTTTGGTAAGCAAACATTTCCCCAATCAATTGATTCGTTTATTGGAAAGAAGAATCCAACAATGAGAAGCTTTAAATTTGGGAGTTGATAAATCATTTTCAGGATATCTAGACCCATCCAAGCTTCAAAAACAAGAGTTGTTAAGCTTTCTCTTTGTGATGACAGAAAATGAATGAAATTGGTCTTCAGGTTTTGATAGTCGCATGAGTCGTAGATAGGACCGGCGATGTACATCTTTTGAAGGTTGAATTGAATTCCCTCGTTGATGTTTTCTGTTGCCATGACATCAGTGAAGCAAGAGAAGCTCAACTGCAAATCCTTCAGGTTCGTGTTAGATTTCAGAAGTTTCACGATGTTGTCCTTTGCTTTCTTGGTGAGGTAATAACTACTAAGATATAATTTCTCAATAGTTGTCATGTTGCAAAATACATCCTCGATAATAGCCGGTGCAATCATGCATGCTTGGAGAACTTTAAGTTTTGGGAAACTTAAGTCCCGAGCCACTGCATCGTGATGGTTGTTACGGACTCTAATATTTTTCATACGAAGATCTTCCATCGTTTCACTGATTTCATTGAAGTAGATCGAATAGTCCATCCTTGAGTTGAATGATGAACTTTCCATATCCATTTTCTTCCATCGTGTTGAAGTTTTCATCATGTCCAAGGCTTGCATTACGTTGCGGAAAAAGATTCCAGTAATATCGATGTTTTCATAGCTGCGTTGATTATTTTCCATAATGGAAACCCAATTGTCGATGCCTTCTCCATCACGAATCATCATTGGATTGAAGTTGAGTTTGACTTTTCGTAGACAATGCGATGAATCTGCGATGAAATTATACCAGCTTTTCGATACTTCCGATGCTGCTAAGATGTCTTTGGCATCCAGATAATTGAATATCTTTGCAGTAATCTCAGATGGGAAGAAACTGATGGGGTCCGATGAAGTATTTTCCTTATGATGATCCATTTTATTCTTTGATTTTGATGCTTGCAGAACTAAACTGAAGTTAAATATTTTGATGTTGACACGCTTGAGGTAGTTGATAAACTGATCAGAAAAATAAATTTTATGCTATTTTAAAATAATTGAGAACTTTGAATTATTTTTTTGCTTGAAGTACTTCTTCCAACGAGAGTTGAACGAATAATGAATTGTCTTTGAAATGCTCGCTAATTTATGTTGAAAATATTTCTAACGATCAGCATATGTAGAGGGCGTGTTTATCTCAATGAAGTTCGTCAAAGTGCAATAAATTTTCGTCTTCCCGAAAACATGTGCACAAAAGTTAATCGCACCTGTGATTGTTTACAGTAAAATCGATTAACTCCTCTCATTTTTTGGTTTTCCCAATTTTACTCCATATTTTGCACATCTGTCAATCTTGTTTTGGATTAAAATCATAGAAAGAACTTTCAACTGTAATTAAATTAATGAAACTAATCAGGAAAAGTTTTGGGAAATTTTGAAAATTAATTATTTGCCTCCATGTGATTGACAATTATCAATGTGATGCTAAGAAGTGAAAACTGTTTAAGTGCAGAGATTTTCGGATTTAGAATTGTGATTTCGATCGAGTTAAAAATGGAGATAAATCCAGAATAAATGCAAATTTGATGTTTGTTCAATTAATTTATCCTAAATCATAAAATATTATGCATTTCAGAACTGAAACTGAACATAATGCAATGCAAGAAGCATAACGAAAGTCTCATAAATTATTTCTTAGCATTTACTGTTCCATATTCATGATGACTCCGATTGAGTTTTGTCTCCTTTTGACTTCTACTGGCGTCATTGTCCATGATAGTTTCTGTCAATGATTCCTTCCTGACATCACCTTCATTTTCTTATTATTCTCTTATTAAGTTTGGGTGACTTGCGATGCTTCTATGTCGATCTTAATGCTCATGATCAACCTGAAAGCATCGTAAGTCACCAAAAGCTGATGAGGAGAAAACAAGAAGTTGAAGTTGATTTATATGGCCTTTTAATTCAATTTTAAACATTTTCCAAGAAAGAAAAAGTAGAAATTATTTCCAAATATTTATATGAATGCTGAGACTTGGTAGCTAAATAAGAGATTAGGCGAGTAAACATCATGATTCCTGAAAAATAAAGATTTCGAAAGCTGTAAGTGCTGCAAAAGAAGAATTAATATTTTCAAATGAATAAGATAAGTTTTTACAATTTAAATTTAGAATTTATTTTATTTTATCATGACTGAGTTTTAAAAATATGAACATTTTACATCTATTTACATTTTTAAATTTGTACATAATGATTTGAAATAGTTTAATATTGAATTTAATACCAATTAGTTACATTTAAATTCAATTCTTTTCCGAATGTCCTTTTAACTTTATAAGCGACATGCAAACGTTGAAGGAAATTTAAGTAAGGTTTGAAAGTTACATTTATTCGTGAAGTTGGAGTGCCTGATGCGAATGCTTTCAACATGTCACAACTATCTGGGAATTCCAACAGAGTAACTTCAGTTAATGATTTACTTTTTGGTAAGCAAACATTTTCCCAATCAATTGATTCATTGACAATGTGCATATTTCCGATACAGAGAAACTTTAAATTTGGGAGTTGATAAATCATTTTCAGGATGTCAAGACCCATCCATGCATCGAAAACAAGAGTTGTTAAGCTTTCCCTTTGTGATGCTAGAAAATTGATGAAATTGTTCCTTATGCAATCTTGATAATTGTAGCAATTGAAGAAATCTCCGCCGATGTACATCTTTTCAAGTTTGAATTGAATTCCCTCGTTGATGTTTTCTGTTGCCATGACATCATCGAAGCAAGAGTAGCTCAACTCTAAAATCTTCAAGTCCTTGTTAGATTTCAGAAGTTTCACGATGTTGTCCTTTGCTTTCTCGGTGAGATAGTAACTACCCAAGATTAATTTATCTAAAGTTGTAATGTTGCGAAATACATCCTCGATAATAGCCGGTTCAATGTTGTATGCTTGGAGGACTTTAAGTTTTGGGAAACTTAAGTCTCGAGCCACTGCATCGTGATTGTTGTTAAGGACTCTGATGTTTTCCATACGAAGATCTTCCATTGTATTTGCAAAAGTATTGAAGTAGATCGAATAGTCCATCCTTGAGTCGAATGATGAAATTTTCATATTCATGTTCTTCCATCGTGTTGAAGTTTTCATCATGTCCAAGGCTTGCATTACGTTGCGGAAAAAGATTCCAGTAATATCGATGTTTTCATAGCTGCGACGATTATTTTCCATAATAGAAATACAATTGTCGATGCCTTCTCCATCAGCAATCATCTTTGCATTGAAGTTGAGTTTGACTTTTCGTAGGCAATGCGATGAATCTGCGATGAAATTATACCAGCTTTTCGATACTTCTGATGCTGCTAAGATGTCTTTGGTGTCCAGATAATTGAATATCTTTGCAGTGATCTCAGATGGGAAGAAACTGATAGGGTCCGATGAAGTATTTTCCTTATTATGATCCATTTTATTCTTTGATTTTGATGGTTGCAGAACTAAACTGAAGTTAAATATTTTGATGTTGACACGCTTGAGGTAGTTGATAAACTGATCAGAAAAATAAATTTTATGCTATTTTAAAATAATTAAGAACTTTGAACTATTTTTTTGCTTGAAGTACTTCTTCCAACGAGAGTTGAACGAATAATGATTTGTTTTTGAAATGCTCGCTAATTTATGTTGAAAATATTTCTCACGATCAGCATATGTAGAGGGCGTGTTTATCTCAATGAAGTTCGTCAAAGTGCAATAAATTTTCGTCTTCCCGAAAACGTGCGAACAAAAGTTAATTGCACCTGTTTACAGTAAGATCAATTAACTCCTCACATATTTGGGTTTTTCCATTCTTACTCCATTTTTGCACATCTGTCAATCTTGTTTTGAATTAAAATCATAGAAAGAAAGTGGAATTAATTTAATGAAAACTAATTAATAAAATTTTCGGGAAATTTTGAAAGTTAATTATTTGGCGCCAAGTGATTGATAATTATCAATGTGAAGCTAAGAGGGAAAACTGTTTATGTGTACAGGTATGTTCGGATTTAGAATAGTGATTTCGATCGAGTTAAGAATGGAGATAAATCCGGAACAAATGCAAGTTTGATGTTTGTTCAATTAATTTATCTTAAATCGTAAAATTTTATGTATTTCAGAATTGAAACTGAACATAATGCAATACAAGAATCATTAATTATTTCTTAGTATTTTCTGTTCCATTTTCATAATGACTCCGATTGAATTTTGTCTCCTTTTGACTTCTACAGGCGTCATTCTCCATGATAGCTTCTGTCAATGATTCTTTAGTGACATCACCTTCATTTTCTTATTATTCTCTTATCAAGTTTGGGTGACTTGCGATGCTTTTATGTCGATCTTAATGCTCATGATCAACCTGAAAGAATCGTAAATCACCAAGAGCTGATAAGAAAAAAAACAAGAAGTTGAAGTTGATTTGTACGGCCTTTTAATTCTAGTTTAAACATTTTCCAAGAAAGAAAAAGTGGAAATTATTTCCAAATATTTATATGAATGCTGAGACTTCGTAGGAAAATGAGAGATTAGGCGAGTAAACATCATGATTCCTGAAAAATGAAGATTTCGAAAGCTGTAAGTGCTGCAAAAGAAGAATAATATTTTCAAATGAATAAGATAAGTTTTTACAATTAAAATTTNTGCGACGATTATTTTCCATAATAGAAACACAATTGTCGATGCCTCCTACATCAACAATCATCTCTGGATTGAAGTTGAGTTTGACTTTTCGTAGGCAATGCGACGAATCTGCGATGAAATTACACCAACTTTTCGATACTTCTGATGCTGCTAAGATGTCTTTGGTGTCCAGATAATTGAATATCTTTGCAGTAATCTCAGATGGGAAGAAACTGATGGGGTCCGATGAAGTATTTTCCTTATTATGATCCATTTTATTCTTTGATTTTGATGGTTGCAGAACTAAACTGAAGTTAAATATTTTGATGTTGACACGCTTGAGGTAGTTGATAAACTGATCAGAAAAATAAATTTTATGCTATTTTAAAATAATTAAGAACTTTGAACTATTTTTTTGCTTGAAGTACTTCTTCCAACGAGAGTTGAACGAATAATGATTTGTTTTTGAAATGCTCGCTAATTTATGTTGAAAATATTTCTCACGATCAGCATATGTAGAGGGCGTGTTTATCTCAATGAAGTTCGTCAAAGTGCAATAAATTTTCGTCTTCCCGAAAACGTGCGAACAAAAGTTAATTGCACCTGTTTACAGTAAGATCAATTAACTCCTCACATATTTGGGTTTTTCCATTCTTACTCCATTTTTGCACATCTGTCAATCTTGTTTTGGATTAAAATCATAGAAAGAACTATCAAGTGGAATTAATTTAATGAAAACTAATTAATAAAATTTTAGGGAAATTTTGAAAGTTAATTATTCGGCGCCGTGTGATTGACAATTATCGAAGCGATGCTTAGAGGGAAACTGTTTATGTGTGCAGGTCTTGTCATATTTAGAATTCGATCGAGTTAAGAATGGAGATAAATCCAGAATAAATGCAAGTTTGATGTTTGTTTAATGATTCTGTCTTAAATTATAAAATTTTATTAATTTCAGCATTGAACTTGAACATAATGCAATGCAAGAAACATAACAAACTATTTCTTAACATTTTCATGATGAGCCCCATTGAGTTTTGTCTCCTTTTGACTTCTAGCGGCTTCTTTGTTCACGACATTTTCTGTTAAGGATTCCTCGCAGTCATCTTCTTCATTTTCTTGTTTTTTCTTATCAACTTTTGGTGACTTGCGATGCTTTTCATGTTGATCATGAGCTTCTTGTTCTTTAACTCTTCTTTGATTTTCTTCCTCGATCAGTTGATAGAATTCACTTTCAGCGGATTCAATAAGGGCTGAGGGTGAAGAAAAATAAAATATAAAAATGAAACACGAAAATCTTCGTTCGTTGCCTACCCTGACTCACTGATGGTTTCACCTTTGGCGCTTCCTCTTGTGCCTTAGCCTCTTCTGCTTTTTATTCTGCTTGACGAAGCAATAAATCTGAAGCCGCCTTAGCTTCCATCTCTTGTTGCTTCTTCAATTTAATTTTAATTTCGCGCAATTTACCCTCAAGTATCTTTTCTCGTTTATTCTCGCGATCCAACATCTAAAAAAAAGTCGTAAATATAAAATGTACGAAATTCATCCAACAACATTCATTTAAGTTGCATTGACAGAGTCAAAGAACGCGATGGCCAATAAATCGAAGTTAAATAATAAACAAATGGCAAGGCCGATTCGTCTTCTCTGCTGTCTTGCACTTTACTTACAGCATTTAATATCGCTTTATCATTCTTTGCACTGAAAGTCATATTCTCAGAAACTTCCATTAAATGAACAAATCCGTTTTTGCTACCACATGCTATCATTCTTCCTGACTCGTGGGGCTTCACACATTTAATGGAATGATCTGAAACCTGCAGAGGGAAGAAAACTTGTATGGCATAAATGAAAGGAAAACATTTTTCTTGTTCATTGTGTGCTGTATGTACACGCCACTATGCACAAGTACCGGAAAAGATTCGAAAATGGTAAAAGCTGCAAATGATTTTGCACAATCTTCGTTTTCCTTCATTCTCGATCATTTTCAATAAAAGTTTAGTTTCATTTATCAAGTCAGAGAAATAATTTCATGCTCAAGATCTTTTAGTCACGTCCATTGTAAGACTCACAGTTAGTTAGAGAGATGAATCACTGAGTGTTTCCTGACAATCAGAAGGAGAAAATGCATGAGCTTGAAAACTTATTTTATAAATAAATTAAATTCTATTTAAACTTGTATCATTTGTTTGAAAACTCAGCTCAGTTACTTAATGTATCATGACGGAAAAAATTTATTCACAATTTCAGTGTTCATAGTTGAAATTTTAACATGATATGCACGTAGTACTCAACACATACTCGATTTACTCATCGAGAATTGCTAACAATGAGGTAATTGCCGATCAAAAATCGAAGAATTTCCCCCAAGTATTGTTATTACAGTTATAAATTTCCTTTAATTTTCTTTTGCATATTGTTGAGCAAGTAGTCGAGTTGGTAGAAGGAAAAGAAAAATGGAGAAATTAATTTTATCTGGTTCATTAACCAATAGTTTTATATCTTATCTTCCGGCAGAGACGGCAGGATAGAAAGCAAATCATGTCGAATGTATAAGTTAAAAAAGGAAATAATGTTCAGTGAGGTGATTCACTATCGGTATATATTCTCAATATAATGTTAATTGGATTTATTGAAAGCTGAACTTTCTTTCAAAGGTTCAAATAGATATAGCGCAAGTTTCATCAATGAAATGTGTTCACTAATTTGTTATCTAAATGAATAATGATTGCCGGAGAAATTGAGGATGTGCTGAAATATTTGAACTAATTATAGTACTGCTGAAATAGCTACGAACTTATCTCGAACTTTAAAAGGATTTCCATTCTACTCTGTCTGAAAATGTTGCCACTTAAATTCCTTTAATGTTTAAAGTTTAATTTCAATTTTCATTTTAAAACTAGAAATCATAAAGAAACCAAAATCTAATAATCCATGAAAGAACGATAACTGATCTTTTAAACTAAATTGGAAGAAGAAAAGCAAACTTTGTCAATAAAAAACTTTAAATTGTTTTTCATTATTCATGTTATTGAAAGTGATGTTGGAAAACTGTTTTCATTTACTATATTGATGCTGACCGACTTTAATTTAAAATGGATCATAAGAGCTTCATTTTTCTTATTTAAGTGCTGATTTAATAAATTCTCATCTCTCATCTAGATTAACAGTTTAATAAACAACATGCTTGAGCAACACATAAGAAAAAAAATCATTTTATGTATGAAAACATAAAATATGTTGATGCGATTAATGTTGTAAAGAAATGAAAAGTTTATGTACATATAATTTAGATATTTGCTCTTTTGGTTAATTAACCAATCGCACTTTAAATCATCCCATTTGTCCTAAAAGTCTCTTTTTCTTTAACTCTTTCTTTATAATTTATTTTTATTCTTAATCATTTATTAGCAAATATTTTCTGCACATTTACATAAAGTCCACGTGGTTGAACCTTTTGTCTTGATTTTACATTCAACGTTCTTTGAATAAATAAGATTGTTGAACTGAATTCTTTTCACTAAGTTAATATCATGACATTACTTAGAAATTCATTTTCTTTTCAAAATATCTTTTTCTAACATCAAACTTTTGGTTGCCCATTTTGAAAACCAATAACTTCAGAATTAGGTCGTCTTCGAAGTTTTAGCCTCATAGGCATTTCCCAGAAGTACAAAGTTTGTCATAAAAGTGAACTTTATTTCCATACTTTCTGATGTAAGTCAAGCTGCTTCTTCAAAGCCTTTGTGGAAATAATTTTTATTTATGTGCTACTCTCGGAAAGCCAAAGTTCTAAAACGATAAACATAAATTGAAACCGGGTTGATTTAGTGATATTGTTCGTGTAAATGCCAGGAATTTGAAAGGCAGAAATCGAGGAAAACATTGAAAAAGAAAGCTTTCGAATTCATTATCATTTTCTTCAGCAACAATGGTTAAACAAATTCATCAGTTATTCATTAGAATAGAAGCCAGAAAATATAAAAAATTTAACATTTATAAACATTTTCCTACTTCATGCAGTTTCAAGTGGGAATTTTCAACATTCGCGCTTGATTATGGCTTGTAAATGGCAGTTATGTGAGGTTCTTTTAGAATGTACATATATGTACAAAACATTTACAGTAAATGTTATGAAAGAAATTTATTACTCTGTAATGCGGCAAGAGAGCGCGCGAAAAAAATGTATGAATGCTAAATCTAATTAACAACCATTTTTTTATGTTAAAAGTTTTCTTTTTGTATGCTTTTGCGATGAAAAAAAACAAAGTTTGTTAACTCATAAGCTCATACTCACCTAAAATTGAAAGTAAATTTAAATGATAACATTAAGTCCCTTAATTATAATATTTTTCATATCATCGTAAATTTTTACTTTTAATAGTTAAATTGCTGGATAAAATTTAAATCCAACTGTTGCTGTAAGAGCAGATATTTAATTTGCGAAATGGGATATTGGAACTAATGTAGATCCATTTGACAATTTAAATTTCAACATTATTAATTTAATTTTTATAACATGTTGATAGAATTTGAATTTAATGCGAGCTGCACTTGAGATTTAAATTGATCTTTCAAAAATATTTACTTTTTTGATTAATTTTGTGTTAGCTATCGACTTGATTGTTAATCTTAACATTAAATTAACTTCATCAACATAGTCCATTAAAGCATTTAAACTAATATTGAAATGTGCAACTTGGAAACCCTTTCAAACATTCAACATTTCAAAAGAGTTTATTTGAAATGGTTATCAAAGTTGATTGAGAAAATGCACTTCAATTAAACCTTTATTTGTTTCCTCGAAACTTTTTCCTTCTGTGTGATCTCGGCAATGACTGTGAGAGAGATTTTTATATAAGAGAAATTGCAAAAGCATTAATCCGTGACTTAATTATATTATAAGCTTTTCTTTCTCTTAGTGTCTTGTAAAAATCACGAACAAAAGACATGGCGTTCAAACTCAAGCGGGTGGAGTATTGAAAATTGTTTTAATGGAAAAACTTTAGCTACACCATCATAAAAACCCTCAGAAGAGAAAAAATTCTTTTGAAATTTCTTCAAAGTGTGAAATATTTTTATCTCGTTTCGCGCTATAGCGATTTTTGATCGTAAAATTTTTATTGTCTTTCATCTAATGGCTTTTCTGGGGTTAAAGCCCATAAATGAGTAAACGGCATGGAAAGGGATGAAATGAAGTTTATACAAGAAATCCAATGTTTAATGAAAATGTTTTCGGGAAGGAGAAAGATTCTTTAGATATCTTTCGTTTTTAAAATCAAGGAATACTCCGTATTTAAATGTTCAATTTCCATTAGACGCTAAGACCCGCAGCATCCATTCACCTTTAATAAACGCACCGTAATCTTATAATTAAAATAATAATCTCTGCTGTTTGTAACTTTAATAGTCATTTAATGATATCGCGAAAGAGAAAAGCTCTACATAGCTTTGTGCTGAGATAAACGATTTTGGTTGGAATTTCCTAAAAGTAAAAAACATTCCAAAAGAAGGAAAGGAAATGAAAACCAGAATAATATTTCAATACTTTGCTAACACTACTGCAATAAAAAGAATTTTGTTTTCATTCATGTTTGCTGACCTGTAATTCGTTGTACTTTCGTTGCGCTTTCACATATCGAAATGAAAACAAAAAATATTTCAAACATCGACAAATATTTTGTTCTACTCTATTCAGTTTGCAACCTCAAATATTTGTAACATTTCTGGATTGAAATTTCTTTGTATTTTAATGGAAAATAAATTTTCTAAAAGAGAAATAAAATCCAACTTAAAATTTGATTGATAAAAGATTTAAAATGAGGTCGATAAAAGCATTGAATCTTTTCAAAAACACAAGACTTGCTTTATTCAAAGGAAAGAAAAAATTCAATTAAAAAAATATTTAATCCTTTGAAAGCGCACTAAACAAATTTCAGTTCTTTACAATCAATCGAAGTAAAAAGGACACAATTTTCAGACGGAATCAAATTTTCCGAATGAATAACATGAAAAGCATAAAATGATTGAAAAACAAAAGAAAACGTTCGAGGGGTGAAGTTTTAATATTCATTCGTATGGAAAAGTTTGTTGAAATCGAATTTCTTATTAGTGAATGGGAAAAGTATTGGGTTGAATTTATTTTGTAATGATAAAGGTCGCTTCTTGATACAGATAAATAATGAGAAATTAAATTTTTAGGTTTTCCCATGGTTTGATGACATTGCTGGAAGATGCATCGTGCCCAGATGTTGAAATCAATTAAGGAAATAAAACGCCTTGAATGATAATCCTTCAAAACATATGAAATAATTAATTCTAGTTGTCTGGCGAGTTTCATAAAATTTTTATGTTCAACTTCCAAAAATTGAAGCTTTTGATGAATATTTCTGGACATTTATTTATAACATTTGTTAAGTGATCCAGAAAAATTTGGAATCAAAGTCAAATATTGAAACTATCAACTAGACGTTCGAGTATTTCATGAACCAATTTAAACATTTTCAGCTACATATTTTATCAGAAAAATTTTCACAATAAGAGGAAATAAAAACAATTTTCATGTAGAGGCATTTTCAGTTCTTCGGTCAAGCAGAGAGATGATTATTTAAACCTTTTTGTCCCTTTAGCATCTCACAACATGCATTCGTACTTTGGAGAGAAAATGTAAGCGAGCGACAACATAAAAAACTGAGTCAAGATAAAACCAACATGTCTCTAGACAATAAATCTCTAAACAACTTATTTTCAACATTTAACATGTGTCCTCCTTCTGTGCCAAAACAAAACATGGAAAAAAAGACAAGCACACACGCAGAAAATGTTTGCTTAATGTAAGATGAAAACAAAACTCATGTTTGACAATGAAAGGCTTTTGGTGTTCGTAATGAGAGGGATTGTTACAAAAAATCAACCTTAAACATTTGTAGTAGATTTACAAATTAGGAAAGAACCATTCTTAATTAAATTTTCTTATCTACAGCATCAATGAAAACAATAACTGAATGTGCCTGATCTGCTTATTGAAGTTTCCTAGTTCAACTAGATTTAGTTTTTATTTCGTGAGAGTTTAATTTGTCTATCAAAATACCGAATGTAAGTAAAAGAAAAGGTCAAATAGAAGTTTAATTATTTCCCTTTCGAAAAGTTGTACAAATATTTTTCTTCGCAAAAAAGAAATAAGAATGGAAAGGTTTAACTACGGAAAGGTTTATTCTTAAATGTATTATCAAGACTCACTATTGAAACATTCATTTAATTGTGGTTTTATCTTTATCTGAACATATTGGTATGATTTATGTTCAAGCATTGGGAGCAGATCAAAACTTGGTAAGAAGCTAAAACAAAAGAATTATAAAAGTTCTTTGACAGTTTGAATCGAAAATAAATAAATAAAGAAACTAATTTATTTACATATTATGAAAATACAGAAGAAAACTGAATAAAAATCATTAAATGTCATTTTAATAATAAATATGAACTGTTTTTGTCATTTTATCTATTAACTTTTTTTCCAAATGCTTTGTAATGTCAGATTCAATATAAAGTCATGAAATTGATCAATTAGCAGAGTTGTGATTTGACTGACTCTGACTGACTGACACTGACATGTCAGTCAGTCAGTCAATCGAGTTGAGCGTGCAATTTCCCCATCTCTGTCAATTAGGTTTTTATTTTAAATAATTAATTATATAAATTTCTTGTTGTAAAAAATTCCTCGAGGTTTGTTTTCTGTAAAGCTAAGAAAGTCGCAGTTTTAATGAAAGAAATCGTTTAATTATCCTTAAATTTATTTTTATTCATTCTTTTTCAATCCTAGATAAAACATAAATTCTTCCTTACTTTCCATTTCTTCGTAAGTTTTACATACAATCTCAANGCACTTAGGTATGCCATAAGTCCAAAAAAACATTGACATTTGCCAAACGGACAACTTAAGTCGTCCTCATGGCACGTGTGTGCTATTCGGGTTTGTAACATGAAATCTATTTGCAGAAAAATGATTGATTAGGTGCCAATTTATTTAAAATGATGATTTCAAATCAACAATCAAAGAAATTTCCGCAAATATTTGCCGGTCTTTCTGCTGCTGGTGGAGCCTTTGCATTAGGAGCTGCATTAAAATGGCCAGCACCGGCTGGACCTCAGTAAGTAAACCGCACTTTAGCAGAAGATGAACGCTTTTTCGAAATCACTCAAACTCAATTCGATTGGGCAGCCTCAATTGGTTGTGCAATATCTTAGGGAAATTTCCTGTTGTAAAAAATTCTTCGTGGTTTTTTTTTATGTAAAGCTAAAAAAATCGCAGTTTCAATGAAAGAAATCGTTTAATTATCCTTAAATTTTTTTTTTATTAATTCTGTTTCAATCCTAGATAAAACATAAATTCTTCCTTACTTTCCATTTCTTCGTAAGTTTTACATACAATCTCAACCATTTCTGTTTTTGAACCACATTTCCTTTCCTTCAACTCATTTCGTTCTTGATTACGTCTGCTTACTCGTCGATCTCCATTGTTTTCTTCATTTTTCTTGATCTTGTCTTTCTCAATTGCCATCTTCTTGGCTTCTTCGTAAATTTGGAATTCGGTTTTAATGATGATGTTGGAGGTTTTAGGACCTTCTATGATCTCATTTGGCAGTTCATCGGCTGATGTTTCAGAGTTGGTTGACTTCTTGCTGCAAGTTCTTTTCCTCTTGACTGTCCCGGATGTTGCAGGGCCTTCTATGATCTCATTTGGCAGTTCATCGGCTGATGTTTCAGAGTCGGTTGACTTCTTGCTAAAAGTTCTTTTCCTCTTGTTTGTCCCGGATGTTTCAGGCTTTAGTATGATCCCATTTGGCAGTTCATCGGCTGATGTTTCAGAATTTGTTGACTTCCTGCTGCAAGTTCTTTTCCTCTTGATTGTCCCGGATGTTTCAGGCTTTTCTATGATCCCATTTGGTAGCTCATCGACTGATGTATCAAAATCGATTAGCTTCTTACTGGAAGTTCTTTTCCTCTTGTTTGTCCCGGATGTTTCAGGCTTTTCTATGATCCCATTTGGTAGCTCATCGACTGATGTATCAAAATCGATTAGCTTCTTACTGGAAGTTCTTTTCCTCTTGATTGTCCCGGATGTTTCAGGCTTTTCTATGATCCCATTTGGTGGCTCATCGACTGATGTATCAAAGTTGATTAACTTCCTGCTGGGAGTTCTATTCCTCTTGATTGTCCCGGATGTTTCAGGCTTTTCTATGATCCCATTTGGTAGCTCATCGACTGATGTATCAAAGTTGATTAACTTCCTGCTGGGAGTTCTTTTCCTCTTGTTTGTCCCGGATGTTTCAGGCTTTTCTATGACCCCATTTGGTAGCTCATAACCTGATGCTTCAGAGTGATCCATTTGTTGAACCAATTGATCAGTTGTTCCAGGCGTTGAGATTGATTTCTTTCTTCCTTTCTGGTCTGCAGTAGCTGTTTGTTGAACAATTCGAGGTTTAGCAGCTGGGCGACGTGAAGATTGTGGTGTCTCCTTAAGTCCATCATTTCCCTGCTCCAAGAACTTAAACGTTTTAGCTGCTGATTTTCTAAACATGTTTCCCATGCTTTCATTGAATTTATTTAAATCAAATACGGCGTCCATCTTTAATTTTTAATTTTAATAATTAATTCAAGCTTCTGTTCGATGATTTATGTTCGACTTCACACGATTGAATGATGATTTTATATTTCATTTGTCATATTTATATAAAAATTTCACGCGGACTAAATCTAAATTACCGGTAATAAATGCACTTCCAATGCACTTCCAATGCACTTAAAAACCGTAAGGACACACACACAACATTCAACAAAGTCATAAAGTAATTAACTCTCACTATACATACATAAATCAAACATGTGCTGCTAATTAGGGAGTGAAAACAATTAGAAGATGAAATCCGGTAAATATTGGAAATTCCCAAAATTTCTTTCATATCCGATTGACCATCGTGTCCAAATCTGTTTCATCCACAATAGCTTCTCCTTTTTTTTAATTGACTTAATTTTGTGATACTCAAATCTCAATCCTCATTTGTAACGTGATTTGAAATCCATTTGCAGAAAAATGATTGATAAGTTGCCATGTTTTTTGAAAATGATGATTTCAAATCAACAATCAAAGAATTTCCGCAAATATTTGCCGGTCTTTCTGCTGCTGGTGGAGCCTTTGCATTAGGAGCTGCATTAAAATGGCCAGCACCGGCTGGACCTCAGTAAGTAAACCGCACTTTAGCAGAAGATGAACGCTTTTTCGAAATCACTCAAACTCAATTCGATTGGGCAGCCTCAATTGGTTGTGCAATATCTTGCTTGCCTTTTACCATTCACCAGAATCATCATCAAGTATGCTTCAAAGCCGAAACAAACATTTTATTGTAGTCGAGTTAAATCGAATGGAAATAAGAATAAAAGCTGCTGGAAAAAGTTCTTTCCCTATGTAGTCAGTAATGGATTCAGACTTGATTCTTATTAGGTAATAATAGTTTCAAGAGAAGATTTACATTTTTATGAAACTTTTCTTAACACGCTTCATTAAAGTTTTGACATTTCCGAACATCCATTAAATTCTTTCCTATTGAAGTATCGCTCATTCAAATAAAAAGTGAATGAAGATTTTTAAATGAATGACAAAATTCATGATACTGGAGAATAAATAAGAAAGCTTCGATGTACATATTAAAATTTTCATCACTTGAAACGTCACTAGGGCTTTATGAAATTGAAGTTAAGGCGTAAGAAAAATTGTTATTTTCGTCACGTTTAGATATTTATTTTTTCATCAAATATATCACATTGTTAAGCGCATATTTTCTTGCTAAGCGATGAAAACGAGCAATCCCCATGCTATTCTTGTTCATAAATGGCAGCGACTATGATGTCATAAGCGCTTTTTGATCCGCAAACGTCGACATAAATGTCTTTGGAGAAGTTTCAGCTGAAAATTAGATGATGCGTAGGGAAGAAAAGATTCTACCTATAAACCTTCGAATTCATAACATTATTTAGTTTATTATTAAAGAGTTTTTAAACGATTGATCGTCGTGAAGGTTCAAACCAAAGATGTGTATTTACATAAGATAATTCTCAAATAGATGATGTGAATAAATAGAACTCCCTTCACTCTCACTCATATTTTATTTCGAGATAAGCTTGTCTCGAGAATCCAATCTTAAGGAAGAAAATTGGAAACTGATAAAGAAGAAAAAATTCACCTCAGAAGTCTTGAAATGGAATGTAATCGTATTTACAGCGTCAATAAAAAGGCTTAAAAATCGTTCGTTCGATTATGCAGCTTGAGGGTATGAAAGCGTAATAGCTAACCGTTCTTCACAAGGATGTAGGTTGTACGCATTAAAGTCGTGAAGAGTGTTCAAAAAAAAAAGTATGAAAGAAAACCAAAGAGCAATAACAATAAAAGTTTATTACGCCTGTTCGTTACGATTTTGATTTATTTGCAAAACATTTCAAGAATGATGTAATAAACATGGTTAAACGAACGGGTGGAGTGGAAAAAAGTCGTGACATCATAACTGAGAAAACCATGAATTTTCACGAACGACTAAAACATATAACATTAATTTAAACGTGACTTTCAACATCATGCGACAGAAATTTTTACAGAAGGGAGAAGAAAATCTTTTCTCTTCAACTTTTCGTTCATCCTGCTTCATTTCTTCAATAACGTCTTATCGAGATAAAGTATTTTTATTACATCCTTTCTTCTTAAGTATCATGCACAAATGATACGAAAAAAGCTTTGAATATAAAGAAGACGAGACAGGAAACAATTTCTGTTGATTAGATCAGTTTAGCTTTATTCTTTGATAATTGTAATTAAATCTGGAATTTTACATGAACTCCCACATGAGATAAATATTTGTTCGAATAAGAACGTCCTAAGAAAAGTTGTCCCAGTCCCAATTGAATAAAGTTGTTAATATTATAAAATAATCAAGAATAGCAGAAATGAACTGAAATTTAAAATATTGTTTCATTTATAAATTCTTAAACTTTGATTTATGTATTTGTTTATCTTACCCCAACAAGCGCTGATTTTCTCAACTGAATCATCCCAAACACCACAAAACTTGTCTCTTTGACATTCAGTAACATTGACAAGCTTTTTGATTCGTTTGAAACTTTGTTTTGTTTTGTTGTTTTATAAAGTAAGCCTCTCAATATTTTGAACTATTGACAAACGAGAAATTAAATATTAATTATGAATTGAAATTCGGTTCTCGCTTTCACTTCTTGGAAGATGCTTTCATATAAATTTCATAAGTACCTGATCGAGATATCTGTGATACGATGAAAAAACCGTCCAGAGATTCAAAATGGGATGTACAAGAAATAAAAATGTTGCATGATCTTGTTTCGGCATTGATAGGATTTATGAAATGTTTATAGCATAAATTAATGTTGTTACTTTAACGATTTGTCTTGATTGTTACCTTCGATTGTGCTCAGATGCGCAAATTTTAATNTCTTCAAGTGCTTTTAAAAATAATCAATTGACACTTTTAGACACTTTAAGTTATCCTCTGCCAATAAATATTATCGAGAGTCTTGTAGAAATTATTTCAGAAATCTTCATTTTCAAATTTGTGAATTGGGATCAGCCATATTTAGAAAGTGACTATAAAATATATGAAACAATTGGATGCATCTGGTTTTTAATCTCCAGTGTTTCAAATTAAAGAAATTAAATTTTTTATTGCTTCAGGTTTCGTTGAACTCTATAAAACCATGTCGGCTTTTCGAAAAGTTTTTCCACATCGTCTAAAAAGCTTTGTAGCTCAGCGCTGAGGTCAGCTCTCTCTTCGAATGGAACTTGATCATTTAACCCGTCATTGAAATCTTGATTCATCCTTTAAGACGAAATATTTGATTAGAAAAGGATTTTGGCAAACAATTTTTGTTCATTTTGTGACACAAAATAAATCAAAAAAGGTTTTCATCTTCTGAGTTAAAATTTTTCACTAGAATTTATTTGCACGTTTTATTATTTGGAAAATATCAAAATTGATTAAACTACCATGTAGTTTAGAACTAAATTAAATTAATTAACTGCGATGACGATTTAAAATAATTGGAGAACTTAATAAGGCAATCACTGATGTGATTGATCACTTAAAATAAATTTCCTAAGTTTTATTACATTTTAACATATTATTCGTTTTCCATAACATTATACCTAAATAACTTAAACTATAAGTTTTGCTAATTGCTCCAAATTTGTGTTGCCATATTTTTCATGATCAATTTGTTTCGATTTTTCCGTCTTGACTGTTTGAGTATGCCAAACAAGAACCTGTAAAAAATATTAATTCAAGTTCTACTAAAATAACAAAGTAGATATTTAAATCTTTTGCATTTTAAATTTATTTTTATTCACATATTTTATTTTAAATTGAAAATTTGACAAAACTTTGAATTCAGCGATTACGCAGCATGGTTAAAATTTGAAAACATAGAATATTTATTTCAGATATAATTAAATTTTGCATAGCTTTTAGTGACTCTAATTTTTGAGACTTATTTCTCAACTGAGAACTTGGTGAGTAAGCGCATATGTTACGAAGACATAAGAACAGTTTTGGAAACTCACATATACACAATTAAACAACTATTTAAACAGATGAAACATTCAAAAGTGTTTTAATTGCGATTACATCTAAATATGTATCTTCAAAACTTAACTCTCATACGAGAATTTTTCTTAACTCTACCAAGTTTGTGTCGTTATATTTCACATCAATAGCTGGTGCCTGAGCGTTCCTTTCTGTTCGTGTGTGCCAAACCAAAATCTGTTAACAAAATTGATTCATTCATCATGATCTCTAAAGAAACAGCTTCCGTTACCTTTGTACAGTTTGATGCCAGCAACTCTATATCAGACATTTCTAATGGATCTAAGCTTCTAAGAAAATCTTCTTCTTCTCTTCCTTGTACATATGCCATTGTTGCATTTGGACGTGACAAAAAAAACTTTACGCCAACTGCGAAACCTGCCATGTCAACGGGAAACTTCCGACCAGCTTTCCATCCATCATAAAAGTCAATAATCTTGCCATCACGAATGATCGGTGACGAAACTTGGTATCGTGTACAAACCCCAACGGGGAACATTGAAACATTGACAGTTTTTCGTATTTCTTCAAACAACTCAGGATCGTACGTGTTGTCATCATCAGCAAAGTAAAATGCTCCATCAGTTGCATGTTTTCTTGTCCACTCAAGACCAAGATTACGATTCGAAACTCCACGAGGTTTGCCTTTCTTTTTTTGGTATTCTTCGGGCATTCTTGCTGAAATGTTTGAGAATGAGAAACTATTAATACAAAGAAACAATTAATTCAATAAAGTTGTAAACTATTGTTGAGAAAAGTTCCAATGAATATCTTTTTTGAAGCTTTTTCTTAATCCAAAGATTTCTGATGACTTCCTTCCTTGTTGTGTGAACATCAAAACTATTTCTTAAATTGTCTAAACGCAATGCTAGCTTAGAGACATAAACCTCAAACATAAAATCGCTTGTTGAGAAGGTAAGTTCAGTAAATAAAGGCTTAGCCATAAACATAATGTAACGTGGATCACTTGGAATTGAAATTTTTAACGCTCTTGTAACTACCAAAATACAAAACTTGAAAATAAACTTCCAATCTACAAAATTATTTCTAAAAGCAACAAAATCCTCAATTTCCTTTTGAATTATTCTATACTTGAAAGCTCTCACTATAAAAAGTATTTGAAAGAAATACAAAATTTCCAGTTGGAAAACTTCTGATGCAAAAAAAATGTCAATTTTCGTCCAAACTCTTTTTCTGGTGTAATAACTTTCCCACACATTCATATAAAATCCGAAAGTTAGAAAACATAACTGAATGAATATTATCCAGTATTTATAAAGCTTATACATTTTCACATTTACATAGTTAACACCTAAAATGTTTGAAAGGACAACACGAATTTTACGAACTTCCATCTCAAAGGTTTCAAACCAATTGATTAATTTATCAATATTAGGCAAGAGTTCACACTCTAATCAATGAAATTATTTTCAATTATCTACTTACAAATTATCTATTGTCAGTAATCTGAATACAAAATATGTTGAAATGCTGTCAATAACGAATTCGGTTGATAAAATATTCGACTAATAACTGATAAATGTGCTGAAATCGAACTTTTTTTTAGTTATTCTGTGGACAATTTTCAATGACAGAAGAAAGTCCTAGAATCATCGCTTTAATGGAGTTCATGGTTTTGTGTGAAAGTAACACCTGATTTCTTTTCGTCGTTTTCTTTTCCATTGCATTATTGCCGTGTGGTGTAGATTTTCTTTTCCATTTGTATCAAAATTCATTGAGGTTCAATGATTTGTATGGAAAGCACGTATGGGATGAAAAATACCATTTACAGTTATTGTTGCTTTGTAAATATATTCGATGAGAAAAAAGAAAGCTTATGTGCTTTATAAATGTGTATTTAGGTTCCGCAAATTATGTCTTGTAACGAGCCTGAATCTGAAAATAGTCACAAAACTGAGAGGGCCGCTTTTATGGACATTTATAGATCCATGCTTTATAAGAAAGGATCGAAGTTCGATTTACTCAAACCTTATTTCTATGGTTTTTTAACGCTTTGCAACTTAACAATCGGTAAAAAAAACCCTGAAAGATAATTTTGTGTTCAATTTATAGCATAAAATGGTCAGTCAATAAACACTGAATTAATTTCATAGCAATTCCTTCAGAAGACTATTTTAATGTGAAAGAATTCGTTTATAAATATCCACTTCAAAATAAATCTTTTACTTTGCTGTCAGATTATTTTAAATATTTGATGGGCTAAGAAAATAAAAATTGACATGTATGGATACATAATTTTGTGACAGCTGATTTAGAAGATCCAAACTATCAATAAACATAAAAGCACATGTCATCACATCGTTACATCGTGATCATGTTTATTTGATATTAAAAATATGACAATCAACATATTTAAATATCTAAATCTAATTTGTGATATTTATCGGATGCAAAATCAGTTTGAAAACAATCAAAATTGATACAATTTTGTGATTTATTTTTCGATTTCGTTTTTATTATTTTTCACAATAACATTTTTTTATGATAAAAACATTCTTTTAAAAGACTTTTACTTAATAACATTTATTAAGAACTTTAATATTTTCTTAAAGAATTTTTTGATTCAAAGTTTCTTTTTGTACAAATTTTGTGTCTGTATTGTAATTCAAGCGTTTTCAAGCATAAGCATGTTTGTATGCATGTACATATGTAGGTGTTTGCTTTAAATATTAAAAAAGAAGAAGAATCCTGAGAAGCAGGAAAGGGAAGACAAAAAAGGATTTTGAATGAACATTGTTGTTTATGTTTCATTAATTTTAATTTATGTTGTTTTGTTTCATTTTTTTATGTGTCATTATGTTAACAGGAAGCAGATTTTTCTTTATCATGTAAAGATTTGTAACTCAAATGTCCTAAAGGATAAAATATGTTTGTAAATGCCTTTAAAGCTTGATTCGATTTCTTCGCGTTCTGTCATTTGATTTTCTTCTTTTATAGAAATTTAAATAATACGTAAAAGACGCGCAATTAAGGATATCATGGTAATTCGAAACCAATTAATTAAAATAATTTAAATTGCGACTCTAATTAAATAGAAACCGAATATTTATTCTTTCGCTTCTACTTGTACAAAAATCTCTTTCCATATAGTTCAATTCACATTTTATAAAGCAAAGGTAGAAATATATTAAAAAATCAATTTAACATAGAAATGAATCTATAATTGGAAAAGAATTTCCCGGAATATTTGAATGAGCTTATTTATGTTTGATTTGAATTTTGTAGTCAAATCTATGTTGAAATTTGACTCAAATTACATGTTATTTAATAATACACCGAAAAAGGAAAGTTTAAACAAAAATGTGTTAAACCACTTAATCAAGCATATTCGTAAATAACTTTCAAGATAATTTATTCGCTTATCCATCTGGAAAAAGGGAAAATATTGTTGTGGTTTAAGAATGTCTATAACTTTGTATTTCTTCAGTGTATACAAACATAGACAATTTAGATATCTTAGAAATGTTAATACTCAACAAAATTTATAAATATAAAGCATGTTAATTGTGATAGATTTTTTTAAACGCCGAAATTTTATTTCAAAGATTTTAAGCATTTTTAAGACAATAAATCGCTCCAGCGAGACAATAAAAGTTCATTCCATCTAAATAAGCATAGTTATGTAGCTCCAATTCGTGAAATGATTTTAATTAAAATTAATTATTTAAGACATGTTTGCTTAAATAGGCACGACGGAAGAGATTTTTAAATGGAAAGTACGTAAATAAGAGGAAAACGTGCAAAACAAGTGAAAACTCACATTGAAACAAATACAGAAGTAATTTAAAAATTAATTCTTTTGCTTGTTTTAATGTCAAGTCATTGGACAGTTTGAAGACTGAAAATTGTTTTATATTGAATACATGTAAAGAATATTTTCATGGAATGATCCACAACAGTTCTTAGCATGCTTATTGTTCTTCTTTAATAATAGATAGTCATAGTAAGTAATTTCGATTGTTTGCCTGATGAACAAAACTTCTGGTTTCTCTGAGTTCAATTCATAAGAAGCTTTTGAAGGAACAAAAACTTTGATGAATAGCAGAAATAAATGAATACTCAAACTTCAATCAATGACTTCACCAGCAATCATTCATATTATTATTAAAGAAAACATTCAATCAAATTTAATTAATTATTTACTTATCTATCTACTACTGTTTCGTTGAGAGAAAAAAGGTCGAAAATTATTTCCATCATTAAATCAAGCATAAAATGTACATTCACAGATATTCTCAGAAATTTACGAAGTTGATGAGGCGGCTTTGATACAACTCGAGTGTGATTTAATCAGAATATTATTTCTTTTTATTATAAATCTGGATTCATATAATTTCCAAATGAATATCTACTTGAAATATGCTTCATTATTTCGGAGGCAAACAATCTCGACTAGGATAATTTATGTACGGTCTGAAGTTTAACAACTCTATGAAAACAAATTTTATCACTACTTACTCTCTTATTTTAGTGATTAAATCTCTCCAAACTTCCAATGCGCATGGTATGTAAAACAATCATTCTGTATTTAAACTGTAGCAATATTTATGATTTAAAGACATGGCATGAAGTTATGATGGATTTTTTGACATTAATTGGATTAACATTTTATCCTGATAAATATATCCAAATAATTTGAGTTAGGCGAAAAACTCTTTTCCAGATGTTTACTTGTTATTTAATACTTAAGTTCAAGTATTAATTGAACTCTATCTTGAACAGAACGTGTATGTATCAATGTACAAACATAACATGACACAACATAACATGTCAAAGATGAGATCATAAATAAAATTATTGATACTCGGGATGAAGGAGAAAAACTTTAAATCAATTTCCTTTCACCATTTACGATCAATTTCCATTTTAATACATCATCTTATCGGATAATTGAATTCGTGCTGTATCTTCCTACACTCTTCAGCTTACTACACGACAACGTTGACAAGTATGTTCAGATATTTCAACGATACGTGCATTTGTCGATATGTAGATAGATACAACCAATATGAGAAGCACTTCAATAGTTTGCGAGCATTCTCATCACGGTGATAATTTCTAATTTCAATAATTTATAATATGCTTGAAATGATTGGGGGATTTCTCGCATGATAAAATTGGTAATGCAAAATGCAAATTTAAGGTGAAAATGGAAAATTCATTAATAGTCGTCATTCATTGTCGAATATTTATGTAAAATTTTTATTTAAATAAGAAAACGATTTGCCCAGAGCATAAATAGAATTTTTAATTTCATTAAAATTTTGCTCTGACGAATAATCAACCAAAGAGAAAATCTTAGACCTTCAATTCGAATTTAAGTCACGAATTCTAGAAGTTTTATGAGAAATAAGAAATGAAGAGAAGAAGAAGTTGAACATAATAATTCGAATTCTTGATTGCAAATCATTTTCAACGCGAAAAAGTTTTTGATTTGTTGACAAACAAACTCAATGTCTTTTCCACACAAAAATAAAATCTTTGTAAAGAAGGCGATGCTTGTGAAGTCCTTGAATAAAACGTTCCAATTTATCATAGCCTTCCTTCTGCAATGATCTCGCTACGTGTGCGTGCAAAGGACTGAAGTGGAGAACGAGAGAAAACCAATTGAAGCAAGAGCTAAGCAAAGCTCTACGATTAAAACAATAAATCAATCATTGTTTTGACAGTTATCTATCTTTTTTTACATCAACAAAAAGATAATTTATGGAATACAAGATGATTGAATGTGCGTGAAATATGGATTTGGTCGCGTGAAACTTTCACCCAAAACGAAAAATGAAGTAAAAAAATAAATTGATTCTTTGGCGTAAAAAATATTCTGTATCGATTCTCGCTTTTGCATTGCAGAGAATTTTCCATCAGAAATCCGTTGCATGATAGATATAATAAAACATTCCGTTTCAATGACCGCATCGAGGCAGAGAAGACCTCAATAAAAACCAATTTCCTAGAGATATCAAAAGTTAATGATCGAAGTTTTCACATCGTAAAACCGAACGTTTTCAACTCTAGCATAAATACATTAGTAAGTAGCAAATATAGAGCAGTTCATACGACAGCTTTTCCTATGTCCGGAGAAATTTATGTCGTTTCCATTTTTATAAGGATTTCATGAGCTTGAAAAAATGTTGCATTTTTAAAATAATTCACGTCACCACAAGAAGGAAATGCAGGCAAAGCAGCAAGCAATTTTTTCACTCTATAAAGCAGCCATGCCTTCAAGAAATCTCATGAAAAGAGTTTTATTTAACCGTAAAATATAACTTTTGAAATAATTATTATAATGAAAGAATTAAAAATAAATTATTATAAAACGGGATTAAAATATAAAAAGAATTAATGTGGGAAAACAATGAAATTAAGAAAAAAATTGGTCTCTAAAAAGAACTAAAACAAGAATATTTCAAGTAGCATAAACAGAAAAACCAGAATTTAAAAAGTTTCTTTCTCGTGGAGCTTGTTAGATTGAGATATATTAGTGCACTAGCAAAACTAACATTACTCAATAAATAAAGACAATGTTTGCACTCAGAAGCGAAACTTTATAAGTTGCATATATTAATTACAGCGACAATACCATCACCACACATTTTCGCGAATTTTTTGTACTTTAACAACTGTCACAGCATATTCCAGCTCCATTTAAGCATCTTTGTGAAGCTTGAGTTTTATATGAGAAACATTTTGAATGGCACAGCACATAAATTATGTCACTGTGCGAAATAAAAAATGATTCAAATCATAATTTATTTATGATATTTGGTTAATGACTTTACGGCCTCAGGTTCAAAAAGAACAATTTCTCTTGATATTATGTTGATATAGTAAACTGAGATAAATATAAAAAAAAAATATGATATGAAACAAGTTCGCTTACATTAATTTATGGCTTCACGTACATGTTCGTTGTTGGAACTATGTTGACTTCACTTAACTATGTTCTCTCCGCCTTTTTGGCTTATGTCAATGCTTTAAATTTCTGATTTTTAAGCCTTCTTTAAAATATTTAGAACACTTTTGTTGTTCTGTCATTTTTATCATTTTTCAGGTCACTAACTTTAACATTGCATCACCAATGGAACCAAAGCAGAAGGGGAGCTAGGAAAATTGTTTTATCAGAGTTTCTTTATGTGAAATCATAAAACTGCAGCTTGACACAATGTTTATGGATCTGAAGACATCTAATAAAATTATGTTAAAAGAGCATTCCTTAGCCTTTGTCAAGTTCTAAGAAAAATAATTAACATTTAATATTTAACTTTGCTTTATTATTTATTTTAAAATTAAATTACAAGAGCTAATTATAAATTAAAATTCAATCATGTTGGCTTCACTGTAGTAGCACAAACCCAATTAAAAACAATTCAATGTTCTTTTACATAATACATTGCTGCATTTTATGGAAGTTGACTTTCTTTGCATAGAGTAGCTTGAGCAGAACAAACATACTGTCTGATTTAAATTTTATTCATAAGGTTATACACACTGGTTGTATTAACATCGTTAAGTTTGCTGCTCTTTTCACTTTAGCTTTGTTTGATGTCATGCTTTTTTTGTGTAACAAATAGAGTAGATCTTAAGATACTCAACTTCAATTTCACACTCGTCAAAGTCCTTTCTTTGATGCGAAAGCAGATTTAAAAGTAACATTTACATAAAAATAGCATAAAAGAATAATACGTAGATGAAAAAAAAGTTTTATTTTCTTTCTTCTCTTAGTGCTTTACAACATCAAACGCTGGGAGGGCTAAAGCTAATGTTCTTTTTTTCTGGAAAATGCTTTTTATTTTCTCTGGAAAAAATAATAAGATCAGCTTTGATGTCAAGTAGCATATTTTGAATGACTTTCGAATTACGATAAACGACATGTGATAGTTGATTGCTTCTACCTCATAAATTTGTTATTCTTTAATACAAAATGCTTGTAAATGTGATTCAATATCCCAAGAAGAAATTCATTGATGAGAATAAAAATACTCAATCCCTGTTTAAGTGAAAACCTTAAAAACGTTTCAATTGAACGTACTAAATTGAACTCATTATGATTTTTCAAAATATGCATACACTTAAAAGTCATTAAGCTTCTGTCTGTAATTAAAATCTTATTAAGAAACTATTTTTTGCTTTTGGCAAAGCGGAAGCTCTTTATTTCTTTATGCTTTTATTTATTTATTGCTTTTCTTTAAGAAATATACCTTCAAAAATTATTCATAATTACTAAGTAGAAAGAGAATTAAAGTATAATTGCAAGTGCATTTGATATGTTGAAAATAAGTGACGTTTAAAGGATATAAATATTAATCTGTTAGAATCTTCCTTAAAAATATTTAGAACTAATTTGTGCTGATTTAAAATTACAATAATATATTAAATATCAAAATAACAATAAAGGAATCAGACGATATGCATTAATTTATCTTTGTAAGAGATTCGCAACTCGAGAACTGAAGAGAATGAAACTTTTGATCGTAACATACAAAGTTGTGAATGCGAGCAGAACGTAAATAATTGGCTTGGTCCATGTGTCATTAGCATTGGTCCATGACTGATTTATTCCAAGTGAGATTGTTATCATTGCAAGAAAGTATGTTAGAAGACCAGCAAAACTATGAATGATCTTTGAGACCGTTGGTTTGACAATCTTCTTCAATTGAAAGCTGAATTTTGTTAAGATTCCACCAAGCGATGATAAAATTGTTAAAAGGTAAGTTGTCAATCCAAAAAGAGAGTGAGTTGTTTGATAATGTTCCTTTCCTAATCTATTCTTGTTAAGAAAAATGCATGTTTGGGCGACAGTGATAAGAATCAAAGCACTTGTCTGCAAGATCCAGTGAACGGTGACCCTATTTTGGTAATTCAAATTCTGTGTTATAAAATTGTTGTCAGCCATTGTTAAAATCGCATGAGTCATCAGAAGAAGATACTGAAAGATGAGAAAAGATTTTATCTAAATGATTTATTATGGTTTATAAATATTATTCATAAAACTTACTCCAATTGAAACAAGAACTGGATGCCACGTAAACAAAACTATTCCAACTTGATTAACAGTTCTTGCTACGATACATGCAGCAATAATGATCAATATGAGTTGAACTGCTATGTTTAGATACTTCGCAGTTGGTGCCATTTCTTTATTTGATCGCGCAATATTTTCAGCTTCGGTTGACATTATTTAAGTACACTTTTTAAAGAGATTCAATGAGATTCACAAAGTAAAGTTTCAGAAAATTTAAAGGCTTTTAGGTGATAAATTAAATAATGGAAATAAAATTATTTTAAGTAAGGCACAAATTTAAGAAAAACTAAAATAGATCAAACAAGTGTTTATTATTATTGATGTTTTGCTCAGTCGTTTAGGTATTTGCTCAGTCAAGGATAAATACGGCAAATTCAATTTTAAAATTCAAAAATCCGTTAAAAGTTTATACATTCATTTTGTTAAATTAGAATTTCACGATTAACTACCTAACTGTATTTAATTAATAATCGTCGATATCAAGTCGATTAAAAAATTTATTTTTTCAAAAATTTAAATTTATTCAAACCAATCTAATAACCTTATTAATTATTTTCTAATTGTTTATTTTATTAATTAATGTTTCCTTAAATTAAAAGTTCTTCTCATCTAAATTCATTCTATTCATATATGTAAATGAAATTATTTATGCCACTTTCATCACGAATGCCAATCAACTAACAAGTTAAAACCATATTATGACCACACTCTCATCTGTATACAGGTACAAAAATATTTTGTATTTTTATATATGTATATGGCCAGATTCATAGAATAAACATTAATATTTAAAATATTCTTTCTTGCTATTTCAGTTCTTAATTGACTCTGCTGAAAATAAGCTGCTTAAAAATAAAAGTTTATAAAAATGTGTGCAGAAAAAAAGTATGAAGCAGCAGAAATTGTTGGCCACACTTTAATTGATGAAGTTAGAGTGCTTTCAAAGTTGTTACTGGTGATATTAAAGTCGGTATTTTTTTCGGTGCCAGTCTTTTTCAGTTGGATAAAAGAAATTATTTATCCACCTAATCCTAAGATTGTTAAAGGTCAATTAGCATTGGTCACGGGAGGGTCTAATGGAATAGGCAAAGCAATCGCATTACGATTAGCTCAAGAAGGGTGCAATATTGCAATAGCAAATAGAAATCACGAAGAAGGTCAACGAACTGCGGCTGAAATACAACAAAAGTTTGGTGTCAACGCAAAAGCTTTTAAAGTAGATGTTTCAAATGTAAATGAAGTTAAAAAGTTAAGAGTTGATGTTGAAAACACATTGGGAACCGTCGATATATTAGTAAACAACGCTGCATCTTTAGCATTGAACATTTCTCTTTTAGAAGGAACATCCAAGGATATTCAAAGTATTATTGACACAAATCTTACAGCTTACTTCTGGGTAAATATTTTATAAAACGTTTTAAATGATGATTATCATGCGTTGTTTGTACTTTTCTTCGAAAGACTGTCAGACAATTCTTACCAGGCATGATTGAAAGGAAGCGAGGTCATGTTGTCTCAGTATCTTCACTAAGCGCTAAAGTTACAATGCCAAACAATTTGACTTACGTAACAACAAAATTCGGCAATGATGGATTCATGAAAGCACTTTTTGATGATCTTTGTTTGAATAATCATGACGATTATATAAACTTAACCACGGTTTATCCATCATTCACAGCAACTCAGAAAAACTTAACGTCATTGCTTGAATCTATTACTGATATTATTGCGTACGATCCAGACTATGTTGGTGATTTAATTGTTAAAGGAATGCTTGCAAATCGAAGAGAATTCATTGTTCCGCCATCATCAGCGCTTTTTATTCTAACAAGGTAAACATGAACTTCTGAACACTTACAAGGATTTCAACTTTAACATTCTAATGCAATTAATTTTATTTATCAACAGATATTTTCCTGACAAAGTTATGAAACGAGCTAAATTGAGTTTGATTGATCTGAATAAAAGAAAACAGTACGATGAACTCAGAAAAAATATTTAAAAATTATGTGGAGTTTGGAGATATTAAACGATCATGCATTGGTAAATTATATTAGATCACTTTAATTAAGAAGATTTGTTATTTAAATAAATTTAATTTAATGCACAAGTGACTTAATTGTCAAGGGAGTTCCCCTGAATTATTGAAATACAACGAAGATTATTCATACACTCACAAAAAAAACTTTGCAGCATCATCAAATTCATTAGTTCAATAGTAAATAAAATAAATAAATTAAAGAAAATTTGTATGATTTGGTGAGTCCACCATTATTATTAGTTTAAAAGAATCCAAAGTTCATTATGAAGGAAAAAAAATGATGCGTTCATGGACACGGTAAGATTTCGAGAAGATTAATCGGTGACATCATCCTTATTAGGTATGCCTAAAGTAAAATATTAAAAATGATTCAATTTTAAATTAAAACAAAATTTTTTTGGTCAATTCGGCTATTAAACGATATCAGTTCAGCTAAATATTGAAACATCCTACATGTGTATAAATGCTAAAAGTTAATCTTTCGTTATCATTTCTATTATCACATTGATACAGCAATAATTGCAATACCAATAATAGTTTATTTACAATCGAGAATTGATTTGGTGTATTTGAGAATCAAAGACTCAGTTCAGAAGCAATGCTGAAAATATTTCTGGCTATTTTTCTACTAAATATCTTAAATTGTGATCACAAAGTTGAAAGTGCGTTTGAAGATTTAAGTTCAACATGTAAAAATCAATTCATCTTTTTCAACGATGCTTTGTTGGCTCGACGTGACTGGGCACTTAAAAGTAAGATGAAAGACTAAACAGTTGATAGACAATTTAATTACATTTTTACTCTTGAAAAGTGTTTGATACTTGGGGAAAATTTCAACATTCGGTTTTGGATGGAAACGTGAATAACTTTGGAGATTATGATTTATGCCGCAGTTTCGTTCATGAATCTCCTGTGACTAGCATAGGGACAGTGAATGGTGAATATTGTTTAGTTTCATATATTGGAGCAGAAGAAGATATCGAACCGTTCGACATTAACTTTGATTGGAAGGAATTGTAAGACGACAAAATTGCATTCATTTAAATTTTTATTACGTTTAATTTCTAATTAAACATCAAAAGGGGATCTCTTGCTCGTAGTCAAAATCTTTACTTAACAACAGGAATTTGCCTTCCAAAGTCTTGCACAAAAAAGGATGTTGACGAGATTGCAAACATAGTTTTCTCAAACGCTAATCTAAATGTTACGTCAGTATCTTGTGAATCAAAACCGTACTTAAGATTCAGCAATAGATTGTTGGCTGTTTTTATCTTTATTGGACTTTTAATAACTGTGATTGCAAGCACTGTTTATGAGCTTTTTATGATTCATCGTGACAGTGAGTTAAACAAATATTCGCTATCAGAAAAATGTTTTACGATAAAATGAAATTCCAGGATCGCCCTCAATGACGTTAATCGCATTTTCTGTCTACACAAATGGAAAGAAATTGTTTCATATGAGTCGAAATAAATCGTCAAATGCAATATCATGCTTGGATGGTCTTCGTTCACTTTCTTTGCTTTGGATTATTTTTGGTCATCGCTATTTCGACATGTTTCTCTCTCCTTCTACAAACAAAATTTCCGCCACTGAAAGTTGGTTGAAGAACATTTTTTCGCTTTCTCACACGATTTTTCATTTGGCTGTCGACACTTTTTTTTTGATGGGAGGTTTACTAGTTACTTGGAGTCTCATGAAGAAATTTGATTCGTAAGAAAATTAAGTTTTAATCAATTTTAAAGTTTGAAAGTGTTTTCATTATTTCAGAGGGAAATTTAATCTGATCAAAATTTATCTTCATCGGTTCTTACGTTACACTCCAGTTTTACTTTTTCTTGTCTTGTTTTTCATGTCTTTCATGCAACTTCTTGGATCGGGACCAATTTTTGAAAGGACACTTGAAGATTGGTTACCAAATTGTTATAATTATTGGTGGTCAACACTTTTGCACATTGCGACTTATACCAACATTGATAATCTTTGTCTTAATTGGACTTGGTATTTGTCAGCAGATTTTCAAGTTGGTTTACTAATGGAACATCTAATGTCACTTATTGAATGATTTTATTAATTTCTTTTAGTTATTCCTGGTTTCACCAATATTAATTTATCCAGCATGGCGATGGAAATGGAAAATTTTCGCAGTAGCTTTTCCCATAGCGATGTTGTCGTTTCTGATTTACATTTTTGTAGTGTCAATAACTTATGAGTTTTTGGTCTTTGTTGGACCTTTGTAAGATTTTAAAACATGCAAAGAAGAATTTGATTGATTGGAAATATTTTTTAATTGCAGACAATCGCAGGGACAGTTTGATTATGATCGACTACTTTATTATCCAACTCATGCACGAGCTGGTAAGAAACAGAAAGTAAAATTGATTTATGAAATTAGAAATGATCTTTTTTAAGGCCCTTGGATTATTGGAATGGCATTGGGCTTCATTATGTATCAACTGAAAGGAATAAAACCTCACATTAACAAATATTTGGCAACATTTTTGTGGGTGGCTTCATTTAGTCTTTTAACTGTGGTTGTTCTTGGATATTTTCCATTTCAACAAGCTGATGAATACTTCACAATAAACAAAATAGTGAATGCATCATACAATGCTTTCTATAGATCAGGTTGGGCATTATCATTAGCATGGATAATTTTTGCATGTCACAATGGATATGGTGGAATCATAAATTGGTTTCTTAGTCTACCGCAATTTCAACCACTGGCAAGAATGAGTCTCAGCGTTTATCTTTCTCACAGAATATTTCAAATAATATCAGTTGCAACCATCAGACAGCCAATTTATTTAAGCCCATTCAATCTCCTTCATGTTTACTTTGGTGATGTGATAATGTCTTTAATTGTCGGTATAGCAGTTTATCTTTGTATTGAAGCACCATTTGCAGTTCTTGAAGCAAGATTATCAGGAGATGATACAAAGAAGAACTAAACCGATTGAATAAAGTTTTTCTATTTTGTCTTGATCATTCCTTATGCTGAAATTTGCTTATTGATGTGGCAAATATCACCAAAAAAAATTTAATAAGAAATAAATCAAAAGTTACGATTAAATTATGAGCATTCCCTTAGGTATGTCATAATATTTATTATTATTATTATTATAATACTTATTGTTAGATATGATTTTAAGGTTTTTAATGCAGCAACATAAAAACTTTCATGCTGTCTCACTCAATCTCAACAGATATGCAGAAAAAGTTATTGCTATTGCTTTGGAATTGTTTCTCTAGAGCGCTTGTTAATCATCATGACATCAAGTAAATATTTATTTGTCACATACATCTTGTGAAACACATTTTGGTAAAACAATCTTCAACTCTGCTTCGAATAACCTCTATGAAAAAGGCGATAAACTTTTTTTACATTTATTATTCATTCATAATAAACAATAATTAAGAAATGTCAATAACTTCTTCAACGTAAACGTGACAATACGTGACTAATAAATGAAGTAAGTTTATCAGCCTTTTAATAAAGGTTATTCGAAGTCGAGTAAAATTTTTTTTTCCAAATTAAACCACCTACGCAAATATCCCGAGTCATGAATCATGCTTAAGCGCGACAAAATAAATTTGATATATGAAAAAGTAAAAACAAGAAGTTTTCTTGTGTCTTTTCAGATTCTTAAAGTGAACATTTTCTTTGATTTCTATAATGTTTATAACAAAAAGGGAAAATATTGCATCAAATATCATTTCATTGTATGAAATAATTTCTGACAACACTTTTGCCTTTCTGATTGGATAAGAATGATATCATTTATCGAGAAAGATGTTTCTGTTTTTGTTCGTGAATTATCGTGGGGTTATCATTATTTATTCGAAGAGTTTCTTATAAAAAGGAGACATTCTGTTCTGAATATCATTCACGTTTTCTTTTTGCAACAAGTTTAACATGGAATTAAATAAAATTTTTATCCTAGCAATTTGTTCTCTCTTTTGGAACGCAGATCTGGCTACAAGTCAAAAACGCTTGAGTGTTCGGTGTATAAATCAGTGCCCTGCTCTTGAGGACAAGATAAGATCATTAAATACTGAGCTGGGTGAAATTCGTAACAGAAATGATGCTAATATGAAGGAAATCATGACGACTGATGACATGAGTCGTTTTGTTAAACTTCGAGAAACAGTAGAGAAGCAGGGAGAGGGAAGAATAAGCACAAGATCGATTTCAGAAATGAATTCAATCCTGGCCAAGTACTATGAAAGTAATCCAAGAGCTGCAGCTTGGGAAGTGATGGCTGAAACAAGTGTACGAGTAGAAGAAATAACAAAATCATTTGATGACATTTTAAATGATCGTTCAGTGACGGATGAATACTGTGTCCCCTGTATTGAATCATCAGCAATGAAAATTGGCATTACTGTGACTTTTAGTTGGCCTCCTCCAAAAATTAAAGTTACATTTACTTTTTCATTCTAAAGTGAATCAAGCAAAATTTTGATATTTGTCATTAATAAAAAAATATTTCTGACCAAGTAAAGAAGTTTTTCAAATTTATCCATAAATGTAATGAATTCAAAGATCTAAACTTTTCTAAATACTTAGGGTTATAAAATTTAAATATTTTCTTGAAAAACAATCACATTGATTTGTAATTAACGTTTTCATTAATTTTCTTATTCAAAGCTGTCCTTTTGATATTTACGTAGGTCCACCCTTGGGTGACGGACCACCGTATTGGATTTACGCAAAAGTTTAAAAAAATTTGCTTAGTTATACTTAAAATGGCTTGAAACGTTGAAGAAAGTGAAAAAAAAACAAAATTTCTGTCCGCTTTCGGGTCTAGATGGATGTAGCTCTGTAGTGGTGGGAAAAGCAAGAATCATGGATGATAAAAGCTTGCTATGAACTTCATTAAGAACAACCAACTGATGATCCTAAAGTATTGACGATGGATGATTTATCAGCAGGTTTTGTAGTATTTCTGGTTCTCTTAATGTTTTCAATAGCATCATTTTTATTAGAAATAATAATATACAAGCTGGCAATGCTGTTTGATAAAAACCTGAAAGGTTATATCATAAATAAATAATTATCCTGCTGTCGTCGAACTAATTACCTTTTTTCACTTTCTTCGAACATGTTTCTTGTTGTTTCTTAAAATGTCATCTTAATCTTTACACCATTTTCATAATTAAAAGTATCTAAAACCAAGAAAAAAAGTTTTTACCGAAAGTCGTTCACCACATTAAATATCGTACAAAGCCCTATATTTTTCGTTTAATTTAAATAATTGTTCTATCGAAAAAAGATCTAATTAAATTCTAAGCTTCTAATCCAATGTTCAGTTAGTACTTTTTATAGTTTCTTGTAAACGTTGAACAATTCTGATGTCCTGTCACATGAAAATTTACTGACTAATAAAGGTAGCTTAATTTATCATTGAGTTTTTCCGTTACGGAATGTTTAAATTTTAGTAGCACAGATACTGTTATAAAATTTAACGACACTATCAAATTCAAATCTCATGCATAGCCCATCTCAAAATTTTGTCGGTCGCTCAATAAAAAGTCGCAGCGCTCATTCCTCTTCAGAAACAAAAAAAATATTGAACTGAAAGAAATATTGTTTCTCTTTGAAAATCAGTCTCAATGGAGGTATTTGAGACTGAAAACTTTTACATCTTCGTCAATAAAGGAAAGTCTTTATGGTGGAATCGTAATACATCTGAGTTTCAAGTGAAATGTGGTAAATTTAAAATTTTCCAATTATTTTTTTTCTTTTGATTTCTGAGTCATGCATTTTTAATCAATTACGGTTCGTTACAATTTCAGGATGGGATTTATCTTCAGTTGGTGATATAGAATGTATAGGCATAACATATGGCATTATTGGTGAGATAAAGTTTCCAGGCGTTTACGATCCACATTTACTGATAATTCGGGAAGCTGCTGCTATCGGATCACTCGACCAGAATCATTTGGTGTACAAAATCAAGAATGTCTGTATTTTAAGTCAAGAAGAACCTGACACTCCACTATTTCCATGTTCCAAGCATAGCACAGTTCCCACAGCTCGTCCAGCTTCATCAAATTCAAACAGTCCACAATCGAAAAATAAACTCTTCGACAGCTCATCCCAACTGATGAAGACATGGGGAGCAATGAAAAGTGCTGGCAGTACGATCAAGAATACAACACAACAGGCAGCAACAATAGCCACGAGTCAAGTGAAATCAAAAGTTGGGATTAAAGAACCTTATAAGAAACTTGAGAAACGAATTAGTGAAGAATTGCACAAGATTTTCGATGACACAGATTCGTTTTATTACTGTCCCGATGTTGACATCACAAATACCCTCCAAAGGAAAGAGTCGGGATCGCACGATGATCGATTCTTCTGGAATAAAAATATGCTTTCTGAAATTATAAAGCTCAATGACGATAATTGGATTCTTCCGGTGATTCAAGGTTTCGTTCAAGTCGAACAATGTGTCATTGACAATGAATGCTTTCGACTTGCACTTGTGTCACGTCGTTCACGTTTTCGTGCTGGAACTCGCTACAAACGAAGAGGCATTGACGAAGATGGCAACGTAGCAAATTACGTTGAAACTGAACAAATTCTTTCTCTTCGACAACATCAAATCTCATTCACACAAATTCGAGGTTCAGTGCCGCTCTTCTGGAGTCAACCGGGTTATAAGTATCGTCCACCACCAAGAATTGATCGAGGTGAATCATCATTATTATCAGTCCTTTCATTTTAACAAAATGTCTTTTAATGTTTTAGATGATGACGACACTCAAAAAGCATTCACAAAGCATTTCGAAAATGAACTCCAAATTTATGATCAAATTACAATTGTGAACTTGGTGGAACAATCAGGAAAAGAAAAAATTATCGGTGAAAAGTATGCGCAGCATGTGATCACTTACAATAATGAGAAATTAACATACGTAACATTTGACTTTCATCATTATTGTCGTGGAATGAAGTTTGAGAATGTCACAGCGCTTATTGAAGCATTAGCTATGGAACTTCATGATTGCGGCTTTCATTGGCGTGACACGAGTGGACCAATTAAAAATCAAAAAGGAATATTTCGCGTAAATTGCATGGATTGTCTTGATCGTACGAATGTTGTGCAGACAGCTTTAGGAAAAGCAGTTTTGGAGTCGCAATTAGTAAAACTTGGACTTGCTCCGCCAAGCTCTCAACTTCCTATCGAACTTAAATCAATGTTCATGGTTTTATGGGCGAACAATGGCGACGTCATTTCACGACAATATGCTGGGACAAATGCTTTGAAAGGTGACTACACAAGAACTGGAGAAAGAAAAGTTTCAGGGATGTTGAAAGATGGCATGAACTCAGCTAATCGGTAAGTTGACACATCTAAGTGGAAATTGATTCGTGCACATCTTTAGCTTCTTGTTCGTTTTCATTTTATTTCGCTGTAGATATTATCTTCAGCATTTTGCGGATACATTCCGGCAGAGTGTTATCGATTTGCTTCATGGACATTTGGAAGATATCAGCGAAATTTCAGCTGATGATCCATTTGATCAAATCGCAAATATTGCGCAATCGGCTTTGGTTCCATCAAGCCCAGCGCCAAAATATTTTAATTATGGGATTCTTGGGAATGATTTGAAGATGATCGAAGATACGGTTGTGTTTGCAAGGTTTATGTTGCTTATAAAATCTTTTTAATATTATTGAATGGCACGGTCTTGACTTGACTTTGAATTCTTCTTGACTTGACTTTCTCGGGTGACTTGACTTGAAGCAGAACCCAAGCAAGTCAAGTTGAATAATCGATTATTTGTGTTTAATTTAAAATTTAACCTGATTTTTAATTCAATTCATTTCTTTAATATTTGCAGTTACTATTTGGCTCGATTTAAAGACACATATCGGCAAGCTACAATTGATTTAATGTTAGATGGAAATGTATCTGGTGAATCATTAAGTGCACTCAGTGGACAGCAAGTTAACGATGAACATGACGCTGTTGAAAGTGCTGAACATGCGAGATTATTAGTTGAAGATTGTCGAAGAATGTTGTTAGGCTCGTCAATGCTGCCAATTGGTGCTTGGGGATTAATTGACGCTGACCCATCAACTGGAGACATTAACGAAACAGAAGTTGATACAATTTTACTTCTAACAAGTGACGAGTTTATTGTTGCTGACTACGATTCTCATTTGGATAAAATTGTACGCTTTGAAAATGTTCCATTGAAGAATTTAACGCTTGTTGAATTCGGATTATTTCAACAACAACAAATGTTTAAAGGCCCAGCACCAGCTCATCTTTGTATTCGTCTCAATTATATGATGGAAGGTGTCGATGGATATTTTCATATGTTCCGATCACCAAACATCAGATTCTTCAATACAAGTTCAGTGATTATAAAGAAGAATGAAGAACTTGTCGAGTCAATGACAGCAATTGTGGAATTCTTTCGAATAGCTCTTGAGAGTATCGGACGATCAGACATTCCATTCATTTGCGGTGGGACATTGCAGAGAAGAAAGAGTAGAAACTTATTGCAACCACCAGGAATTCCAAGGAATCTCAGTGAGTCTCAATTAGTGCAAATTGGTTCGAAAGCTTTGAGTAATGTTGCTGGTCAATTCTCTAAACTTGGCCAAAGTTTGAATCCATCAAAATCAAAGAACAACAAACAAAATGCGAACCCTCCAGTTGTTTATAACTCGACAAACGAAAGCAGTAAAGCGAGCAGTTTCTATGTGGGACGAGAAGCGAAAGAAGAAACTGACGAAGATTCCGATGACAACGAATGTTCAATTTATGAACCCGACTTAATGGATACTGTCGAGCAGAATCCAATTTACAATGAAAATGCTTTCTTACCGAGTGTTGGGATTGTAATGTCCAACAATGCGCAAGATAATGAAAGTTCACCGGAAATGATGGAAAATAAAGACACGATGGGAAAGAATCCATCTGACATTACGACAGTCTCCATCAGTAGTGTCACTGACAACATTCGCGTTCCTTCAGGCATGATAAGTCCAATGACGAGTCCAATGAAGTCAATGCCACCACAGATTAAAGTTGAGAGCTCAAGTGGCACGAGATCAGAAATGACTTTGAATTTGAGTGGATCACAAAGTGAAAATGCCTTAAAGCAGTTGAAAACATTGACGAGTCCATTAACGATGCTTGCAAAAGGTGTTCAAAGTCTTGGACTGACACCAAAGGTGAGTTGACATTAATTTAAAATGTTTTCTTAAGAAAAAGAAATTAAAGAAGAATTTTTCTAAGCAGACAGCTAATGCGCCAACTTCAAACGATTCACCAATTAGTGATGCACAAAATCTTGAAGATAAATGGACGGAACATCAATGCAAATCAAAGTTAATTGCACTTTAGATTCAGTCGAATTTTTACCTCTTTAAATTCCTTTTATTATTTAGATTGAAAACAAATTGTGATGTTAAATTGTATTGTTTTCCATATTTATCATTTATAATTCCATGTAAAATTGTTTGTGATCTTTTCAGTTCGTTTGACGAGTGAACCAAAAAAAAGAATTTTTAATTTCTTTTTATTGAAATCGCACAAAAGTTTTCAAAAGTATTTTATTTACCGGAAAGTATTAAACTAGAGATTTATTCACTTAATTATTTATTAACAACAAAATAAAAATAAACGTTTTACCGCTTGTTTCGAAGAGTTGTTCAAAATTATAAAGTCAATTGTGAAATTTGGTCAGTTGACAGTTTGTGGGTAATTAGGAAGTAAATTACCTAAACAAACATTCAATTCTTGAACTAAATGCGAATAGTCTTTCAAGCACAGTTAATAAATGAGAAACAAATATAGTATAATTAACTGACAGATGATTTTTATTTTGTCTCTTCCTCTTGGCGGAAAATCAAAAATGTTGATTAATCAAACTCCATTTAAGTGTAGACAAAAATGTTCAGAAGTCAATTAAATTATTGATCAACAACTTGTGAAACTTTCATTCAAGGAACAAAAATATCTTTAATTGAAAAAATATAATAAAGCTTTGAAGGTGTTTGAATAAGGAAAATTGGATCCAATTAAAAACGATGATTATGAACAATGAAAATTGAGGATCAAAATTAGTTATTTTAGTTGAAAATTATAGAATAAAATCAAAATATTTAGCAAATTTACATTCACAAGCAGCTAACAGATGTGAGGATGATTTTAGCGAATATTTATGATGCTTTAAATTCCATATACACACGTGTAAGTGTAATAAGTAAACATTAAGAATTACTGACAGTTTTTCTCTCATTAAATAATTGCGGAATGCTTGCCAAAATGACAAAGAATAAAGAATCGAAGTGAATATGAAGCGATTCGCTATGTTTTTATTTACTAAGTTTAATTATTTAATAATGCTGATGACCACCAATGATTAGTTGTGAATGATTACGAGTTGTATTTGATTATTCTCATGCTTTAATTGAAGGTTGAAAGTGATTGGTTTATTATTTATTAATCGAGAATTAAATAAAAAGCAATAAAATTCATGAAACTATTCCAAATCTTTTAATTCTTCTCGTCATACATAAATATTTATGTAAGTAAGTTTGATGTGACCTAAACTTTTCTTCTCCATTTCGCCTTCCTTCCAATTTCCTTCCACCATTTACCAATTCAATTCGTTCAATTTGATGTAAGTTAAGTTTCAACGGTTGGTTGGCAATTCGCAAAGAATTTCCGCAATATCTTCTTCACGTTTCTTGGTCGTTATTAATGGTCTAGATGTTTTCGATTACACGCCTTCTTAACTACGTAAAAAGAAGTGAGAGAGCGATAGAAAAAAAGGAAAGCGATTTACTTCTTAAACTCCCCCATAATAAGGATAAAGCGCTCTCTCTCCCTCTTCAGATTGCAATTGAAGAAGCTAAAGCACCTAATAGCAGAAAATGGATTTTGCCATTCAACTCGTGCGACAACAGCAATTCTAATAAGAAGAAGGAGAGAATTAAGTTCGTGGGAATGGCAGAGTGGCAAAAGCAAATTAAAGGGTGGATTAAGACGAGGGTGGTAAAAAAATTAAGTGGTTTAAGATAAAAAAAGAAAACAGAAACAGAATTGAGGGCAACGAAGCTGAAAAGTTCGCTTCTTAAATGGTTTTTGTATTGGAAGCGTTAATTGTGTTGAAATCTTCTTCATCATTAAAATCTCGTGACTGGAATCTTAAAGAAAGTTATCAGCTTGAATATTGTCATTTTCGATTCGTATTTCTCAAAGAACCGTAAAATGTTCATTGAATAATATTTCGCTCTTTGACCTTTTGTCTCTAAGCAAAGATCAATTATTTGATTTCGTTTTTATTTCGTTGACATCGAGAAAAAAGATAAATTGGAAGCAACATTAAATGATTTTCTTTTTTAATTGCATAGATGTTTACATTTCATGAGTTCTTGATAATTTTTTTCAGATTCGCACCATTTGGAGCGGATCCCTTTACGTCTGCTTTCTCTTTCATCCCAACCATTATTGCTACTCGAAGTCTAAATGTCTTTTTATCTTCCATCTATTATCGTTCTCATCCTTTTAGAAAATGGCTTATTTCTTCTCTCTTCCTCTCACTCTTGTGTAAGGATTAAGTAAAAAAAGACATAATAAAATAAAATATTTAAGGCGATAAAAGTAATGGTCGCTTTACTCATTGCCTTGCTTTTCTCAGAGAAAATCGTTGAAGTAGAAAATTACCAGCAATTTTTCTAATGTCCATCCGAGACGAGATTGTGTTGTAAAAGGGAAGACTGAGATTGGCTAGAAGAGAAAGGAGAAAGGCGAAAGGATTTAAATGCTTTCTACATAGTTCTTAAATTCATCCTTAATCTGAGGCGATCGCAATAAACTTGATTTTATTGTTGTTGAATTTGGAACTAGCATGATAACCCTTTAAAAGTATCTAAGCGAATACTTGCCAAGAACACAATGGAAAATTACAAAAGACAAACAAACTAATGCACGTTCATTTTCACGCAAACTTGTTTAATTCTTCACTGCCCTTGAGGAGAACAAGATTTCTAATTGACCCAAGGAGGGAAATGAGTTGATTAAACGCAGGCAATCTCACCACAAGCACCGAAACTTTTTCCTTAATTTCTCATTTTAATTGCTTTGTGGAACTTTTTACGCTCCAGGCTGTTAAAATATTTCCCTCATCTTATGCATAATCATTCTGGCAGTTCCCATGTCCAATGACCACGAGAATGAGAACAATTTTGCCTCTCAATTAATTCATGAAACTGTTTCCACATTTTTTTGTTATTTAAATTCTTTATTCGAGTCGAAACAATCTTATTATGATTTAATTTCAATTTAATTTACAACACGTGACTGACGGACGACTGTGCGTATACAAACAAGTGCAACCTCAGCAACAATCATCAGCTGTGCACATGCGAGGAAAATTATGGTTTAATTTGCTGCTTTCAATCGAGTCTCAAATAGGATTGGAATTTATCTCGCTTTTACAAAATTTAACATCACCATCACTGATAAATATGACGGGAGAAATGAAAGGAAAATTGGAATTTTCCGGATGGTAAGACATCAATTGTTGTTCGAAAATCTTCATCGCTTCGTTGTGAAAACGAAGTGTTGTGAAATGCTAATGGGTTGATGCTGTTTTGACACATCGGACAATTGGTTAACGGAAGCATAACATCTCCAACGAAAATTAATTCCTCATGATTGCGGGAAAAATCGCACGGAAAAATGTTTTTCACTCTGATATCTAAACCGATTTTATTTTAAAAGCTTTTAATCGAATCGTCTTACGCTTGAATTAAAAGGAAAATTGCTTCGATCCCAAAGTGACAAATAAAATTATTTTATGTGAAAAAGGCTTTAACAAAGCGAAAAGAAGGAAAATGGATTCAATTTCAAGGGCTTTTAATTCGATCTCTTTTTGAAAGAGATGAAGCAATGATGGCCGATTAAATATGCATACTTATGTATGTAAACGTTTCATCCTTTTTCCATTGAACACCACAAAACATTTAAGGAAGAATAAATTCTTGCTTGAAATGTTTTTTACTTTCAAACTGGTGAACATTTAAGATCAAATAGGTAACTTTTTGTGTTTTATAATTAAAAGAAGTGAAGTTTCAGCTCTGCCAATATTAATTTCGTCTTTGAGACATTTTCTGACTCACTCATTATTTGAACTTAAGTCAAAATAATGTTTTTTTAAAAACTGGTGAACAATTAAGATCAAATAATTTTTTGTGTTTTATAATCAAACGAAACTTGTTTCAGCTCTGTCAATATTAATGTTTCCTCTATTATACTATCATACACGATCATAACTTGAGTTTAAGGCAGAATAATGATTGTAAACATTTGTGTCAATGTTAAAAGAAGTCACATTCGTTCATATGGATTAGTTGCGCATTAGTGATGGTACATTTAAGTGTAATCATTAAAGATCAAATCATTCATTCCACTATTGTTTTTCACACATCCTTAATTGCTTTGACAATCCTTTCATTCATTTCTCTAGGGAGTTGTCTTAATTAGCTTTGCTTCCGATAATTGATAGCGGGAGCGTAAATAAAATTCTAATAATTAGTAAAGTGACGAACGATACTTGGCCGAATTTGAATTCGTTTCACGTGAAGATTTTCTGATGTTTCTATTTTCATCCCTTTTAAAAGAAATAAGGAAAAAAAATTAAAATAGATGTTGCGATTTGAAAAGGGGATTAGAGACGCGTTAGTCAATCATTTCGACGAGAACACTGTGACACAATCAATTTGATACAGTTACGCAAGGGAATGAAGTGAATATAAATAAAAAAGTACGACACACAAATCGTGAATTAAAATGCAATTTATTTTTATGGGCTCAATGCGATTATTCTCTAACAGTCGTTCACTTCCTTTTATAAAAAGTCATGTAAGCGTGTAATTGTCGAGAGGGATCAATTATGAAATGAAAGTAAAGATCTAAAACTGGTATGAAAGTACGTTTATCAATTAAACTAAACATGTGGGAGAAATACTCACATAATAGGGATAAAAAGACAAGATAATTCCAAGAAATTTTATCTAATCTGATGATAACGAAAGTTAATTGAAAATATTTTCTTTCTTTTATTATTGGATTTTACAATTAATTCCTAATGATTGATGATTAATGTTTTCTTGGAAATTATCAAATCATGTTGTAAACGGTCGTTGGAGAATAAATAGAATGAAATTTAATTCTCTTTTTATTTTAAAATGTCTAGTTTGAAGTAAAAATTGTAACTGAGTCTTATGATTGTCGTCGTGGTTTTCGATCATTATTTAACATTGAGTCGACTTTTTCACTATCTCAAATTCACTCACAAATATTTTTCACTTGAATCAATAAATAATTATCTGGAACTTATTTTTCCTGAACATTTTGCGTATAAAATTGTAGATATTATTCAACAACTTCCTCTGTTAAGTCATAAATTAAATTACAAAATATTTATTAACAAACAAATATCAAAAATTCATCAATTTCAAATTACATAAAATGTAAACGATCAAATTATAAACAGCAAAGCAATAAAGAATTCTGCTTTCAAAATATTCTTTCATTCTCCTTTTTTTCTGCATCCTCAAGCTTGTTGAATCCCTCGCAATAACGCAACATAATTGATATGCCAAAAAAAAAAGTTTAAATATTTGGGATGTGTTTTTGGTGGTTGCGCTTGCAAAAGAAGCAAAATGAAAACGAACTTCATACTAAAAAGGGGTTGATTTTTGCCGACAACGATGTAAATTCAATTTTTAATATTTAATCGACTCTCGCATGATACCGAGGAAATGCCAAAAAAAAATATTCAAAAGAAAATTCCGCTGGAAAATCCAACGAAAAAAAATCTGAAAAGCTTGAACAAGCAATGTCATTTGTGTATGCAATCAGCAAATAAAAATTCAGCGGAATAATTTTCTTTCATTTTGTATTCCAACATGGTGCTGATGGTGGAGACGAGAATTTTTACTCTCTTAGCAGAACACAATGTGGATTCAGACTTCAAACCTTAGTTTGATGCTCAAACCTAACACATACTTACGAGAAGTTCAGCAGTAAATTTTGATAATTGAATGTGTCTGTCAATAGAAAACGATCTGGAGAAGATTGATTATGTTTTATTGGCAAATAATTGGTGAAATTAGTTTCCCTTTTCCTTCTCCACATGCTTCGTTCGAGCAGCAACAGCAGGAAACTTTATGTTTATTGCATGAGACTTTTATGACTTTTGGTTCAAATTGAATTTTTTTCTTCTTTTCCTCCGAGAAAGTAAAGCAAGAAAAAAAGCAAATAAAATTGAATCGCAATTGTGATAACAATCTTGTAGTAAGTTTTCTCTCCCTTGTCGATGCTTCCACAGCATATTTGATGATTGTAATCAGTTTAATGCGTATTTGATGGCAAATATTAGTTTTTGGTTCGTCTTCATCCGCAAACTCTTTCTTATACTACACAGAAGTGAAGTGTGCGTTTGTTTGAATATCATCGGTCTTTTGTTAAGTATCCATGCTGACTTCGGATATAGATAACGTTTATTTGATGATTTCAATCAGATAATTGAACCCAATATTTACACAACAGTCAAACTCTGATTTAAATTCGCGTTCTTTTTTCCCATTTGCATTTCCAACCCTTCATTAATAGCACATTTAAAAAATTATGGAAAAGGGACGCAAATCATCATAATCATAATTTAATTTTGATTGTTTGACTGGTGTTTATTTTATGATTGTTATGCTAGCTTTGAGTAACTGAATTTCACTGCATTCAAGTGTGTTTACATTTCACAAATTCTCAGATTGATATATGAAGTTTCTTTCTGTTTATTCTGAGAGGGAAAATCATATAACAGGATTAAACTTTTCAACAAAAGAGAAAAGTTTTGACTTGCTTAGGGCTTACTTTTATAGTCCACATTCGATCAGTGAATTCAAATTTAAATGCTCAAACGATTATTTACTGATTTGTGAATTGGGTTGGATTTCGTGTAAGCAAAAAAAAACCAGAATCAATAAATTTCAATCGTTGAGAAATGTAATCTGCAGACGCTAACCCTTTTCTTACTTCACAGAAATCTCGACCTGGAACCCTTTTCTCATCTTGGGTTTATATCAAGTGCAAATATAATTTTAAGGACAATTTAGTCATCGATTGAATGGCAATGATTTACATGAGAGTATTGTGAGACCTTGACGGGCAAAGGAAAACGACAAAATCAATTTTCACCGATCAAATATTTACGAATGAAAAGAATCAGCAAACTTTCTTCTATATAAATGATTTAAGCAATTGACGTGTTTATTATCAATACAGAGTGTTAGAAATGCAAGTTGATGTAAATCGATTCTCTTCACTTGTTTCCATTCCTTGATGTACAAACAAAATCAATGTCCTGACCGACACTCGATTACGTGTGATTTATTGCCACAACAACAAAGAAATACTTTCAAATATTTTCTACAATCAATTCAATTATTTTTTATCAAAAACATCCAAGCAGAAAGTGTCAAATTATTTTTAATTGAAGTTCATTTGAATTTAATTTTAGAAACGAGACAGCAGTGAAAAGTCAAAGAAGTCAAACGTTTTTATTTTGCTACCCTGATCAATTGTTTTGTCATAACATTAAAGGCGACACAAAAAATTGAATATTACGCCCAGCCAAATCAAAACAACTTGAAAAACAGAAAATCTATTGAGTCGATCTACAAATCATTTGGCAGTCAAGCGGGAATCAACTTACAGATGATGAAGAAAAAATAAAAATAAATAAATCAACATGAAGTGACATTTCCAGCACGAGAAATCGAGAAAGCGAATTATAATTTGGAATAATTTCCATAGTCACAATTCACAAATTAATCTGTCAGTTTGTAGTTTTCACAAGCGCAACAAGATGTATTGCAGGAATATTTAAAAATTAATTTGATGATTTCACTGTGTGCATTTGCTTGGAAAATCACTTAACAATCGTAACATGCAAGCGCCCCTGATGTCAACAATTGTGAATTGTGAAAGGACACTTTTTGCATTTTAAACTTGCTTTTATCTGTCGTGAAAAAAAATACAAATTTTAATCGCGTTTCTTTCAGCTCATTTAATTTGAATATAAAACGGCAGAATCATTCTGAGTGGAAATCTTTTCGCAGATGATCCCTTTTTATCGTCAACAACTACCTAACTTCTGGGATGAAGTAAAAGTAATTTCACTTTCTCGTAAAATCGGGTCATTTAAATTTTTGTGTTGTTGCGACTCCAGAAATTAGTAATTTTCTAAAAACATTTCATAATCACCTCTTTTAGACTCTTAATTAACTGTAAGTGTCAAGGAAGCCTTTATTTTATGATTGCAGATCATGTTGCGGCAAAAGAGAGAAAGAAAAAAAATAAATTACTCAAGCTCATCGGGTGAAAAACAACATCGTGTGGTTCACATCTCGAAATATTTTTGCCATTAAAAATTAATGTTCATCTTCTTCTCGCTCACCCATGCCGTCATAAACAAGTAGTTTCCCTGCATCACTTTTGGTGTTAACGAGATGTTGTAATGACGTAAAACGAGATTCAAACGAGGGTCGAAAAGAACTGCAAACTAATGGCAATCAAATGATAATAATGTCAAACAATTATTCTGAAATGATATCATTTGCGCATATGTCATGAATTTTCTCTATTAGTCTTCGTTTCTTCAGGGGAATTTGTGATTTTAAAATTACTTTTAAATACTTTACCAAGATAAAACATTTGACAAATGATAAATTGAGTTTGGCCTCAAGCATACAGAGAAAAGCGATTTTTCAATCACAGAAAATCTCTTTTTGTGGACACGACTTCGTTGTGTTCTCACATCACGTTAATGCCTCTTGAAAACGTTAAATAATTTACCAAAAATACTTAGAAACTTTTCCTTCTCTTCCTCGTCGATTGAGTAGATGTATCTCGATGAAAATGTTAGCAGGTGCATGAATTTTTCGGTGAAAACGAAATGAAGAGAAAATCCCTTGCACGGATTTTGTCTTCTAACGTTCTCGTTCATGCTTCACCATTTTTTATTCCCTTCTACCATATCAAACTTACTTAAATATTAATAGAGGTTTGATGAGAGTAAAATGTTTGTTGATCCAGGGGATCAGGACTTCAGGAGAAGTAAAAGTGAAGAAAATTACGCTTGTACAATCAACGAAATCCCCGATACGTCCCGTAAATCCCAAGTGGCAACGATAGAAAATTCTTTTATTCGATTCTTTTATTCAAAGTAAATGACCCGATAAAATGGTTTTTTCCTTCTTTTCTTCGTCTTTTACTCTTCCTTCTCTTCTGTTGCTTTTCGACTGTTACGAATGTGTTCCATGAAAAATTTATGTTGCTCCTTGCTTCTTGCTGCTTGTGATGTTAACATGAAGTTTTCTCTTTTGCATTTTCTATGTTGCTTCGGAATTAATAAACGATGATACCAAACACACGATCTTCATATATTTACATCCCTCTGTCTTCTCCCTTAAATGCTCGTGTAAAATCTTTTTAAACTACAAATATGCAGACATTATTCCTTAGAGTGTGAATTTAAATATTTTTGCAATAAATTTTAATAATTTAGTGCGAAGAATTGTAACTGACTTTGGGTCGTTTAATTTCATCCCTTTCTCTCATCCAAAATGTTCAGTTTTGTTACTCTTCGAGTCTTGTTACGCCTTTGTTTGCCATTTAAGAACCATTTAAGTTTCAAGAATTTAATGCATAATTGACGAAGATGATGATTGCGCAGTCATTTCCTAATGAGCTTCGATCGTTTTCGGAGAAAGGAAACTTTCTTTTGGCCTGAAAATAATCTGCTTTTTTGATAAGATTGCCTTTGGGAAGTTAATAATTCAATGCAATTAAATTATTGACTTAGGCTTTGAGTTGAGTGCTTGATAAGATAATTAATTTCGTGGATGTTTTGAAGTCCCTGGCAATACCTGAGACTCAAACTCAAGTAGCGATCTGATTCGTTTTTATACAGAATTGAGTTTGGTAACGTGTGGAAAAATATTAAATTGAAAGACGTGTGCAAACTTTTAATTATTTCGGAGAATAACGAATGCTTAATTGTCCGTTAGTTGTCACTAAGTCATGAAATGAAGAAAAGGTCTACGAATTGTTTCAAGTACATTGCTACTGTTATCATTTCAGATAAAAATATTCCAACTAAATGAACTCAAATGTTCAGTCTTTGCAAACCCATCAAACGTTCAAGAATAATTTTCAAGCATTCACATATAAATTTAGGTCATATATTGATCAAAAGATTTAACAATTTAAATTTATATGACCGAAGTGATATGTGACTGCTCTGAGAATAGAAATCTTCATTGTCAAAACTAAACATTGAAATTTGCATTTTTCGACAATAAATTTAACTAATTTATTGAGAATAAAAGTTTTCTAACGAGATGTCTTCATATATCTCATTTAACAACGTAATAAAAGTGAAGAGTTGCATATTTATAATTAATGTTTGTTATTAAAACTGCTAAAGGACTATTTAGTCGTAAAGTCAAAGAAGAAACATCACAGCCAATTAACTTTCTCTAAGTTTTTTGTTCTCCAAAATATCATTTGTAAATTTAAATGAAGTTTACATCTGTTAGTGTTGAAAACTGTCAAAATGAGTTGAAAACAAAATAATTCGTCGGATGGGGTTGAAAGTACAAAAGTTAACAAAGATCAAATTTAACCAAACAGAATTGAATCGACAAATGGAAAATCAGTGATGCTTATTGTTGTCAACAGTAAAAAAAATGTTTAATTAAATTGCTTCCGGCTTTTAAATTTGTTTGGAATGAACTTCTTGTTTGCAAATAAATAAAGTAATTGAATAACATAATAAGACCATTTTGTATGATGTGCCTTGGGCAATAAACGTGTAAACAGAACAATCTGTAATATGATAGAAAGTTATCAAGATTTTTGATTAGAATTATCTTTAGACTTTGATATCCGTATTCATTTCATATCCGTATTCATTCCTTTTTTCCCATTAAAACGGTTTGTTCTACGGAAAATGCTTTGTGTTTCCAAATAATTCAAATGGACATTCAATCACTGCTCTCCCCTTCTAAAGTGTTTCCCTCGTCAGCTTTTCTCAGAAGGGTAAAGGAAATCCAATTATGTGCTGTTAGTATCAATTACCTAATCATTTTTCTCGTTAAGTATCTTTCTTGTATGAAAATTCTGCAATCATTTGCATCATCGCTTTTCTTATGACATCACGAAAGGATAATTAAGTTGATGTTGTTGCACAAGAATGAATTTCTTTATTAGAAATTCAAGAACGCATAAATCTCGTAAATCACGAAACATCATAAACCAGGAGCAGAAAAAAAGAAAGAAAAAAATTGCTTTTAATCTGAAATATCTCTAAAATTTTTATTTTTAACGATATTTAAAGCAATGCATTTTAATTGTATTATGTAATTAGTTACGCTTAACTATCGACTTTAGTATAGAATTTTTTAAAAAATCTTTAATGGATATTCTGTGTAGAAAGAAAATTGTTTCAGGATAATTATGAAAATGTAAATAGAAAGTCATGACAACTACCGTGAATAATTCTTGAGAATTTCCCATAAAATATTTTTTTTTTAAGAAATCCTTAACGTTATCCGGATGGCGCCTTAAAAACGTCGCAACAGTTCAATGGGAAGTTTCACTTTCACCGACAATTCATCAGTTTTTTGTGAACGGAACTAAAACGCATAAAAAATTAATCAAATCAATTTGAAATAGAATTTATCAATTAAATGATTCTATAGCAATAATAAGTGAATTAAAACAAAATTTACGTTTACAAGAGGTTTTGATGGTTTCATTTTCGAAAATAATAAAACTGTCAACAGTGAAACTAAACGTGGCAAGAAGTTATTGTCAAAAATAACTCGCTGCTTGTTTCCACATCTTATTTCCGAAAGAAATATGTTTCGAATCTTTCACGCCTTCGTAATTAGTTTCTTATTAATTAAAAGTCATCTGCTAACATTTTCTTCAGCTTATGGCTAATTAATTTATTTTTATTCTCATCGTTTTCTTGACGGAAATTTTCTTTAAACTCAAATCCTTTCGGTTTTACAGCAACGCATGAATGAAGTTTGATGTCATCTTCCTTCACTGTATTTAGAAAATTTACGCTCTAAATGCTTCAATGATTATAAAATTTAAATTTTTCACGATGAAGCTGACAATCAATATTTGTCGAGAATTCCCAAAATACTTTGCTCAAGTTGATCATCCGTCATCCCTGAAAAAAAGAGAAGTTTAAAGATTGCTTTAAATTTTTAATCGTTCTTCCAATGACAGACTTATTAAGATACTAACAACACTCATTTAACGTTACGATCGCGTTTGCACCACATGATGAACAATCATAAAATTTAAATGACAAAAATTATTAGCACGTTTTGATGAACATAAAAAGGCAAATTAAATATTTTTAGTGTCAAATGAAAAGGAAATTGGCTTTTTTATGATTTTTTTTTAGATATTTGGTGGATTTAAATTTTTTCTATTTATAAAATTTTGTGTCTTCAAATTATTTCTTAATTTAAATAGATTGAAGTTTCAAGGGAAAACATAAGATTAATTAATGTCACTTGAATATGTCTGTAATAAAGAAATATTTCATGACTGCCAAACCTCTCCTTTCATTCCCTTTTAAAATCCAACCAAAAATTCTCTCCAAAGATTCCTTTCAAAAATTGTATCATAAAGATAAATTTTATAACAATGAAAGAGTCAACACTTGATAACCATATTTATTCTGTGATGGTTTGGGGATGGGTAAAACGAGCGGGATAATTATCATCGGCCATTAATGTTGAGTGAAAATAGCGTTTTCAGCTCGTTTACAAAACATTATTGGCTGAATCACGTCTACAGAATCTTAATTGTTCTCGATTTTCACCACTTTCTACGTTTTACCCTTTTTGCAGTTTTCTATTCCCATACAACGCTCTTTGTTTTCATTTTAACTGCTTGTAACGATAATGAAAATTGGACTAAGTTGTTTGCTTAAAATCGGAAAAAAGATATTCATGATCTTATTTTCCTCTTGTGTTAAAATTTTAAATCGAAAGCGGTGATTATGTCTGTTGTGTCGACAATAAAATTGATATTTACATTAGTTGAAGAAAAACTCAATAAAGCTTAAAACAAATCCTGACATTGTTTATAAAAAGGAAACTTCTCAGTTTCCTCGCTGAGTGGAAAACATTCCTAATAAATATTTTACTTTAATCTTTTAATGTGATTTTATTTCTTTCTTTCGCTTCTTCTCCGGAGTTTTCGATAATTGAATATAAAAATATTTTGCTATTGATACGGCGGTGTCATGATTTGAAATTTTCATCTTAAGAAATCTGAAAAGTCTTCATAAAGAAACTTAAATAAAATAAATTGTATTCTCCATCTTTTTTCCAATAGTGATTGAACAAGTCTTTAATTTTATAATACTCAGCTACACTAACAATTGTTTTGAATCTTAAGTGAAAAATAAAAAAGTAATGAGATTGACATGAAAATTTAAATTAAATCCTTTACATATCGTACAGCATTAAAAAAGTTCTCGTCTCATACCAATTTTGTTTTTGTTTGAAAATCGGTTGCGTGATAGCATTGAAGAAGATTAGTTTTTTTTTGGTTTTAACATAAATATCTAACGAGCTATGAGAAATTCATCATATGTGGTGGTTTAACTTTCAATGTGATTTCCTCTTTAAAACGCAGATCATCGTGACATTAAACTGCTATCGAAAATATTTACTAGTGTCAATTCTAAGTCTGTTTCAGATATTAAACAAAAGAAAAATAAGAAACTGCGAAGAATTGAATATAAAAGGCTAAAAAACAATTCATGATTAAGAAACACAAAGTCAATTAAATATCTGTTTTCAAACGCTGTTATTTTGCTACACACAGACACAACCGAATGCTAAAAAACGTCTGTAAATATTAAAAAGAAAACAAAAGTTTGAATTCATCATTTATTATCAATTATTCGATAAGAAACATGACATGACATTTTTTTTTCGTTTCATTTGAAAAGTTTGCCAAGGAACAAAACTATTGATTATGGAACGATTTTATTATGGAGGAGCCATCGTAGGTGGTTGAGTGGGTGCTTGAGTAGGTGCTCCAGGACACACTTGGTTCTGCTTACAATTGTCGTAATCAGTTTGGATGGTTGCTAATGCACTCTGAGCGCTACTTGCTTCTGAGTTGATGCATTGTTCAGCTTGAGTTGAAGCAGCAGTTGCATCAGATTGACATTGTGTAACAAATACAGATAATTCACCCTGAATTTGTGATAGATAAGCATTGATTTGAGGAGGTACCTTGTTATAAGAAAAATAGATTAAAAGTAAATTAAAAATCATAATTGTCGAGAGACTTACTTGGTTCATACAACCAGTGTAAAAGAAATTAACAATAAAACCACTCAGACAAATCCCAAAGCTTGGGAGTGTAGCACTCGCGCAATAATGACAATTATCGAACTGCGCCATGAACTGTGACATTCTAGCAAGTTGAGCTGAAATTTTGAAGTCAATTTCAACTACATTGTTGAAATTTGTTTCCATTGCATTTTCAAAACATGTTTCGATTTTCTCAACAAATTCAGCTTGAACCTTGAAAACTTCATTGGCATAATGTTGACAGCATGGATAAAGTTCAATGTCAGATGCGATTTGATCTGTAATAGCATCACAAGCAGTTTCTACATCATTTGTTGCAGTTCTCAAAACTTGTTGCATGGCGCTCAGAGATGCTGCAACAGCTGTGGCGACATCAGACAGTACTGAATTAATAGCAGCATTGAAACCATCTCGATAAGACGTGAATGCGTTTATTAATGAATTTAAACTTGCGCGAGTTTGCGAGGTAAAGAAATTCACTTGTACCATACTTAATGTGGCTTGTAAATTTTGAATAATTTGAGTATATATTGAATTTGTCTGAGAAATGCTTGTGGAAACATTTGAAAGATATCTTCTTAAACGTCGAGCTAATTTCTTCAATGAATGTCGAATATACCTTCGGATAACTTCATTCTGTCGATCACGAATGTATCTCTTGTAATTGCGACATCTTGTAGCGGGATCTTGAGTAGTGGTAGTTGCTGTGCCTGTATTTTCAGAAGCACTCGATTGACTTGTTCTGCTATTAGTTTCTGAATTGGTTTTACTACTTCGGGTATTCGTGTTACTCATACTTCTGCTGCTGCTCTTGCTTCTACTTTTACTCTCACTTCTGCTAATCCATCTTCGAACCCATCGATCTTCGCTACTATTACTTCCACTACCACTTCCACTGCTACTTCGCTCACTACTAGTTGTACATTCTTTCCACAAATCTGCATCACTTATAATATAAGTGTTCGCTCTTGCTACAAGAATTGCAGCAGAAACTCCCAATTGTGCAACGTAGGCTCTCGTTGCAGCAATAGCTGCCACTATTTCCCCAACAGTTTGTGCATTCAAATTCAAAATCAATGCACCTGAATTCCCAGAACTACTTAGTGATGAGATTGTTGTACTAATTTGACTCCACATTGCGAGTACAGTAGCAGAGGATGGACAGTTGGCTTCAATGTCCAAAGCTTCTGCATAGAATTCACAACTTTTTCCAGCATATCTAATATCTCTTCTCAACACGGATATCCATTCAACGAACTCAGAAGCTTGAATACTTACTGAAACGCTACTTGTTGAACTGCCTGGCGAGGCAAGATTCACATTTGTTTCAGGGAAATATAAATCCACAAAAGAGAGATACTCAGAAGTAGTAAACTGATATCCACCAAGGATAGTAGTTAAAGCGTAAATGCCTTGAGAAACAATATTCACACTTTCTTGGAAATCAGACGCAACAGTTTTCGCGATAACTCGTGCAACAGAGGTAGAGGCAGCAGAAATAATTTCATTAAAAATGTCAGTAATAGAAATGGAGAACCCCTCTGTAGCTTGAATGAATTCTGTAACTACCACGCTTAAAGTCGTACTTAAACTGGATATGACCTTTGATAAAATAAAATTTAATTATTGATTAATAAATTATCTAATTGAGAAAAGAAGAATTTTTGTTTCAATTTTACTTTTAACAAGTTTAAATACTTACGGTCAGCACATTTTGGCTAAGAGCAACAAATACTGACGGTATAACGACATTCACTACAGTTGAAGTCACAGTGATGACCACCCCAAAGACACTTTGAAACAAACCTTGTACAAGATTTATCGAAAAGCCAATAAATTGAAACAAAATGGCATCATTTTGCTACATTTCAAATTACACAAATTTATATTTTATTAAAAAAATTGAGATGATCTTAAATACCTGAGCTGCAAGAAGCAGCAAAAAAATTATTATCGGTTTATTCATGTCTACAAAGTAGAAAAATTGAACACTTAATGACTTGAATCCAGAGCTACAGCTTCTTATATATTTTCTCTTAATTCTTTTGGCAACGTCATTACTTATCCCCAGATCTACTTCAAATTATTGTGAAGGTATTGAACAAGTGACGTGAAACACAAGTTCATAAAAAACAGAGTTTTTGAATCAACAATATTGGAAGATGATAATTTTAGTATTTTAACTCCTGTGAAACTTGAGATGATAATTTCTTAGTTAATATTTAGAATAATTTTCATTGTTTTAACTTATAAATGAGTAAAACTTACATCCCGTCGATTAATCTAATTTCATGTTTTGTTGTTGATAATTTTCCAGAAAACTTTCCACTACTTAACATTGAAGTATTAAATTCTTTCAAATGTGCGACTTATTACCAGACATTTGCAAAATAAACACACACAGACATCTCAAAAAGAAGATCAACGAAATATTTCCTATATTTGCTTATTATTCATACGAGTTGATAGTTATTTATGATGAATCCACCTGAAACATGAATTATTATCTCAAAATGAACAAAATCGCTACAATTGCGATTCATAAAACATAAAAAGCGTAATGTGTAAGCGAGGGTGAAATTTTAACGATGCCATTTGATTGCGTGAATAAAAAACTTCATCATTACTCGAAATATGAAACTGGAAAAGTCTTTGCGAGGATAAAAAAATACTTATGGACATTTACTGGAAGTGGTTCAACTGCATACATAAATATGTAACATAAAACGTTTTTTAATAAACGATAATGAAGCGCACTGATCTCTCTCCGGGGATTTTTACGATGTTGCAAATTTATTTATGTGCATGACAAAATGAACAAAGCTAAATTGGAAAAATGACACAAATAAGATGGCAAGTTCGGATTTACTTACTCAACCATAAATGCTGTCTTTGGATCATATCGATTCGTAATATTGTATCGCATAAAATGTTCCATCAATTTTAATGAGGCAAACACTTCATATAATTTCCTTTGAGCTTAATATTTTGTACATAGGGTAGTGGAAAATTGAGATACTGACACATAACAGTAGAGAATCTGCTGAATAAATTAAAGGCAGAAATAATCTCTTTAATTTAACGATAACAATCTTTTAATTGTATTTTTTGTCTACTTTCGTTGTTTGCGTCAACATTTCATTACTTATGATGCGTTTTATAACATTAAAAGTAATGCGTCACTTCAGGAACGATAAAAGAAGTTAAATTTTGCGTAACATCCTGTTTTAGAATTGTTACTTGCTGCTATAATTAGAAATGTATTGACAAGATATTTTTCAAAACGATGTCTTTGAAGATTCTCAGCTTCGTTAATTTCTATCATTCAGCTATGAAAACATGAATAAATTTTAAGAACACCAACTACGCACACTCTCAACACATATTTTTGTTTTCTTCATTTAATGTTCAGCTCAATTTAAGTTTTATTTAAAATTCTTTCCTTATTCTAAGACTTCATTCTTTCATATTCTTATTTACATAGATATTTTCACATTTTTATGTATAGAAGTTTAAGTAAGCATGTGTGCTAACCATTTAATTTATGGAACGGATACCCTTCATTGTTCAAGAAACTCTTTACGACTTTACAAAATAAAAAGAGAATTGTCATCACTAATAGAAAAATTATTACTAAAAATCCTCATCACCATCAAGGTTTCTCTATTTTTCCGATGTCGATCTATCCTTCTTTGGAATTGGAGCGTGATGATGGTGATGATGTAGTTGTTATTATGTATGCGAATGGCCAATATGATGGCTGTGACTGTGGCCATTCAAAGGATGAAAGTATGGTCCATATGGTGGATACGGCACGGTATGTGGATAAAGGAGACTGCTAGCATAACCCGGCCCGAATGATCCAGAAGAAGGTGGCGGAATTGTTGGACTATTGACGTCAAGTCCTGGGTTCTGTTTCTTCCATTTAGTACGTCTGTTTTGAAACCTTATAAATTTATAACGAAATAAAGAGAAGTTTTCATTTTGATATGAAGTTTGTTATTTATTTGTGTGTGAGTTTGTTCATTATATTTACCATATTTTGACTTGTGTCTCTGTAAGGCTAAGACTTAAGGCCAAGTTCAAACGCTCGCACACTGATAAATATCGTGTCGTCTTAAATTTATTTTCCAATGAAACTAATTGTTCGTAGGTGAATGCAGTTCTGGCTCTACTTAAGAAAATAAGTTTAAGCATAAACATTAATACTTATTTGATTTAAACACAAATTAAAGATGTTTGAAATAAATTTACCTTCGAGGTTTTGAATTGTTGCCTTGAGATTTTCCATCTCCATTTCTTTTCGAGTCGCTGATCTTTGAATCTGTTTCACTGCCTTCAATATCACTACCCAAGACATCGTCGCACAAGTCTTCGGGATCGATTTCATTAAGATCTTTCACTGAAATTGAAACAAGTTGATTATCATTTAAGAGATTAAAGTATAAATTAAAATAGCAACAACTCATATTCAAAATATAAATAAAGTTTCTTCACAAAATTTTCACTCAACTTCGACGTCATGATTGGGGAAGTCTTGTAGAAGATAAACAAACAACAGCTTAAGAGAAAATAAATTATCAAAATTGTTAAACAACTTTCATGTTTTGTAAAACTTTTTTCCCTTCCACCTCGTTCTCCTTTTAATGAGATGTCGGTTTTCTTACTAAATAATTTATTGCGCCATAAACGTTACATCAATATCATTAATTATTTCCCTTTAACAAATTTCTTCTTTCTCTCAAGTCTCTGTCTGTTCTCTTTAAAGTCTTTTAACATAACATCTCATTGAAATATCGATTTTACGAGTTGAAGCTCCGCAGCCCACAGTGACAAAATGGAGATTGTTAGAAGAATGGAATCATCTCTATGCGCAAATCAGAGTTTTTTATCTAGTGCTGCAACATACAAATGTCTCTCTCATCACGAAACAACCAATACATGTAAAGCTCCACAATTCCAATTGAATTGATACTTAAAATTAAATATTTACGATTCTGTTCACTCATCATTAGGATTTAATTAACTATCTACATCTTTTTTTATGGATGGCTATTCAACTCAATTTATATTTTCCCATTGGAGCTTTAAATGCACTTCTAAGTGCATTCACTTTGCATCATTTTATAATGTTAATAAATTTTAATATTTTAATTATATCGTCATGACTATTCTATCAAGATGTGAGATTATAACCTGATTCCTTCATTATCACACATCAAACACCACAATGTTGTATGTTAAATCGTTGAAATCAATATATATCTAATATTAACTGATTTAGCGACAACGACCACTGAAATTGCTGAGGGTTGTGGTGTTTGATTCAATTGTATGTCTGTTAGTGTCAAACCACGAACAAGTGTCCAAATAAATATAGCGCTATCCATTTCAATCCTCCCCATAACATTACGTACATGTTTACATGATTCAACTTAATCTAACTTTGATCCCCTTCACATGATGCGAAGTGAATAGAAAACACGAGAAAATAATTTGATTTTCGCTTTAACACTGGTACAAGTGAAATTGATACCAACTGAATTCAATTTCTTTATCCATTCCCTCAATGCTTGTATTTCGAGCATCAATTTCAAATATTTAATCAAATTTCTGCTGCAAGTTCTACTAACGAATCTTTTTTTGTGATAAAATTGAATATTCCGACGGCGCAAACTGCTTTCAGAGGTTTTTTCGAGTGACAGTAAAAATGTAAGCGCTATTTAAACCTGTTTGTGGCTGATGCAAGCCAATGAACAAATCTTCTTAAAAGCATTTTTTCTCTGAGCGACTACACTTTGGGAAATGCCAATAAATTTTCAGAAAATTGAAAAACTTGCTTCAAAACTTTTCAATTTATTGTCGTGAAAAGAGTTTCAAATCGTACACCTTCTTGATCCGACAAAACACATTTCAAAGGCTTTAAAGCTTTTCGCTTTTACAAAACATTGATTTCTTACGTACTTCCTTCCCACTCTTTTCAATATTTTCTTATTAAGTTAACAAAGAAATAAGTCCAGAAATAAATGTTAAAGGAATTGGCGCTCGTAATACTTTTAGAATTTAAAGATAACAAGCGGGCGTTTAAAAGTCGCTTAAAAGGCACTTTTCTTAATTAAATGGGATTTGGCAAGTAAGAAAAAGGGATGAAAACGTTTCGTCTAATAAAATATATTTCTTGAAGCGTGAAAATATCTCGTAATCGTTCTTGTTTTCTCAGAAAGGCTTGAAATCGTTTCACTAGCATTAATATTTAATAAGGAAAGGACAATTTTCCTAATTTATCTTTTAAGAAGTTGATATTAAGATCTGCGTAAAAGTTTTTCTATGGCGTAGAAGGTTTCGACACAACTTCAATTATGAGAGACAATTTCCCTATGAAACGTGTGTGTAAACATTTATTGAGCCACAGTTATTGATCATCACTAATTTTAACAAACTTACTTGAAATAAGTTATGAATAAAACTTCAAGATTAAAATTTTATCTCCAATCAAGAATTAAAATTTTCCATTAAATTAAGGTACGAGAGATAACGATAACAATTGTACAAAGATGACCTTCAGCAAATGCTATAATAATGAACACACATTGACAATCTTCCGCCTTGTGTCAATTCATTTAACAAAAAATGTGTTTTCGAAACGTTCCTCACACTTTTGCGATGCCATAGAAATGTCAAAATACTTTTTTGTCAAAAATTAAGTCGCCATATTTAAATTATAATTTCTCACAAAACTTTCCATTGCGTACTTAATGTTCATAATTATTGTCTGTTCTCTCGTTTGAAAAAGGTTTTGACAGCCTTAAATGGATGAAAATTACTGCAAATATTGTTTTATCGAAATCCATGCTCCCCATTCTTAAAACTTTTCCCCACCACCGCAATTTACTTCGCTTATTTTGTCAACCAGTTTATGATGCCATGTGGTAATTAACAGACTTGCTAATTAATCGCTGGAAAATCGTTTGTCACAAAATTTTTTGAGGTGGTTTATTGTCTTTGTTCCCCAACCCACCACATTACTCGCTTTAGAGGGTATCACATTCACCAGCAACTTTACGAACAACATTTAATTATCATTATTATTTTCATCATCATCATTAAACTTTGCATCATTAAAATTTTGTAACTTCTCGACTCATTGTAGATCTGACAACAAAAAGGAAAATTTTATTGTGACGAGAAAATATTTTTTCTAGCGTAAAATATTAATCAGACATTTGAAAATTCTACATCATGAATTGAACTATAAATGTATGCAAAATGGAATTCAAAGTGAAATTATCATCATTAATTAATATTATATTTTTTTGTATGTTGTAAATATCATTTCACACTCATTCAACCTCATGAGAAGGTAGTAAAATGATGGAAAAGTGAGCTTGACTGGTTTCATTTTCCATTCAAGCAAACTTGTTGTTATGATATATAATTGTTATGTTATTTTTAAGCCATGCTGAAAGCGAAATAGGATCGGGGAGATTGAATGTAAACCCCCCGGGATGAGTTAAAATGGAGAAATTTTTTTGGGTGGTTTGAAAGCAGCAGTAGAGAGATTTGTGCTTTATGCTTGTGTTTGTTTGTTTCTATGTACATTTTCCCCCAATTAAACGACTGTGTAAACGAAAAACATGTTGAAATAATTAGCAGTTATTAAATAACAGGATAAAAGCTGCAGTTTTGTACGTGTTTACGCAAAACATAATAATGTGCAAAGAAGCAGAAAATTATTGTCATTCATTGTTTGGAATAACTTTCGTTGTTAAGTTAAAGCACAATTGGAGTGATTAATTTGAGTAATTGTGTAATAAATTTCATTCGGTTCTTACGGCGATTTTTTAATTAATTAGATGTATTTAAGAATGATCATTAACAAATAATTATCATCTAAGTATGATGAACCGTAACGAAAACGAGAAAGGTTGCGCTATAATTAAATGATTTTCACTATAAACAACTCACTTGAGCGGTCATCGCTTTGATCATCATCCATTTTGTCATCACGCTCAATGTTATTCCACATGCGATGGCCATTAACACCTTGTCCATAATGCTTCTTACCGGTAAATTTATTTGGATCGAGGATGTTTTCAACAGAAAATGCTAATCGCTTGGGTGTCTCCTTTTCACTGCTTTCAATGCTTGGCTTTGAATCCATCGAGCGTGTTAAATCCACCGGACATGTCTGATTCAATTCGAGAAAAGGGTTTTATATACATAACAGCAATTAGAATCAAGTTTGTGTATCAAATTCAAGTCCTATGGGGTTAAATTGCATGCAAAGTTGTTTTGAAAGATGTCGAGCACCTTTTGGGGCTCAGAAAAAGGAAAGAAATAAATCAAGCGTAATTTAATTACGCAACTCACCGAATTTCCATCATGTGAACTGTCTTCGTTACCATCAACATTCAATTCTTCGCTGTCACTGTGTGTATCACTATGAGAATATCCTGTTGACAATCCACCCAACTGTATACGAAACCCAAAATCTGACAGCTCCTTGCCATTGGTAAGTGTTCGTGCTAATTTAATTCGTTCAATGTCTAAATCACTCGGATTATTATTGTTGTTGTTTGTCATCGTAAGACCAACATTTCCACCCACCGTCGGGATTAAACCATACTTAAAATTATTTAAATGATTGCTGTGGCTAAGAACATTCAAATGATGTGAATGGTGGTTTGAAAATGCTGAATGGTGGCTATTGATTTGTGATTGAAGTAGTTCCGCATTTAATGCAATACTTGCAGCCGTTGTTGTGACAATTAAACTTGAATTGTTTTGATATTTAGCGCTGTGGTCGATGGAATAAATTTTATTACTTGATAAACCGCTGTTTTCGATATTCGATGGACTGAGTCTTTGGTCAGCAAGCTGCTTCAGTCTTTCAATTGAAAATTTCGCACTTAGCTCATTTGAATCACGCTCGTTTGGTTTTGGGTAAAGAATTTGATCTAAACTGTTACGATTTGATGACGAATTCGAAGAATTTTCTTTGTTAATTGCCGATAAGACACTAAATTTGGGCTTTACATCTTTGACAGAATCTTCTGCTGGTTCAAAGCGAATAATTTTTCCATTCGACGGTGAATGTGACTCAGTTTTCTGAAACTTTTTCTCTTGATTTGGTGTGTTTAAATTATTGTTATTGTTCATTGGTGATCCTGGATTAGACGACATTGTTGGACTTTCTGGTCTTCCTGAATCAGATAAATTTGGTGACTGCATCATAACCATTCTTCTTCAAATATTCACATTCGTTAATCTTTTAAATTTTTCTATTAAAATCTCTTTTAATTCTTAAAATAATATTTTTAATAAATTGTTTTTCACTTGTCACACTTGTTATTTATTTTATTTTAATCCACCTGATTGGTTTTTCTTTCTTTTTTTGTTCACAATGTATGTACTTAGTAGATTTATACAAGCCAATGATCAGCACTCATAAATTCTTAAAACTTTTTCCGTTTTTAATTTACAATATAAAACACTTGTCGCGACGGCTTACGAGACCAAAATATCTAAGAATCAAGTAGCAGAAAGTAAATCTTATTTGTGACAGATTGAGAGACCCAACTCGAGAGATAAAAAAATATTCACGACAACCTACATTGATTTCAGAATGCAGACTGAAGATTCAACTTTGTCGCACGGCATGTTCACCCCAGCAGCACAAAAATAACAAATTATGTTTCATGTTCCCTCTTCTTATTCCTGTGTCGTCTCTAAATGATGCTCTTTAATTTTTTTTTCGTCACCCTCTTTGGTAGCAGTAAGAAGTCTCGTCCGCCAGATGTATGTGAGAGATTTTTTCCATTCATCTACAGTGCAAAATGGAAAAAGAAAATTGTCTGAGTAATTTTTTTGAATGCAACTGCGAAGATTTTCTCTCATTTTCCGCTCTCAAAGATGTTGAGAATCCCGCCCAATAAGCGGGTTAGTGATTGGGAGTTTCCCTGTTCATGAAAATCCCCTCCATTATCACTAGCAAGCGGTAGAAAATGTTTACTGTTGTGTTAGCGAAATGTGAAAATCATTCTTCATACATGACAATTTTTTTCCAGATCTCAAGAGAGAAAGATAGAAAAAGTTTTTCTTCGGATTTTTTTTATTGCTTAAAAGCTTTGGAAGTGCAGATTTTAAGTAACACAGCAATTACTTGAAAGCAATTACAGATTTGTTGCCATTTAATTTTGTGAAAAAAGAGAGCATGATCGTGGGTGGTAGGTGGAAGTAAAAGGAAAATGGGGGAAAATTGTGCTTAATGGTTTCATGTATTTTTGTGTTTTGCATTTCGCCTTCGAGAAATTGTGTGTGGGTGTGTGTGTGTGTGTTAGTAGAATTAAAATGAAAATTGAGATTTTATTTTTAACGATTCAGGGGTTTGAACATGAACATTAATTTTTACTAAGTAAACTAATTGTCAGGATTATTTATTGAATTCATTTCTTCTTTAATTATTTTATTTCACATCAACCTCTGCCAATTATCATTGAATATTTTAGGCTTTGCTTTGCAAGATGTCGCAATCCCTGGAAAAGACTTAAACAATATTCTTAATGCGAAACAATGTGATTCAAGCTTGAGTTTCAATTAAAATGTTTGTAAGGCTTATGAAAATTTTGCGGTTAATTAGCGCAAGAGCTACAGCAATTTATGTTTTCACGCCCTCGCATTTAAAAGAGAAACTTTCTGCTAATTAAACAATAATTATGAGAGCGATGAAAACATTTCGAGACTTTTCATGAATGGAAGCTTTAGAGTCATTAGACTGAAAGCTTTTAGGTGTTCAGGGATTCAAATGACGAAGGAAAATTCAAATATTTTATTTGACGGATTCCAAAGATTTAATTACTTTATTCAAATGATATCTCTCGTTATGTTAATTATGACCTTTAATGTTATTATTACAATTCAAAATTCTTTCAAATTAAAGCAACTTTAATTAAATTATTTCCCATTGCATAATATTTAGCTTTCTTTGATTTCCTGCCAAATCAATTTCAATCAAATGTAACACAAAGACGCAAAAAAATTGTTGTGGAAAATCGTTTTATTTATACCAATTTAACAGAGAAAATGTTAAAAAAGAAAAACTTTTAGCACACACAACTACAGCGTATTTAAATGGAAAATTGATCCGAATACAAGCTCTGTGTAGAGCACAGCAACATTTATGTATGTTTTGTTGCTGGGATATTTAAGAGAGCATATCAGCTTCTAAATCTCTTTTATATGAAAATTGGCTTCCGAGGGAAATTGCTGCAAATAGATGCTGGCGTTGAGCTTGTGGAATGAGTCAGAAATTAAATACAATTTCCATAATATGAGGGTAAGAGTAAACGATGTTTAATTGACCACGCCTTTTCGCTCTTTAAATCTCTAACCCAAGTCAACCAATCACAGCAGTGAGCGAGAATGAAAATCATGAGAGGAGACCGAAATTCTCACATAAAACTGATTTTTTACATCATCTAATTATGCAAGGATATTTCCTCAATTCACAGTTACTTACCATCATCTCATCCATTAGAGGTGGCTTAAGGGTATAGGAAGTTCATACATAATCCTCGTATTTCAGCTACCTTTCGCAGCAACAGGAGTTGAATAGAAAAAAAGGGTTTTTGATACGTTTTCATATTTTCAAACAATTCTATTCGTAATATTTTTAAAAATGTATTTAATGGCGAGATTTATTTTTATCTCAACGTGATGTGACGTCTTTCAAGTTTTCAACTGATGTGTCTCTTCAAGCTGTAGTAGTGTCAATTATCTGATATTCTATTCAAATATTTTCTTCATTCGTTAGTTAGTCATAGAATTAAAACTTTTACTCAGAAACAGAAATTGGCGCTTTACGCTTTGTTAAGTTGCAATGTAAACTTTTAATTGGCCATTATTTAAATAAAATTGTATGTTTCGAATCATTCATCTTTTGCAGTGAATTTTAATCCTTCTCAGCTGAGTTTCATTCATGTCGATATATTCAATGATATTTATCAAACTTGTCATGTTTTCTGTTCCTTAACTTTGTTTTAAAATAAAGAATAAAATTCTTTGAAGCATAAAATGTATTCTTCGATGCTTGACAAATATTTTTGTATGTGTATCTGTTCATAGTTCAAATCTTTTCAGTCGTCTAGATTAGATTCGTTCCATTCACCCCAATGACCGTATATCCAATCGCATACTCTTGTTCAAGAGCTTGTAAGCAAGTGGCAGAAGCAAGAGTTAAAGCTCTGAACCACTATGACGCTTCATGAATATTTAAACTTGATAAATGGTTTGGAGTTTAAAGAGTAGAGAATGAGTGTTTGTGACAAGCTTTTCACTAACGAGTTTCATCAACAGAATTAATTAAAATTTAAATACCTTTACAAAAACGTGTTTAAAGTAGGTATCCATACATGTAATGGATTATTCCTGTGAATTAAACTTTGAGTGGCGATCTGGAAAGCCGAGAAAAGTTAGCGTATGGTTTAAATTGAACAGTTCAACAAAAAATGTTTGAAAATTAGTGAAAGCTGTAATTGTCGCATATCAAGTTCATAAAATGTTAGATTTAAGATCAAAATTAAAATATTTATTAAGCCATGATCCAAAGAAGAACCTGAAGACACCAAACAAAGATCATTTGAGGTGTAAACATAAATAAACCAAAAATGTTTAGTCATAAATTTATTATTGCAAATTATAATATATCATAAAAATTGCTTTAATATTTTTTGCAGCATTTCCATGGCATCGCAATTTTCCATTTCTCCCTTGTGTCTCGTCCTAAGCGAGTAAAATCATCTAGAATTAACAACGTTGTCGGTAAAGCAAAAAAAAGAAAAAAAAGGAAAAAGTTTATCCTGAAAAATTGCCTCGTATCAACATGGCAATGCTCAATCTACGACAACGTCTCACCCTCGACAGTATACAATCTGTAGCATAAAAATGTGCGGTTTTTGCACCCAGTTGTAACATTAAAAATTCATTTAGCAATCTAGCAACGCGTGAGAGTTCTGAATTTTTGATTATCCTTTTTTCTCCATTTTTTTTTGTTAGAAGTCTTGCGGCTTTGTAGGATGCTTTCGAGTTTTCATGATGATACCAACGACACTTGCAGATGTAAAGCAGTATAAACTGTATTCTACCGTTCGTAATGTTAACAAACTTTCCTCTATGAATATGTAAAGTAGCTGAAGAAGTTTATTCACGTTGACGAAGACTCGTAAAATGTGGAAAAAAAGGAAATTTCTTACTAAAAAGTGCTCAATTTCAACCCTCACTTTTTGCCTTGAAAAATTTATGCCGGGAAAATGTTTTCTCATGAAGTTTTTCGATTATCGCCGTCGACGAAGTGAATTTTCATATTTTCTCTCTTCTCGTGTTAATATATATAAAGACAATGTCAGTTTAGAAAGCAAAGCAATTTACTTTTCCAACCCTCAACGATGGCGGTTGCTTGTTTGTTTATTTTAAAGACACTCAACATATCATTTTCATCTCAATTTTCTAAAATGCGCATGAAATATTTATGAGAAGTGAAAATTTAAAACGGTTTTCTTAAAATGATACCAGAAAGACGTTTTCGAATGATAGTGAAGCTCTCTGGAGAAGATTTAGACAAAGCATTTTAGTCTTTTAGTTTTCAGTCATTGATGATGAGACTCATGATAGAGATGAAAGTTTAATCTTAGAAAACTTCCTCCTTCAACGATATTTACCTGGAAAAGTTTAATTAATCGTGTAATTTAGATTTCTTTTCTGTCCCTCATTCAATCTTTGATGAGCCTCGTAATTAAATTTCTTTTCCCTACGCATTGATAAAAAAAGCAGCGTGCGTTTGATGATGAAAAAAAATTCAGCATTGTCGCCAACCGTCATTTCATTCGCCAAAATTTAATATAGCGTGAACAATAATCTTTACGAATTATAATTAAGTAATTAAAACTAAAAGAGCGCGGGCAATTAATTAATGAATTTATTTAGTTTACAATTTATGACTCTTCTCATCGCTTACAAATGTTCGGTGAATGTCAATGTGTGGGTGGTTTATGCGAAACTTGCGAACTCTAATGAGCTTAATTTCTATCTCAATTATTCCATTTGATTAAACAAAAGGGTGAAAATTGCGTTCAATTATCTTTGTTTATGTTGTCAAAGTCACGTTGTTTCTACCAGTTTCATGTTGAGTTTCATTTTTTGTAGATCCGATAATGAAAACGAGAATTTTTGACTCATTGCCAGTTTTAACAATTTCACTTGTTGTGTTATTTTACAACAAAGTTAGTAAATTCAGATCTCAGTTTCCAATTTCAAATCTTCTGCCATTTGCAGTGGAAACTCTCTTAAGGTTTTCCTTAATTAACGTAAAAACGTTTACACAAATTAATTAATGATGAAATTTTTTAAAATCATTTTTTTGCTCTCATGATGCAGATCTGTGTAAAGAGAAGAAGAATAAAATAAACATAAAATGAAGTGGTTTCATAAATCTTCTTCTCGTTTTAATGTCTGACGAGCCACCATGAAAGTTTCTGATTCATCTCGTATTTACTTCATTCTTAACAAATGATATTATAAATATTCTAATTAATTATGGCAAATATTTGTGCAGCGAACATTTCTGAAAGTCAGATTTTACCATTGCGGAAAGCATTTCATGAATCATAAAAAGTGAACATACACATGTGGTTAGAGGTTGAAGAATGAAGAGACTTGTGAGAAGAAAAAGAATTCAAGTGTCCCTCTGAGCTATTTGTCGACTTAGATTGTGAAGGTTGGTATGAGGGTCGAGTCAAACTTTCCCTACACTCATCGTTCAGCAAAACTTTGCTCAAATCATTTGGACAACAACAAAACATTTCAATTAAGCTAGGAGAAGTTTTTAAGCAGAATTGGAAACTATTTATGATGTCAGTATGACAATTTTAATTAATATGTTCTATTTGTTGTCTTTAATTAACGACATATCTCATTTAGTGTGAGTTTATTTAATTAACTTCATTTACTATCCTAAATTACTAAGCTACAAATGGAAATTTGTCTTTTATAATTGGATGTATGTATGAACTTGTGCCACACCAGCTCACGTTTCCAGAACGAACACTCAGTATTCTCAGAGTATCTAATATTTTTAATTGAAAGCAGATTATGCTAACCATGGAGAATCTTTCATAAACAACAATATGTATGTGAACTTTTCCCCTCTTATGACGAGTTCGGTGAAATAAAAGACGAAAGACCTCCGCCGACAATCACCGGCGAAGCTAAAAAGAAAGAAGAAATCTTGTGGAAAACAAATTAGACGAGAAAATATTCATTTAATGTCGGCATCTTTCTTGAACAAATTACGTTGTTTGTCGACTCATGAATTTCTCAATTTTCTTTTCTTTCCCTTTCCCTAAAATATAAAACGCAACATAAAAAGAATTTCAACGATGCTTAGAGAAATGTGAGGAAATTATGACTGCTTAATTAATGATGACTAAGTCGAGAAGAGACATTTTTAGATTTTCAGATTTGTCAATCGAAGGATTTCTGACTCTTTATTGACTTTATTTTAGGAGAATTTAATTCATCATCGGGTTATTTAAAATTGAGGAAATTAATTCAAAATCTAAGTCAAAGTCAAGTAGGTATACAAAAAAGATTTACAAAATAATTCAGCGAATATCTACCTAATTGAAATTAATTTTAAACTTCAAAATGTTTCAAGATTTTTAATGTGAAACTTAAAATTAAATTAAAATATTTTCAATTCATAGTTTAACAAACTTTGTGATTTACAAAATTCTTTTCATAACGAAATTTAATGTTCATTCGAATGTAATTAGTCGTGTTTGAATGAACTTAACAGTCAATTTGCGTAATATATACAGATTGCCTTGCAAATTGAAAAACTGCAATGAAAAATGATGTTTGATGCCACATAAATCATAACTCCAATCAGTGTTATTATCTTTTGCAACAGCACCATCAACCAAAACTTAAATTGTTTCATTTCATGGATGGTTTAAAGTGCGAAATTTTAATTAATTCAAATTTTATTAATCTCAAATTCTAAAAGTTTTGTTGCCACATATAAAATTAGCTACACAACCATCTTCCATATGTTTGTTTTAAAAACATTTCCAACTGTGAAATCTCACCGGATGTAAGTGAGATTTAATTATTAAAACGTTCAATCCACAACAGAAGTTGCTTTCACATAAATGAAACATCTTTTATTAGAGTTGCATAATTTATATCTGGATTTTGTTTACTAGATCTGATGCTAATTTATTTTACTTTTTCTTGCACATTAGTTAGATTAAGTGAGAAGAAGAAAGAATAAGAAGTTAATCACGTAGTGATGCATTATGCATGCTTCTTTTTCCCTAACAAAAACTCAATCTTTCTTCTCTTTCGCAAACAACTTATAAATCATTCGGTCGTTAGTTTATTAAGACGAATTTCATGAGCAAACCCGAAGCTTCCACCTTTTTACATTAATTATACTTTCAAAGTTAGAAACAATTCATCATCAAAATGTTCGATGACATGAACTTTGTCTCATGCGAGTTCATTTCATATCTTTTAAAAGAAGAAGAAACATCTCCGTGTCTAACTCAAATTCTAATAAATCAATTCATATTTCGGAAAATGAACTCTATGACAGAATTTACGCCCTTTTTTCTTAAACTCTTTTCACAAGATTTGAACGATGTTCCATGACTTTGAAGTCAACAAGGGAGGCTATTATTAGTCTTTAAGATTCGATATGCTGTTATGTATTTAAAGCATGTGCATGTAACCGCAACAATTTGTTAGCTTGATGTCAGTATTTAGTGACAATGATTCATTGCCAATTCATGAAAGGAATCAATGAAGACATCATAAAAAGATTTTCCGACTAAAAATTGTTAAATTTTAAATTATTCGAAGTTAATTATTTCTCAAAATATGAACAGATGATATGGCAAGTCCACTCCTATTTCATAAGAAAACCAAAATGATGTAAAACTAGCCTGAAAGAATTTTTCTATGATCTTTACCGTTTAATCTGTTCGTCTGTCTGTTTTAGCTTCTCTAAAATGTTTAACGAAATAAATTAAAAAGTGTCAAAAGAGGCGTTAATGTGAATGTCAGTGACACGATTTGTAAATATGATTTCTGTTCACGAAAATCTGTTTTTTTTTTTGTTTTCCACAAGAATTGAAACCATAATCGAAATGGGACTAATTAAGTGAAGGAAATTGAATTTCTATTTGGACTGACTTAACTATAAGTTTTTGAATAAAGTTTCAAATTATTAGACGTCTCATAATTTGTATCTATTTATTTTATGCTTCTGTTGATTTCACGTACCTGTAATGATGTTGACGATTTACACACACCAAGAGCTTTATGTTCAAAAACTACCTACAGATTTCAAAAGAAAGGCTCAGCACATGTATCTATCTGATTCCACCCAGCCAGGCGCTGTTTTTCTCATACAATTTATCTGTGAAACAAAACTTTACATGAATCCAAACGATTTTATAATTCCAATCACAAACTTTCCAGAGTACGATACTTTATTAGTAAAGCTGATACTTTATTTTGAAGTCCTTGAAGCTCATAAGGTGTTCCACGTCTACCACTCAAACCTCATACAATTACAGAATTGCAAGCACTTCCACTGAAAAGAAATTGTTGTCCATCAAACCAAAATAATGATCGAATTTGAATTATCACATGTGATCTGTCTAGCAAAGTCGAAGATGAACACATGTTTTGACAATAAGTTAAACTTCATAGACGTACATCATGCTTCGAAGATGAAACCGCCGATTTTGTTACCGGTCTCTATACAATGAGCTGCAAATATTTGATCGCAAGCACATGAAAAAATCCATTAATAAACAGATCCGTACTTTCATCGAGACATTTGTTTAATGAAACGTGCTGTGAGGATCTTCTGCAAATAGATGTCAATGACATCATGTCATCCACGTGAGTAGGTCAGAAAGATAGGATTTCTAAATATTTCTCGCAATATTTTCTCGTCTGTTAATCTTAAATAACATTTAAGACTCATAGCGCTATCTTACAGAAATTTAATAAACTTGCTTTATAAAAAAAACCCTATAAATGTTTAAATCAGAAAAAAATTTGAAAATTCGAGTACGCAAGGATAATAACTACGCAAAGCCACGAAATTGATGCTATAAGGGTTGGGAAGAAAAAACATTCGCGTAGCTTAGAAGTGTATTGTATGGAATGTTGATATGACGCGAAAAGGAATCCCAAAAATGTATTTTTTCTTGATAAAGTCACATATAGAAATTAATTTTCCTTCTAACACCGAATATGTATGAAGACTTTTTTCAGAAATTCGTCTATACTATTTCCATGAACAGGCGGTCATAAAAGTCAGCAGCTCTAATGACGAATGCCAATAGTTGAAAAATTTTTCTACTAACACCACTAAGCAGCATTGTGGGTAAGGATAAAAATACATAAATCACTTTCTCATAAATGTCGAACGAACGAATGCGTTCGTGATGAAAGTAAAAGATTGTATTTCTCATGTTTAACAGAGAAGTAAAAAGAGCAGGAAATTATAAATAATTTGTAGGTGAAGATTTTAAAAATGCACAAAGCTTAAAATAATATTTTTCCCCTGAGTTGTAAGTGAAATCCATGGATTAACAACATTGCCACTTGTAAATCCAGAAGAAATAAAGCATGCAGAGAACTTTTTAACCCTTTTATCACAAACCCTTTCCGAGTGAAGCCCATCTGTTAACAGAGAATCATGAATATCCGTGCAGACGACGAAGGAGTGAAAAAATCATAAGAAAGTGTTCAACTCTTTGACATACACAATCGCACACATGTGCACCGTGCGGCGGCGGGTAAAAGGATTTTTCCTTTCTCCTTCACTCATACGGTTATACACATTGCAAGAAGCAACCATCGAAATGCTCCACAATACAAGTTAACATGAAGTTCTTGCGCATTTCCAAAACAAGAAAACGCGACTTCAAAAACGGAGAAAAATATTTTTCAGCTCTTTTACAAATGTTGCTGCTACCGACTGGCATCAAATAAGACTTCTATTACTTTCCATCTCAACATGCTGACGGTATGATTCGTGCCCTTGTATTTGGAAGGCAAAGTCCTTGGATAAATTTAACTTGTAACCTACGACGTAACAGTTATTAAACCTTGAGTAATAGGATGAAATAAAAATAGACGACTTACTTTTACATGACATTGTAACAGATTCATTTGCCGCTCTTAACTTTTTCTCTCTTTTTTCCCTCGTCATTTTCAAACACCAACATAATGTTGTTCCCTGATGTTTCAAATGTGTAAGTTTTATATCGAGGGTTGATTGAAACAAAAAACGATATAAAGAAATACTAACAAAGCTATCGAAAACGATCTGCATGCATCCTGGTACTTTATGAAATGCAGTTTTCACTTTATTTTTTGTGTTTTTATATTTCTTGCGGGGGTGGTGAACAACAACATGATTTGTGTGGTCGTTCATGCCTGGTAGCGCATTGTGTCCTTTTCTCGAAACATTAAACGACATGTAAACATGTATGAACGCTTGTTCCATGAGACTCAACTTTCAATTGCATATCCTTTTCTGGAAAAGTTTAAGCAAAATATTTCTAAATGGTGAAACCAATTCATGATAGTTTTTTCAAAATTGAAAGTTTGAGAAACAAATCCTTACAGGATTTCCTTAAATTTTCTGTAGGTGAAAAATGTTTTTAAGAAGAACTACCCTAATCATCCCTTGAATACAAGGATCTACTTTAAGGGTGCAAATCAAACTAGGATAACATAACTTGTGGACGTAAATTTGTGCTGTACTTTTTCGCCTTATGACTTTTTATTTACAAAAAAAAGTTTGCTTCCGCATATATATTTTTAATTCCGTATGAAAAGGAAGCCTCGTTAGTGCAGACAACACTTCAGACGCATGCGTTCGTTTATTTGTGTATGTTTGCTTATGGATGAGTGAGTGTAACTTTTAAGGAGAAATACCAGGCGCAGGGAATGCTCAGCAGAAAATAATTTAGTGTTGAAACTATTTCTTGCATGAAGGACGATGACTTTTACCCTAGTTAGTGAGTTAGCGAGAAAGTTTCTCAATGACTCGACGTGTTGAATTATTTCAAATTTTTTCTTGAAGTTTGATAATTTTTTTTTTATGTTGAGATATTTGAGATGCGATTTGATATGTCAAAATCAATAATTATTGAATGCAATTTCAATGAAAAATTCATAACACTTGTCAACAATTTCTTTCCAGATCATTACTTTTTGATGCACAAAGCGTTCTTTGATATTTGAAATCTCATTTAATAAATGAATTGAAAATTTGTTGAAAGATCTTTTACAGGGAAAATCTCTCTTCTGAAAATTATTTTTAATTTCGTTGATATCGTTTGTCTGGCTTCCACCCTCGATGGATAATAAAAGCAGCATTTGCTGAATGAGATTTAAGACAAGGAATTTATTTTTTTCAGAGTATTAGCTTTTAAATTTTGGGATTAAAGTCATTGCATTCACTGCTGATCTTTACCGCAAAGGTGCGAAAAATCCATTAAAATTTATTATGTTTTCCTCTCGTTCAACTTCATGTCATTCCCTGTGGGATCATTCACGAAAATCTCTCGAAACACCATCTGCGTGAATGCGAAATGGAAAATTGCTTTTCGTGTCGCTTGGTTTGTGTTTTCCTTGTCGTTAACCAACCGTGATAAAGTAGATAATGATGTTGTTGCGAACAGTTGATGTCGTCAGATAATTTTATTTATTATTACTTTTATAACCGGGACAAGAAGACATTCTTCATCAAACCACATCAAAATTAAATTATGTTATGTTGCTATGTAAATAGAAAACAAAACAACATCGTTGTGACTTGACAGAAGTTTTTGTTTCAAAATTTTTAAAGATGTTTGCAGAAATTTAAATTAATTAAATTATAGTTGCAAATTTATTCTCATTTCAAATCCTGAGTTAAGCCTGAAATAAAACTTTAAGATTCTACTTAGCGGTAAACACATGAGATTAGCAAATTAAAAAAATTTACAGACTTATGTTGTTAAGAAGCGATTACTAAATAAAAAGTATTGAAAATGTGTCAAATTACAAAAGGGAATCCCTAAAAAATTTTTTACAGAGAAACGTCGCGAATTTATTGCTCAAGAATTGGCATAAGCATGACTAATCTTATTGATTAGCCAACTATGTGATTTTAATTCAACTTATGTAAGATTCTTGCATTCTTACAATCCAAGTATCGACAATGTCTAAAGTACTCACAAGAAATGGAACAAAGCAAGAAGATTAAGCCATGAAAAGAGAAGAAATAATGGATTAAAGATTCAGTCAGATGAATCAAAACACAATCTGTTTCTGAAAGAAAATCGATGTCCATTCAACCAAGCGCTCAACAATGACGACGATGATCCTTGAAACTTTCTTTTATTTAAATCACTTTTCTTTAAGAAGTAAGAATGAATGATTGTTTGTTGCAAATTTGCAATAGAAGAGTAAATGGAAAGCATTATCTTTACTTCTTTAAGTCTCAGATGTTTATAAAAAGAAAGAAGTAAAGGAGATTTACATCAATTTAAAAGACAATCTTACAAGTTGTTTACAATAAGTAGGCAAAATAAGAAGTTGAATTAGACAATGAAACCAATCCATTAGTGAGATAAACTGCTTATGAGGTGATGACAAGCACAAAATCCTTGGCAAACGATTGATGACAAAGGAATGCGACATAATATTGCCATACATTTGACACAACATTAGAAGCCGCCGGTTTGTTTGTGTTCTTTTAAATCCTGATTGGAAACACCTTAAAACTGAAATTTCATTGTTTGTATGATGAAAAATTAGTTGCGATAAGATTTTCACTTCAAGTACATTTTTTTATTCACAAAAGATCACAAGAATGAAGCGACATTTCCCATGATTGTTCTTTTATGTTTTAAAAATATTTTTCAAATAAAAAAATGGAGAAAATCTTTTAAAGATTGAAAAGTTTCCGTCGGAAAATTCTTCCTGCCATTCGACTTCCCAAAATTATTTCCGCCATGTTATCAATAAAAGATTTTATTGATCAATAACAGATTTCTTGATTGCTACTTTTATAGATCTTTGATATGTTTCCTCAATAATCATTTTTTTCCTCAATTCCTTAACAAACATTGAAATTTATCAAGCTTTCTATGTTTCTCAGGGGAAATATTTTAAATGTTTGTTGTAGCAGGAAAGAGAAAACATTCAGCAACAAAGTTATGCATAGACCCGCCCTTTTGTTGTGATATTTTGCGCAAGAACTAAAAAAATGTTTAATGCTGAGTATCTTTGCAATTCCATTTGAATCTTAAATATCATTTATGTGAGATACTCGTTAAAATCAGATATCAAAAGTAAATTGTTCTTCAATGTTCGAAATAAATCTTGATCCGATTTGTTGGTGAATGAATAAATATGTTCATATTTCAATAAAGCATTAATGATATTCGTTTCGATATTCGTCCCTAAGACACGAAAGAGAAATCTCTAAGGAAAAGCAATACACCGACGGTTGTCTATCAAACGCTTTACTGAAATTAATGGCATTCATTTTAGGAACACCTTAAGCAATCTTTATCACTTAACTTTTATCTTAGTCACACGACACAAGAAAATTGCACACAAACATTTTAAATTTATTCGAAGTAATTTTCGTGAGTAATTTGTTTGATGGGCTCACGAGCTAGAACTACACGATAGTTGAACATTTTTATGTGTATAGCTTAATAGCATGTTGTGATGACCATTTTGTTTAAAGAAATGACACAATTCTGTTTTCGACGAAACTGTCTCGTTCAATTCGCTATACATTTGGTTGAAGACGGTTGGGAGAACTTGTGGCAAACGCCATTAACTTTTATTAGATTTTCCCTCCTTTCGCTTTTTCTTCCTTTGATTCACGAAATATGTTTTCAACATCGCTAGAATGAGGGTGGGAGTAATAAAAACTTATTTTCTCCTTCTTCATACTTCCAACCAAATAAATACATAAAAGGCGAATGAGTAAGAAAAGCTGAAAGCTGAAATGGTGAAAAATAAATGATGAAATAAAAAAGTAATAAAATTTTTCTTTTCCATCCCTTTTTTTTTGTTGTTGATAATGATAGGAGGTTGTTTATGTTTCGCCTTTTAACTGAAAGAAAAGAAAGAAAAACTTTGAGTAGTTTCCATTTTCTTCTTTGCTATTCATAAATTATTTACGATTGAAACATTAAGATCCTTTTCTGTTTCCCAATTAAGAAGTAAAGTGCTTGTGAGAAAGAAAAAGAAAACAAGAAAAGTTCTTTTCGTTTCCTTAGGAAATTTTACGACATTTACTTTAGTTAATTATGAGTTTGCTTCTTCTTAATAGTTCCAACCCCTTTTATAATTGAATCCCTGGAGTCATAAATGCGTAAGATCATGTTTCCATTTATGAAAGCGGAAAAACTTTTCTTCTTTTCTTGGAGAGAACGTAGAGATATCTTTTTGCTTTCTTTTATGTTCACACACATAAGAAAGCTACTAACTTTAAGCATTACTTTGAAAAGGGCATCACGAGGCGGTTTATTTGTTTTCTTTTCTTATGCTCTACAAAATATCGATTTCAAAGACTTTTCATTTAAGTAATGCTTTGATTTTCGTCTTCCATTGTTAATCAGTGATGCTTATACTTACAGATTAGCAGTATTAAAAGCAATCCAATCGCAAAAGCGTTCTCATCAATCGGAAAAGTATCATGATTGAGGCACAAAACTCTTCTCTTTATACATCGTGCACCCCATGAATTGCAATTAAGGATCAAACGAAAACGATTTTCATAGACTTCCCGTAGAGTTCTCTTTTTTTTTGTGTGTTGTAGCCGTTTAGCTACTGGTCTCACTGTGCGGCAATATCGTCTACCTTGTCGTAATTAAATGGTGGATTGAATCTCGAGTTCCAAAATGGATTTCGTTTGTGATTTTTTTCTCTGACTAGACAGCAGCTTTGCGAATCACGCAGGCACCAGATAATGATGGATACAATTCTTTCTATTATTTTGTTTTCAATCATCAAGGAGATTAGCCGAAAATCTCGAGAAAGAATAAATAATAATTTTTCTTCTTTTCATATTTTTCTCCCGTTCAGGTTGAGTGCTTGTCAATTGTTAGATGATTGAATGGATTTCATGAGCTACTTAACTGTATTCTCTTTCATCTGATTTCCCTTTTGTTTGTTGAAGAGGCTTTATGAGTCGATTAATTGAAACTACTTTTTGCAATCAAACGATGAGAGAAATGATTTCATGGTGGTCTGTCCGATTGAATAGCGCATCGCGTTTGCTTTTCTGAAGTATGCAATTGAAACATGATACAGATCATTCATTTCATTGTCTCGTTTTCATACCATATGAAAGCATTGCATTAATTATCATTTCTTTTTATGATGTTTCATGTGACAAGCGTGATTTCCCTGTTTAAAATTTATTTTATTTATGCTCCTTTCGCGTTTCTATTTTCATTTTCAAATGAGTTAAATAACTTTATTTAATCTAAACATCATGCGTGAGTTTATTGATGTGATTTTAACAACCCGCTATTTAATAGTGTAGGGGGTAACAGCAAAGCAAACATCATCAGCAAAAGTGAATGGAAAGGGGTTAAGCTATAAAGGCTTGAACGATGTTGCTGTTGTCAAGGGTTTGGAAAGTTATACAAATATGTATTTCTTATTGTTCTTTGTTTGTGATTCCTCTGTTGATGTAATTAATTAAATTAAGATTAATTCACATGGCAAAATACGGCGGTTTTGATTTAATTTTATGAAAATGATAATTACGAGTCATGTCGTGCTGATATTAATTCATGCGGTTTTCATTAAATTACTGTCATTATGATGATTAAACTACTGCCGAAAAAAATGTTAAAACATTAAATTCTCATCAGCGGGAGAATCTCGCAAAATAAATATTTCCGCTTAGTGCGACTTAAAAAAGATTTTATCTTGTACAACATTAAAATGAAATCTGCTGGAGCAAAGGAGTGAAACATTTAAATTATTTTTATTTGATCCGTTAATGGATGCTGTAAATTAATCCTGAAATTTCTGGTTTAATTGATTCATGGGTTGGCGATGGTGGTAAAAAGAATTAAATGAATGTTGGCATTTAACTCTTAATTATCGTTTATTGGAAAATATTTCTTCATTGCTGTATAAATTCCCATTTGTGCTCTGTCGTGGAAAATCAACAACAAATATGCAAACGCATTTTAATATAAATTGATCAATTATGATTAAAATTAAAGCATCTCTGACGGTATTCAGATTTCCCAGCTTAAACCGCAACACCAATCGATGTCGGAAAATTAATGTGAACGAATGAAAATGCTTCTGTATGGAAAATTTTCTGATATTTTGCGTAGATCTTTCGTGTTTGATTTATTTAAAAAGAAGTTTGAAAATATTAATTATAGCCATAAAGATAGTTATTATAATAGTTTTCAATAGCTTCATTATTTAGTTGAAATTTCGCAATCATATTAACATGTATTTAATTTAACAATATCTGTTAAAGAGTTGAAGCTGACAGACTAGCTAAAATATTATCTTTAATACTTAATTTCAACATTTGCTTACTCTTGACTGTTGATTTAAGCAACCTTTCACTTCATTGCATTAAATATCGATTGTGTCGATATCCAAAACATTTTGTTTTTTTCAAAAATATTTTTGTATGAATCAAGTAAGAATTTAACTCACCAATGCAATGTTTTCATTTTACTAAATTTATCTTCAACAAATTTTCCATCGATTCATATTTAGGAGGAAATTTATGAAAGAGAAGAAAAACTTCCCTCAACTTTCATCGTTTACGATGATTCTCGATAAAATAAACACATCGTCGTACGTATGCGAGATTTTAACTTTTCTCAAATGTTCTTGGATGTTCGAATGTGAGTTAAAATGGGTGTCTTAATCCCAAAAGAGAAACCTGAACTGACTTTTACCAAGCGATGAAAAGCTGATGTTTATCTTCAATTAATTTTAATTGCAAAGTTTTCCTACGAGCAAATCTGAGCATGAATCGTTTTTCTGTTCATCAACAATTTTCCAACATTATTCTTGAAGCTATGAAATCATGTTCTTTTATTTTCTCATTTTCAATTTTGCATTCGAAGCTTAAAATGAGTTTTCCAGATGAAAGAGCAAGAGGAAAATTAACAATGAGAAAAACCTCAGTCAAACAAACAACAATAAAGAACTACTTTTCCTTTTAATGCTTATATCTCTCTTTATAACTTTATTTCTTTCTTTCTCCCGTTCATCAGCTCGACACGAGAAAATCCTTGGAAAATATATTGTAATCGTAAAAACTAATCTGTGTGCTTGCAAAAACGAAGATTCACAAATCACAATGAAACCCGAGAGAAAGTACCTATTTTTATTGTCGAGTTTTCCATTTGAAAAAAGAAAAAGAAAATGGAAAAGATTTGAAAAGAAAATTGGTTTTCAACTTGAATGTTTTTCTTCTTTTCAGAGCTCATTCCAACCCCACGTTCGAAAGGAAAAAAGCATTTTCATGTGATTTTTGATGCAATTGAAAAGATTTTCATGAAAATCAATATTTCAAGAAGATTTGATGTGAACGATCGTTTGCATCTCAGATCGGCCATATTTGGGATGAGAGAATCTGGCTAGTAAATATTTTATTGAAGATAATGTGAATGTAATCGAATTTAATTACAGCCACATTAAAATTTATTTTACTTTCATGTTCCATCCCAAAAAAATTAAATTTATTCTCGCTTTTCCATGAAAATGTATACGAAAGTAATTTTTAAAAATGATTTCTCGAATTGTAGCGTTTTTCATGATTAACCAAGACTTACAGATTCGTACATAAATCATAAAAAGCATTGAAAATACTTTCGCAAATGGATTTTCTGTATGAATTTTCAACATCTTACTCATCTTTCCTTTTTTGATTTTTAAACTTATAAACGATTTCACATATGAAACAAAAATGAATTTAATATTATTAATGCACCTGCATCATTTTTAATCTTTTTAACGTTTGCTTTTAGCTTCGTTTTGATGTCATTCACTGACTTTCTACTTCTGAAAAATGCGAGAATTTTTGTTCCTCATCATCATCCACAATATTCATAAATCCAGGTCGAGATGAATGTTCATATATATTCATACCTTTTCTGCAATTTTTTCATACATCTACTTTTATTTTTGAAGAGGATTACATAAATATTTATGGCTCAACAGTCGTGCTTTGAGAATTTATGGCTCTTCACCATGAACACAGTCAGAGAAAATTTTTGTGAAGACTAACGGAGGTCAAATTTTTATCATTTTGTTTTCATCATAAAAGCAACTTATCATTCGTAGCACTCAGAATGAAATAAATTTCAATTTTTATTAAGTTTTTATAAGAGAATGAATAACCACAGATGTGATCAAAGTCAGCAACCACACATGGTTCATCATATCATTTTTAATGTGGACAATACAATGGCAAGTGCTTTCAATGAATGACTTTTTTAGGTCTTCCATTCAATCAAAGTGATATTATGAAGTCATTAACCTAATCATCCTTGACGAACATAAAAATACAATTCGTTGTTGTTTTTTATTTATAAATTTTGCGGTGAAATTGAAGTTTCATTGTTTTGTTTTTGTCACTTAAATTTATGCCCTTCCAACTTCACAATTGCACATTTTTTACGAATCAAATAAATACATTAAATACCTCAGAAATCATCATGGCATATGGTCAAATATCTGTTGATTCATAAAAAACCAAAAGTGATAATTTTTCCATTTTATGAGGGGAAAAAGAAACATGGAATAAAAAGGAAGATATTTGAGTATTTAATTAAGTTAATTGCTGTTAAAAATAATTCAAATGTTATTCAATTTAGGGGATGGAGAAGCAAGAAATAAACTAGAAAAACATGTTCTTGTGTAATGAATTTATTCTGCTGTTTTAACTAAAAGGCAATAAAATGTTGATGATAATAATTCTTTGATGAGCGGAATGTATTATGCGACAGAAGTTTTTATGACGAATTATCACGCGAGCGCTTAAAATTGGATTATAATGATTCTCTTAAGTTAACGCTCTGGGAGATTTAATCTCACGGTAAAACGGAAATAGAAACTTGTTAAAAATATTTCATAATAGTTAAAACTTTGTGCATAAACAAGAAAAGTTTTTACTGAAGTTACGAGTCGCACGTGGCCAATGAAAATTTTTCAACAAATTAAATATAATTTGTTTAACTCTTAGATTTTGGAACAAAATGTTAGAAATATCAAAACATTTGACAACTCTTTAAGCACGTGTCGTGCTTGTTCAAGTTTAGTTGTAAGTTAGGTGAAGAGATATCGGTTTAAGGATGCACATAATATATTAATTAAATACACGTTTTCCTTGTTGTGATCGGTTCATCAAACCTTGTATCGACTTTATAATGGAGATGAGCAATGAGGCTCGGAATTATTGAACTTTGTTCTGTCAGTTTCACAGATTTTGAATAAAATTCCGGTTTTAATATATTCAAGCTCTCGATAAAAGTCATTATAATAAAAATATTTCGGAAGTTTGAGGATACTTTTGAAGAAAAACTTTTTCCATTTCAAGTAACCAATCAAAAGTGAAATGAAAAAATTTCGCAATCCAATTTCAACCACAGAATATTTTTTTTCCATGAATTTAAAACAGATTTTCCTTTTTTCACTTCCATTTTGTTAGGAAATTTCAAAAGACGAAGGAATAAAACAAGGAGAAGAAAAATCCAATTACGAACTCTTCAAAAAAAAATCAACTGAGATGTTGAAAGGAAGAAGGAAAGAAAATTTGCAGACTCAATTTACATTTAAATGGCGATGTCTTGTTGGATTACGTGATGTGGGAGGTAAATCGTAAATGATTCAACTGACTTCTGATGGAGAGAATTCTTCGAGAATCGCGTGATCACTTAGGCGAATTCAAGCATTCGAGCATTGAAGCATTCAGGATTAAAAGCCAATCCTTAAAACCTCGAATTAACAAAAAGCTGTGTTTCATGTAAATGGACAATTAATCAAAAACATAAATAAAATGCGCTCGTCACAAGAGCAGCAATGAAAATTAAAAGAGCGACTTGAAAAAGATGTTAATTTTAATGCCGGTAATTTCTCCAACATTTTCGAGAACCAAACGTTTTGTCATGATACAATTTTTTTTTCATTCTGAATCACCACTTAAGTTAATAAGAAAAATAAATTTTCGTGCTCTTTATTTAATGTTGTCGCTTTGTTCTAACGATAAATTCTGACCTGTGACAAACCCAAAAACTGTGACTTGGGAGTAAATTGATTTAGCTTCAAATTAGATGGTGACTCAATGTTCATTACATTTTATTTAATTACCTCATTGATACATCAAAATATGTTTGATTATCTGTCTAAACGAGGGAAGTTCCGCAATCTTAAAACTTGAATAAATTATTCATTTCTACTTAGATAAAAACCAAATCTGTCTAACGAAAATTGAATGCAATTATCAGTCGCTGTGGGATTTCTCTCAACAGAAATGAAATTCTCAACGCAATTATTGCTACTTAATGCTCGTTTTCTGGTTTAATGCTTTTAAAATGTGTAGGATAAATGATTCTATTAAGATTTCACCCTCTCGCAACATGTAAAAAATATGTTTGTATTGTTTTGATTTAGTTTAAGTATGTTCTTGTTTTCGTTTTGAGCGCTCAGTTCCTTTTAACAAACAGGGAAGAAATGAAAACGAGAGGGTGGAAAATTTTCTTACAAAAGCTCTTAGTGGCATCATAAAGTCATTATATAAATCATATTATGACAGGCTCTTGGAAAATGTTACTGTAATGTTTTGTTTGTTGCAGAAACCTTCATAATAGATAACAATTTCATTAAAATTAGGAACTTTCCATTTAACAATTTTAAAAGTTTTCTGTGATAGAAGGATTTAGTCTAATCATTGGTCATTGCTTTAAAATAATATTTAGCAGGAATTTTAAAAACGAAAGTTGTAAGAAATAAAATCTTCTTAATACTGATTTGCATTTGTCAAAGAATTTACAAAGATAATCTGTCATTGGGAAGTGCTACTTATTTGTGAAAAAGAATAAACAAGAAATGAAAAACATGTCAACAAAAGATGAGCAGCACAATGACACCATCAGTTGACACAATGTCACAAAGAAAATGCCGCTAAGATTCAACTTTGTTTGCATGCTGATTACACACAAATCTCTTTATCCTTATGGTAATGAAAGTATTTCATTATTTATGTGACATAATCTTACTTCGCTTGTTTGTTGTAGCAACTTCATTTAACATCGAGAGAATAACAAAATTTCGTCCCATAGCTTCTGCTTGAGTGATTTGTTCTTTAGCTTTTCTGAAATTTTTACTTCACTCAAAATCTCGTCAAAATTAGTCCCATCTGGAGCCAGTGTAATGATGCGAAAGGCAAATTTGAGAATATTCATAATTTTTAATTCTTCCACACGTGAGTTGGTTTTGAAAATATTTTAACAACAATTTTCTGTTTGAAAAATCAATGAATTATATTAAACACTTAATTGAGATAAATGCTTTGTTTCCAGATGCCAGTTGTGCGATAAAAGATAAAAATAATAAAGCAATTTGTTTTGCTAGAAACCATTTTTTCCCTTTTGCCTGGAGTGTTGTTTGAAGTCTGTAGTCGGAAACAAAAGCAAGAGGTTGCTAATCTCTCGTAGCCGCTTAATCCATATCGTTTTTCTTCTGTCGGACAAGTCAAACAAGCTAAATAACTACAAATTTAGAATTTTAATGTATTAAAGCTATAAATAAAGAATACCTGAGGATAAATAAAAGAATTAGATACATGTTGGTACTTATATATATCTACTCGAAAAAAATCAATAAATATCGAAATCCCCTGAAAGTTACTTACAAAAAGCACGAGCGCAATTGCTAGCAAAAAGCTATTAAAACAACAAAACAACCGAAAGCACTTAGCAACAATTTCATCTTAAACGATTTTTCTCGTTTAATTTTCTCATGTTAGCAGCATAAGAATGTATGGGGAATACTCTTATATTTACAGAAATCAGGTAAATTAATGGGGTGAAGGAAGAAGAAGAATGTTTGGAAGGGGATGAAAAGTAAAACATTCAGTAAAACAATCTTTTCAGGACGATGCAAGCATGAAGAGAACACGCCCTCAGTTGACTGATGCGCATGAACACAAACACTACAAACACTCCCCTGCATGGAAAACATTTATAGAAGCATGGAAGTGGGGTGAAAGAAGCAACATTTTGACAAGGATCTTTTACAAACGATTTCAGGCAGTATGGTTTTATTTCTATTTCATTGTGCAGTCTTTTTTGTTGCTGCCTGAACGATAAAAATTCGTTTTATTTCTTGCTTGAGAATTCGAAGCGCTTAAGGATTTCTCAGTAGGAGAAAAAAAAATACAAAACAGAGACAAGAAGTTGCTAAATAGAGTGATCTAGTCGGGGGGTTAATCGAGTTTCATTTGTATCATCAACTTGAGATGTGATTTTGATTTTTTCTCATTTAACGATTGAACGTTGAACGAAGTGGAAACACAAAAAATATTCTCTCAAATATTTGGAAAAATCAATTTAAATTTTCCATTCTGGATTTGATTGTGCATTAAAAACAGATTTTATCGGACAATTGTGCAATTGTATCAAAGAAAGAAAAATTGAAAATGTGTTGCGAATAATTTTGTGGATTAAAATAAGAAATCATTTCAATTTGTGATTGTTTGAAAACAAAATAAAAAAGAATTTTTCACAAATTTTCTTATAAAACAAAATTTCACAGTGGATTAAAACGAAATCAAAGTTTATTTAAAATTTCTGATTAAACAAAATAAAAACTTGAGATAAAAATGTCTTCCCAAGACGCTGATGTCGATGTTGATGTGGATGTTGTTTCAAGTCCTGAGCCAAGTCCACGTGGAAATAATACAACTGACGATGAAGGCCCTCAAAGCTTCCCACTTCGTCATAATCCACGATTATCACCAACTATCACTCAATCAGCTGCTAATCTCAAAGCATCTTTGCTCACAACTACCGCAAACTTATCACCGTCAACTTTTCAAACACTTCACAGTCATAGTGCTCACATTTTAAGTAATCAATTCCATAGTCATTTAAGCAATAACTTGTTTAGTAATACTAGTAATAACAAAGAGAATCATATAAGTGCATCTGAAAGTGCAAGATTAAGTCCACCACGGACACCAGAAACAAACAACAACAATATTACCAATAAATTGTCTCCAACCACTACAACAAATTCAGGATACACAAGCTTTTCAATATCGAGCATTCTCAGTCGTCAAGACTCTCCGAATGTGAAGAAACTTTCAGCACCGATTCCAACATTTCCACTCAATGGCTCGCAAGATGCTGCCATGATTTCCAGGGGAGAAAAACTTTAACCGACTAAGTAATGCGATACTCGCGGAAAATTTTCTACAATCATCGTGAAAATTGTGACGCGGAAATATTGTTGAAGATCTCCTTGTTTAAAATAAGCAATCTCAAATAACAAAACAAAAAGGACTACTTAAATACCTTGAAGAAAGATTTAAATCTTTTGAGGGAATTTCATGCTCAAGATAAATCTTTAAAATTAGCTTAACTGAATACCTCAAACAAACAATTTGTGGAAGTTAAAAAGGAATGTTAAGCGTCTTAAGAGACTTTTGTTGAGTGGTTTTAAGGACTTATTTGTCTCGTTATGGTTTATTTCGAGTGTGATTTCATGATGGGTGTCAAGATGCCGACAAGAGGTAGAATTTTGAATGAATTTATTCAACTGACGTTCGATTATTTTATTTCCCAATGCAATAATTTTATTTGAATAATTCAAAATTGCTGCTTCAAGAAAGAAATAAAATTGCCTTTAATCCTCGAGAATGTTATTTTAATTACGCAGTTACAGTCAGATTACAACTGTTCAAAGGGAATTTCTTTAACGAGGTCTCAATTATAATTTAAATAAAAGGATGATTAAATGGCCATTAATCTGTATTCATTGTTAGGCTTCTTAATCGCCTTCGTTTTCCCTTTTTATCGCTTCATTCTTTTTTAATCTGCGATTTCGTTCTTTCTTCTCCTTTTTATCCGCGCTACATAATTCATTAACTTCAACCATGTGTGCACGCGCGCATTGTTTGTTGGTTTTATTATTAAAGCGCATCGAGGCTTGAAGAGGATAATAATTTTTAATTTCTAACGTCAAATGTAACGATCAGAAGATTCAGATTAATCGAGATAAAAGTGGGACATGAAAACGTAAATTAGTTTCTAAATTCTACCTCGACGAAGCATATTTTTTAAACTTGTTATAATTTTCATTTGATAAGATCTTTAACGATGATTAACATGCACGCGTGAGCTTCAACGGTAAATAATGTTTATCCATATTAAAATTCTTTCTTTATTCATATTCTGCATCATATTTTAAAAGAAGCACTAAAACAGCTTTTCCTCGAAAATTTTCTTTATTCATGATTCGTTTTTCGTCTTACTTCCATTCATGTTTAATTTGCTTTCCATTGAACATTTCCTAACAAAAGAGAAATCCATTTAACATTGAAAAGAAGATTAAAAAAAAAGATTGATCAACGATTATTGCAGGGAAATAAAATTGTAAAGGCAGAGAAACATGTGTTTAACATTGTAAACGACTTTGATTGTAAATCGACACTCGCTATGGAAAATTATTCATCAAGTTACGTTGCCAATCATATGAAGCCCTTCAGCTTTAAAATTTATTTTACATACCCATGAACAAAATCAATGAAATTAATTATGTCAAAATGTAGAAATTAAATGAATTCATAACACAAAAGTGGCTTGTTTACCGGAAACCTAAATTTATTGCCCACTTCCGGTAGTCCCCTCAACACACAACGCAAAATTGAATTCTTAATGTTTCCGGAAATCTTTTAACACCTCACTGGCATTTATTACATTAATGTAGTCAACTACTCTGTCAAATAATTTAAAAACTTACCCACAAGAGAATCAAAATGTTGAAAAAAAATTAAATAAGAGAAATGTTGACGATGACTAGTCAAGTGGAAAATGAATTTATCAGCAATAAAAATAAAAGTGAAATGGAAGGGAAACCCTAAAGTGCAGATATAAAAATATTTCAAGCCGATTGTGATTAAAAACAGCACAAGAGGAAATTAAGTGTTGAGTAAATATTGTCTACATCAATAAGGCTACTTCTTACGATTGAGTGCGCTTTAAAAGGTTTCATAAGATGCTTATTTTCCACGCCATCAGTCCAAATCATTGCTTATTTATTAATACCTTCATTTCAAACTCCTTTTACTGAGCTCCAATCATTTTTATGCTTTCAGATTAGGATTCATTTCTCAATGGGGCGCATTAGCTGGTCGATATGCAGCTCTTTATCCAACTGGTTTTCCTTGGCCTTCAACAGCTCAACGACTGCCTTTTCACAGTTCAAATGGTAAGAAAAGTTTATGAAATAATCAACGACACATTGATTTTTCATGTCGCTATTAAAGTCTCTTCAAGTGTGCTTAAAGGCTTGACCATGTTCAGAAGCAACTTTAAATTGTTAATTGGATTGAAAGCAATTCAAATCTATTCAAAAGTAAAAAAAATCTATTAAAGGAACATAAATTGTTGTTTTTTGCACTGTTTTTTTTTCCTTTCTAAGGTTTCAAGTCACAAAATGCTCGTGAAATTTACTTACAAGCAAAACGATTAACTGAAACCTCATACGAAACATGAGACGTTGTCGTAAGGCGATTGAAGAAACTCAGAAATTATGTTCAACTTAACCTTTTCTGTCTGACATAATTGACCGTTATGACTCACATTTTTTGTCTTCGTTTTTATTGATCATTTCCAGATAGTTCAACAAATAATGCGGAAAATCTTTCGCCATCGTTGACGCCTCCACCGTCCGCACCATCAAAATCCCCGCAATCAAATCAAACTTATATGCCTAAAGACGGCAATGACTCAGATGATGAACATGAGATAATCGAAGAAGATGATGAAGACAGTACTGAAGGTCGCAACACGGAAAACGCATCTCCAAATTCCCTGCAGAACAAAAGGAAAAAGAAGACTCGAACAGTTTTTTCACGCGCTCAAGTTTTCCAGCTGGAATCGACCTTTGATTTGAAAAGGTACATGACGAGAATGATGAATTGATTTGTTCAAGTGGAAATATTTAATTTATCTGCTTTATTATTCTTACAGATATCTCAGTTCTTCCGAGAGAGCCGGTCTGGCTGCTTCACTACGACTGACAGAAACACAAGTAAAAATATGGTAAGTTTAATTACATTCATCATGAATCACAATTGAGATTTATTCAAAACTTCTCAGGTTTCAAAATAGAAGAAATAAATGGAAACGACAACTGGCAGCTGAATTGGAAGCAGCGTAAGTTAATAATGACTCATGAGTGAATATCAGATAAATTATAACAGCGAACTTTCTTTTTTAAATACAGAAATATGGCAAATATGGCCCATGCCGCACAAAGGCTTGTTCGCGTCCCAGTGTTATATCATGAAGGTCAAAATTTCGTTCCTCCACCATCTCACTATATTAATTATTCAAGGGCCAACAGTCCACCGCGACCACAATTATCATCACTCGTTTAGAATCGAGAACTTGAATATATTAAAGGTCGTAATTGACATCAGAAATTTAGTCATCCCCTGCCGTACTTGTGATCATCAGTCGGCGACAAATTTCAAGCCAAAAACAATTTAATTAAAATGCGAGAATGTTGTTTGAAAACATTTAATTATATTTTCTTTCCTATCTAATTAAAAGCTTCTAATTTAACGTCCCTTTAAACATTTTTGGGCAGATGCGAATGTCATTGAAAGGTGAAACTGACCGACTATAAGATAAATTAATAATGCTCTCCATGTGGTTTTTAATTGTTTAGTTTTTGCTAGCCAAGCCATAATCTAGTGAAAGAATTGTAAAATATTAAAAATGCAAAAAATTGACTCCTTTTGTAAAGTTTTTAGTGCGATAAGTTAATGATATGAATAAAAACAAAATATATGAGCCAGTGAATCGACGTTTCAAATATCTTAAAATTTTCTGTTTTAATTTCGTTGCTTTTTACTTTTGCTTCAGGAAATTCTCAAAATTGTGTGAAATGGAAACATAAAGATTTAAAATTTATTAAAAAGTTGTGTCAACTTCCTTTGAATTTCAAAATTATCGCCTTGTTATTTATGATTGTACGAGAATGAAATAAAGCGCAGAATTATATTTAATACAGAAAACGTTTAATTCATTTCATGTTTTGTTGTGTCGCGTTGAATTTCGAGTTGTAAATGGGTGTTCCTTTCACACTGAGTAAATTTTACAGTTTAAACAAAAAAAGCGTACAAAAATGCCTTTTTAGCCTCGAGCGATCCACTATTGTGCAATCAAATTCGTATAAAAATTTGAATAGATTGAATTGCAATTGGAAAAAGTGAAAATGGATCGCTGTTTGTTGATGAAAAGAATTTAATTGAAGGCTTGAGTGGTTTATTCGAAGTTTTAATTCGTTTAAAGTTTTGAATTACAGAGCGCATGGATTTATGTCGCTTAGAAATTTCGATAATAAAAAGTTGTTCTCATTGAAATGATTTTTAGTTTTCAAAATGGCTAATTCTTGTTTGAAAAGAAATGCGACGTTTGAGGATATAAAACTGACATGGTGATTGCAAATTATAAGCCTTATAAACTTCCATGTTATTCATAATGATGAAAAATGTTTCCTTCGAGTTAAAAACTTTTACTTTGATCTTTTCATTTGTAAGTCTTTTCATTTCATGCCCGAAAGATCTCTCATTACAAGTCATTGCGAATTTTCATGTTTTTTCATTTGCTTTAGATTTTCTGTGATTTGAATTCCTTCTTAAATCAGAAGAGACATGGAGGGACGTAAAGAGACGTCGTCTTAAGCAAGACAGGATGCATTTACGTCCTTTACAATTCATCAATAAATAAAATCTGAGAGTTTGTCTGATGATCTAAAATTACACAAAAGTGTTTTTAAGGTGTTGATTTTCTTCTAATTTCTCACTTAAAAGATGACATAAAAATGCTGACATCAATCGAGTAATTCGAGATTTAAAAACAGTTTTAAAAACATTTCCTTCTTTTCTTTAAAGATTGTAATCAATTGTTTGAAAAAAAACATGATTTTTTAATAAAGTGACAAAAGCGTAACATGATATCGAGAGAGTTTAGGAAACTTGAAGAAGATTGTATCGAATTGTTGTGCTAGCACTCTGAGAAAGAATTATTTGGATTAAACTTTTCCATTTCACAACAAATTATCAACTTTTCGAAACTTTCTTGTTAAGTTAATGTTTTAAAAGTCATTACTTGCTAGTGCAACAAGTGTAATTGATTGCAACATATATCAATAGAAATGGTGGATCTGAAACTCTTTCCACATCAGGATTTGTCACAGGTCAGAATTTATCGTTAGAACAAAGCGACAACATTAAATAAAGAGCACGAAAATTTATTTTTCTTATTAACTTAAGTGGTGATTCAGAATGAAAAAAAAATTGTATCATGACAAAACGTTTGGTTCTCGAAAATGTTGGAGAAATTACCGGCATTAAAATTAACATCTTTTTCAAGTCGCTCTTTTAATTTTCATTGCTGCTCTTGTGACGAGCGCATTTTATTTATGTTTTTGATTAATTGTCCATTTACATGAAACACAGCTTTTTGTTAATTCGAGGTTTTAAGGATTGGCTTTTAATCCTGAATGCTTCAATGCTCGAATGCTTGAATTCGCCTAAGTGATCACGCGATTCTCGAAGAATTCTCTCCATCAGAAGTCAGTTGAATCATTTACGATTTACCTCCCACATCACGTAATCCAACAAGACATCGCCATTTAAATGTAAATTGAGTCTGCAAATTTTCTTTCCTTCTTCCTTTCAACATCTCAGTTGATTTTTTTTTGAAGAGTTCGTAATTGGATTTTTCTTCTCCTTGTTTTATTCCTTCGTCTTTTGAAATTTCCCAACAAAATGGAAGTGAAAAAAGGAAAATCTGTTTTAAATTCATGGAAAAAAAATATTCTGTGGTTGAAATTGGATTGCGAAATTTTTTCATTTCACTTTTGATTGGTTACTTGAAATGGAAAAAGTTTTCAAATCGAGTCATGAAACGACAAATCTCATTTTTTATGACAAAAATGTTGATGCTTAATGTGAGTTGACAACTGCTCATCGAATGAATCAGAAATCAGAGACGAACATATTTTACTCTATCAATTCATGTTTGTGATTTGAGTAAAACCTCTCATTAAACCGAGGCTTAAATAATTAAAATCATTATCATGTTTAATGGTCACGTGTCTTTGGGCTCTTATAATTTTTCGAGATTTCTTCACCTTTCATTTACATAATGTATAATCAAGAAGAGTTTTGTGTTGGATGTTGAAATCTCATAACTTAATAACATGCTTGGTAAAACATTTCAATGGTCACGTGTCAGTCGTTACTGCTGTTTGTATACATTTTGATTTTTAGACATATTGAACATAAACAAGTATCTATTTCCGAATCACATTCAAACGCTGAATGGTTAAAACTTTCATTATTTTTAAGAGTTTCATTTAAATTATTACTTAAACGATGGGAACGGATTTTTCTCTTTTCCCTCAAAATTGATTGGAGAATGAGAAAAAGTGTCTAAATGCCACTTAAACAAATTGTAAAGTAAACTTTTCCATTTGCAACTTGAGGAACATCACAAAAGACTTAAATGGAATGAGATTAAAAGGAAGGCAAGAAAAGAAATTCATCCTTAATCTTATTTCATGTAAAATGAAACCAAAACATTTTTTTTTATCCCTCCATCACTTCTGCAGTTGTTGTAAAAGCGATGAATTGTCCAAATAAATTAGGAAAATTAAAAAAATGCTTTAGGACTAATTTGATTAAATTAGGAGAAGATAAATGAGTCGTTTGAAGATGGGTAAGTAAAATTCCGTTAATTTATGTTGAATCAAATCAATGTTGTTACACTTATTTGAAGCATTCTGAAAGTGTTTTAGATCAGACCTGTTACAATTCAGTCTAATTGTTGCAATCATATCAATTAACAGATAAATTCAACGCTTCATTCAATTGAAACTTGTCGATTGTTATGTTCATTCATGTGAATATGTTTTGTGAATTTTACAAATGAAATTTTTTAACAGAAAAAAGTTTAAGTGTGAAATTAACATATAAATGTTCGATAACGATAACTTTTTAATACTATTGGAAAAGAAGATTTTTCACTAGATAGAATTAATGTATGCAAACAAAACCACCCATTTTTCATATCTCATAAATCATCACATGTAACAACAACATGATGCATTAAATTACTTTCAAAAATATTACAATTTATTCATTTGACTCGGTAGATAATCAGTTTTGAAAAGTAATGTTGATAACAATCTGAAAAATATGTTAATTGAGACTCATAAAAAAGTTCATTTAAATAATTTTGAAGGTATAACTTGATAAATATTTTGAACAGTTTGATGTCAGATGCATCTCGTTGGTAAACATTGAACGCACTAAATTAAAATTTAATTCGATAATTATGAGGTTCAAGAGGAAAATAAAAACATTTGGCATGTTGTGGCATCATATTTCAATTTTCAAATAATGCACATCAACCTCAAATGTAGAAACATTGCAATCGGATGAAGATCAGAGATGGGCAAATGTTCCGTTCAACTCGATTGACTGACTGACTGACATGTCAATGTCTTTCAGTCAGTCAGTCAGTCAGTCAAAATCGCGAACAAAAATATTCGCTTGTTGGGACACGTTCATATAAATGTTCCGCTCAAGTCGTTTGACTGACTGAGTGACAAGGCAATGTCTGTCAGTCAGTCAGTCAAATCCCAACTCTGATGAAGATCGATTAAAATTTATGAAATGGAAAATCATCTTTTTTTATTTAATCTTTTTAATTTGAAATCTCGAATTGTCTCTAACCACATGTCACATTTTCTTGTTACATTGGGATGAGTTTAATGATTGATTAAGTGGCATCAAATGATAAAAATAAATGCTACTAGTCTCATTTTATTTGAACGATGTAGAGATAACATCGCCTAATAATCACAAATTAACAACTACAATCAACTCGAAAAATAAAAGCAGAAATAGAATAAGAAAAACATCCGCACATGCTCTGTGCGACTCAGATTTCCTACATCGTATCAAATTAATCATGATGGAATCCACAAAATAAAACATTTGCAACCAATTTCGTTTCGATAACTTCATCATTGATGTGAGTGTATAAAGAGATTTAATGATGATGTAGAGCACTTTTCACCCCCTATTGATCTCCCTCGCTATCCTTTTCCTTCCATCTAACATCATTATTCAATGAAGCTTTTGATAAGTAAAATAACAATATAAATCAACGATGAAAACATTCAGGGTTTAAGAGGTGCAGACATTCATGGGATTGAAAGCATTAAAACTTTCTTTGTCGCCCCTGAAAATAGAAAAAGTAGCGATACCGAAGAGTGCTCTATCTTTTCAGCTTTGCCATTGTATTTACATTAACCCCTGAAGCGTATAATTGGTTCATAATCTCTACGACATATTGGCGTATTTTACAGCTTTTTATATTAAATTGCCACTCAAATGTTGTTGTTTGTGATTTCTTGGAAAATTTTGCAAGAGATCATGAATCATAGAATCATAAATATGGAGAAAGAAGATTTTGTTTTATCGATTCTTCCAGACACTAGACATATAACATGTACGCTTAATATCGCTCAGTTTATGATCATTATTTAAAAGCACATCACAATTATATTCCCAAGTGTCGTAAATACCATTATTCGATGCGAATAAAATGGAATGGAAAATTCAACATTTTTTCCTCTTTTTGATGAATTACGTACAAATGAAAACGTTGAATTGTGAATAGGATTTGTCGGTAACAATAAACTGACAAAAAACATCCCTCAGAAAAAAGAATCATCGTATGTGAGTTCCTTTTATGATGATTTCCCTTTTACAAAGCAAGATCTTTCAATTTTTTCCAATCATTTTTATTGTGCGAAATTACTTTTTGTATGCTTGGATTTAATATTTTAGACATAAAAAGACGCAAGGGATTTCTAGCCATTGTTTGCAAGAACATTTAAACGGCAATCTACTTGGAAATGAAGAAAAAAAAACATTTTCATGTTCAGTAAAAGGTTAGATATGCAAAAAAGGATGGAAAGCCGAGCACAACAACTCATCCCAGAAGCAATCTAAATGATTTGTTGTTGATTATGAAACTAAAATGTTCTCGTTTTCATCGAGCGCAATGAATGAAAAACCATCAAGTAATTGAAAAACATTTCAAATTTTAAGTGCATCGCTATTGCGAGTAAAATTCTATTCAAAAACAATCAACACGAAATGTGAGTGAACAAGAATAAAAGAGAATTACATTCATTTCAGTTGAGTCATTCATAGTTCTGACAGATTTAACTTTGAACTCTAATTATTGAGGCTGCAAATAGGTTTTCATTTCATTCCTTATTTTTGCATAAATTTATTTAATTTTACCATTTATGCTGCTATCAAATATTTTATATAAAAGTCTTTAACGCACCCATAAAAACAACAGCAATCAACAACATTGAACACGTATTCAACAACGCATGCACTTTACTAATCTTATCTTAACCATCGCATCGCACTTCAGTTCTTTAGATATTTAAAATTTAAAAAAGGAAAGAGAAATTAATTAACTTTAAAAGTTTAAACAGTTCGGTGCACTTCTAAATCGAGTAAATTATAAAACTAACAAACAAGGCTCGTGTAAACGCACGTCGATCTTGATTAATTATGAAGCGTAATCTTCAGTATAGTTGACGGTTAATGCGACGGCATCTGTTCATTTATTTACCAGTTTATATTACTCGTCCTTTACTCCCAAACTATATCGCCGGAAAATGAGAACAATAATGAGAGAAATGGAAAATACTTAAATTTCTTACATCCACTATAAGTGTAGACATCTACTTAGTATGTATCAAATAACGTTGTGGAATTCTAATTGTAAATGCTTTGAAACTCGTATCATATCAACATGAAAAGATTTTCGGAGCTTTGCAAGCAAATTTTCCCCTTGAAACATAAAAATGTTTGAAAGTGTGAGTGAATTTAGTGAAACATCAGCGAGTAAAGCTCATAGGGCGTGTTCGCAACATTTTCATTTCAGCTGAAACATCATGGCCCTTTTCCCCAGGATACATTTACCTCATCAATTTACCTTAATTGCGTGAAAAAACTCTTTACTGCAAAGAAATTATGCTGAAGCATTTGATAGCAAAGGGAAAACACAAATGAAAAAGTTAGAATTAAAAGCAAAAAGCCATTTAAAAGGGAATTGTTGTAGAGTGGTTTTAGTTGTTAAGTTAGTATGTTGAATATAACTTTAATGCTAAAATCATCTGGGGGATTACAAAAGTGTTAAGGGGTGAAGCAGTAAAACTGTTTGATGATCAATCAAACACTCAGACTGAGAATTTTGCTGAGTAAGTAGAGAAGAAAGCGAGAAACTCATTTCATTTTACTGATGTGGAAAATTGAAGCTCAACTAACACAACATTTTCAACGAATAAAGGATGAAAATATATTGCAATCATGTTGGAAACATACAACGTACAAATTGCTGTATATAATCTTTTATAGCGTTTTCCAAAGCCATGCTTTGGATTGCGTACCATCCATTGTGGTGGAGTTACACAGAAAACGATTACCCATCCTTTACCTGAAGGAACAAATAAAATACGATGAGCTTGATAGCGATTTTTGGTTGTTGCGTTTCCAAAGAAAATTCGGATTGTTTTCTGCATAACGAAGTGTAAAAAAAAACAATTTTGCAAACGTTGATGTCGTTTTTATGTCTCATACTTTTTTATACCTAAATGGAAAACTCTGCAACAATAAAGTCAGGTACTTTCCTCGGTTTCCATTGAGAAGTTTTTTAACGAGCATACAGATTAGTTTTTACGATAGCAATTTATTTTCCGAGGATTTTCTTGTGTTAAACGTCGAAGCGAGAGAACGAGAGAATAGAACTCAAATCGAGGAATGAAAAACATAAAACGGAAAAGTAGTTTTGTTATGTTTGTTTGTTAAACTGAGATTTTCACATTGAACTCTCCATTGTTAATTTTCTTTTTTGTTTATCCATCTAGAAAATTTGTTTTTTGATAGATCTTTGATAATAAGAAAATTCATTTTACTCTACACTTTGTGGACAATGATGAAAATGTATTAAGTATGAAGTTTATAATATAAAGTATGAAATATGACATGCATCACTTACATTCTATATGAACTCTGAAATAAATTCACTGTAATGATTTTAAATCAAAAACTGGGAAAATTCCTTGAGACCTTCACACAATTGATGTATTAAATTGATATAAGAATTTCCTTCTTTAACCGCATCAATCTCTTGAAAACTTTCATTAAATTAGAGAACTTACTGTACCGTACAAGTAACTTTCATTAGAACGTTTCTTCAGATGATAAAACAACGATAAAAGGCGTGTTCTGTCAATGTTTAATGTTTTCACAATTTCTTTCTAAGCATTTTTGGTATGTTGAATGTTCACAAAGTTTTGCCTTCATTGCAATGATTGCTTCTTAGATTGTTTTAATGTTTCACTTTTAAAATTCATTTCACCCTATTTGCTATATAAAGTATTCACTTTTACTTCTTCATCATGATTCAACTGCGATGGATTATTTATATCAAAATGGCTTGATGAATTAATAATTAGAAAGTGTTTAAGATATTTAAGTACACAAATATAAAATCCAGTAAGCTGATCTTTGATAAAAAAAATTGTCATCTTACCTCAATAAATTTGTTACTTAAATAAAAACTTTCATGTGTTAATCGACGATTTCTTAAACATTTTTGCCAAATGAAGAAACTTTTGTTGATTTTTTAATATTTTCACAAAAAATTCGCATAATTATCATCGAGCTTAAATTTTATTTCAATAGTTTCCAATAACCTTTTTAAAATTTTAGATGTTTAAGTTAAAATTATGAAAGAACTTGAAATTTCCTGAAAATCTTCCGGATGAAGCAAGTGTCAGCTAAAAATTTTTTTTGTATTAATTAAATTGCGTCTCTATGACATTTGATATCAAAATATCTTTAGAAAAGGTTCATTCTCACATGTGTTACTAATAACCTTCAACTTAGTTATTTGCGCATATCTAAATAAAATATCAAATTGCGCAATAATATTACGCAATATCGAAGTCAAAAATTTTTACGAAATAACTGAAATAATAAATAGCAAACACTTTACCTGAAAAACTTCATAAACAGTTTAGCACTAAGTAATCTTTAAGTTCTTTTGTGAAGAATTGATAGGATGCAAATTTCGAATTCTTTTGTACACTTATGAAAAAAATTATTAGAAACAGAAACTTAGTAAAAATCCAGTATAGAAATCATTTCTTTCTATTAGATTGTTTGATGGCTTGAAGTCCATATTCAATGCTGGTGTTCGATTGAAATTTAAAAATGCCTCTGAAAAATTCATAACGAAAGCCAATAACTTTGACTGTTCGACAATTCATCTCTTCAAGTATTTCTGTGACTTCTGAAGGGCTTATAAATTGTTCATAGATGTGAGTATTTTTTGGTAATAAACCAAGGATGAATTCTCCAAATATGATGGCACAAAGCCATGCAAACCAATTTCTACTAATAGTTGTGATGAAAATAGAACCACCAGGTTTCAATGCTTCAACACACGACTTCAAGAAAGCTTTTTTATCAGCAATGTGTTCAACAACTTCACTAGCCACAACTGCGTCATATTTTTCAGCATTTTTTTTAATGTGATCTTCAATTAGCTCACACGAATAGGAAACTTTAATGTCGGCATTTTGGCTCGAAAGATGATCTTCAGCTGTTTTGATAAGATCTTCTGCTGGATCAATTCCAACAACTTCAGCTCCAAAATATCCAAGTGGTTCTGATAAAACTCCCGCACCGCAACCAACATCAAGTATTTTATATCCTTCCAATGCATCCGATGTTTGACCTTCTCTCCAATATTCTGGAGTTCCATTTGTTACTAATCCATCTCGAACAAATGGAACTCTCACTTGATTCATCTCGTGCAACGCTTTACATTCACCAGTGGGATCCCACCAAACACCAGCAAAACTTGACATGTGTTTGACATCTCTTTCGTCAACATTGAATTTTTTGTTTGATTCTGTTTGTCTTTGTCTATAAATAACATCAAAACTATTTGAAATTTCAAATATAGAATCTTAAATAAACACCTCAATTCTGTCATGTCGTTTTCAATAATTGACTATTTGGATTAAAAGAAGGTCTTTCCAGAAACGCTTAGCTTAAATGACTGAGTGAACACCACGAAATTCGGTAGCTTTATATACTTAGGCAAACATTTCTGTTTGCTGTGTAAACACTTAAAGGCAGAGCAAACTACTAAAGAAATAATAATAATATTAAATGTTTTGAGTTCGATTGGGTGCGATATTTTTGAGATAAAAAGCTGCTATTATTAATGTAGATAAAAATCAAATTATTATCTTGTTTAATGCGACATGTTTCAATGCTTTATTGGCATCCTTTTCAAGCAAGTGTAATTGTGAATAAATTTATTCTTCTTTCTTCCTACTATCTAGGACTATCTACTCGACTACTAAATATGAGATCGACTTCTTTAAACTACTCTAAATGATTGAAATTAACTATTACGAATTCAGCTACGATTCTAGGTTGCGTTGCTACGATTTCGGCTATTCATCTTCGATATAATAAAAACAATAGACAAACAATAAAGTCTACAGATAAAAACTGAATTTATAAATAGAATTCATTACAAGTCCGTGAATAAAGAATTAATAATACTAATTAATTGATTTTTTTTTAATTCTGATGTCATTTCAGTGACGATTTTGAAGTCGATTTTACAGATTTTTCTGATACTTGAGTTTATACTTCAATACATTTTGAATACCTGGATGGATGGTGTTAAAAAAGCAAATAGTCTCAGAGTTAAGTGCACAACAAATTAAATTAGGTAATTAAAAGTAAGAAAGGCCTAACCAACACTGAAGGCCAAATATTTATGTATTTATGTGCATAATTTCTGTTTTCTTATGTAACGTTACATTTCTTACAAGACAGATAATCAGTGATGTACATGCAATCAATGATAATAATAAAAAAACTTTTCTGCTTTTATTAAAATCATAATTTACTAAACATATACGAATAGATAACATTTTTGATTCATAAAATACTGAAGTAGAAAATATTGGTTTAATTTATATTTTACCAAACCGAAAAGTGAATTTTTATTATGATTTATGTGGTTACAGATTTTATACTCGTCTGTGAAATAAAATTCATCATTTGCAATTGTAAATTGAAAAACAATTGAAAAAAATAATTTAACCTTGGGTATTATGCTTTGTCGTTTGTCTTGGTTGATTTTTCGTTTTTGACATCGTTTTTTAGAAGCTTTTCCTTAGACGCTTCTTCTTCACCAATTTCCTTCTCTGCTTCAGCATCGACAGAAGCTTCGCATTTTCCACTTTCAAGATCAATTCGAGCATGTTCATTTTTAACCATTTCTCTTAATTCATCACCAAAGCCAAATTGATCAGCAAGATGTAAACAACCTTCATCACAATCACCTTCATAAGCAACGTCTCTACGATTGCCAGGCAGATCAAAACACAAACCTTCGCCAAAGATCATTGAACGTAAAAATCCACTGCTGTTCTTTCCAACTTTGTCTCGATTAATCAGCAAACGCACACAATGGTCACTGACATAATCAACAAGTGATGCAAAGGGTTGAACAGTCAGTGATGTTCCCATGATAATAAGCAAATCACATTGCTTAAAGTCACGGTGAGGTAACACATAAAACCTTTCTGGTAAATTTTCTCCAAAGAAAACGATATCTGGCTTAACAATGCCATTGCATTTCGTGCATGTAGGAACGTTGTCAGCGAATATTGCCTTTTTTGCCCATTCCATTGAATACTCTTCATTACAATCAACACAATGATTTACATAAAATGTTCCATGGGCTTCGACTAATTTCTCATCGTCGATTCCTGCAATGCGTTCAAGCGTGTCAATATTTTGTGTATAGTGTCGAAGTAAAAGTCCTTTATCCTGAAGAGCTTTAACGAAATAATGTGATGGCGTTGGTTTAAAAGTTCCTGGATACAATTCTTTAGCAAGTTTAAAAAATGGCTGAGGGTTTTCGCGAAAATAATCGAGCTCGAATATCGCTTCGGGATATGGCAAATTAAATTTTTGTAAGTTATGGTAAAGTCCAGATGATGGTGAACGAAAATCTGGTATTCCTGCTGATGTGCTGATGCCAGCACCAACCATCGTAACAATTTTTTTAAATTTTCCAGCTTTGAATGCACTCACAACACCTGGAATGTCAACGCTTTGTAAAACTTGTCTACCATCAGTGTCATCATCTTCGGAAGTTGATGACAGATGAAGTTTGTCAGCAAAAAAGTTAGCTATTCTGTCCATGATATTTTCTGTTGGCTCTGGCTTTTCAGCAGGTCTTTCATTGTTGCTACTGGAACCTCCTGATGCATCTTTATTTTTGTCTTAAATTATAGATTTTTAAATTTATTGAACTGGTCTTAATTAATTTCTATTTTACCTTCCTTAGATGCCATTATAGCTATCGAAGTAAATTGTTTTATGCTTCCTACAATTAATTGACGGTGAGAAAGCTTTTCCGTCTTAAAAAAGATTTTACGAATAATTTTGAATCAAAAATAAAAACAAAGTTTTACTGAATGGTTGTGTGTTCAGTGAACTTAATTGATAGTCAGACATCAAAAATTCTGTTAGATATAAAAAATGCTAACAAAATAATTTCCCCTTCCAAATGTCAACAAAAACACGCGTGAAATATTTAAAAATGCAGAATAAAAACTTTAAGATAAAAAACAAGAACTCTAAAAAGTTTAAAAAGAAGATACCTGTTGACGGCAAACCTAAAATAAAACGAGGTCTCTTAGAGGATGAAGAGATAAAGCAATTACAAGAAAATTACAAAAATCTTCCTGATTTTCGGGAAATTAAAACTTTTGAAAATTTGCCACTTTCAAAGAGAACAAGAAAAGGATTAGCAGAAAATAAATTTCGCTATCCAACAGAAATTCAGAAACAATCAATTGGTCTTGCATTTCAAGGAAAAGATATTCTTGGTGCTGCTCAAACAGGAAGTGGTAAAACTCTTGGTAAATTTTAATAAATGTTAAATTATTTCTTGTTTATTAAAACATTCCATTTATGATTTCTTTCAGCTTTTCTTATCCCAATACTTGAGAACCTTTATTTGAAGAAATGGACAAGATTAGATGGTGTTGGAGCAATAATTATATCACCAACAAGAGAATTGGCATATCAAATTTTTGAGACATTAAAGAAAGTTGGAGCTCACCATGACTTTTCCAGTGGACTCATCATTGGTGGCAAGAATCTTAAATTTGAAAAGACACGCATGGATCAGTGTAACATTGTTATTTGTACGCCTGGAAGACTTCTTCAACATATGGACGAAAATCCACTTTTTAATTGCATTTCAATGCAAATTCTTGTACTGGATGAAGCTGATCGTTGTCTTGACATGGGATTTGCTGACACAATGAACGCAATAATTGACAATCTTCCACCTGATCGTCAAACTTTGTTATTCTCTGCAACACAAACAAAATCTGTTAAGGACTTAGCAAGATTAAGTTTAAAATCGCCGGAATATATTGCACCACATGATAAAGCTGACACAAGAACGCCAGCGACACTTCAACAGAACTACGTTGTCGTTAATCAAGAGGATAAAATGACAATGCTTTGGTCGTTCATCAAAAGTCATTTGAAACAAAAATCTATCGTTTTTATGTCGTCGTGTAAACAAGTCAAATATATTTATGAGATATTCAGTAAATTACGACCAGGAGTCTCTCTTCTTGCACTTTATGGAACACTCCATCAAGATCGTAGAATGGCAATTTACGATGAATTTTGTAAGCGATCTAAAGTTGTCTTATTCGCAACTGATATCGCATCAAGAGGTTTAGATTTTCCCATTGTTAGTTGGGTGATTCAATTAGATTGTCCAGAAGATGTCAATGCTTACATTCATCGTGCTGGAAGAACAGCAAGACATAAAGCACAAGGCGAAAGCTTATTGGTGTTGACACCAAATGAAGAAACTTCAATGGTAGAAGAACTTAAGTCAAACAAAATTCCTATTAATCAAATTTCAATTGATCCAAAACGTTTATTTTCACCACAAGTTAAAATGGAAGCTTTTGTGGCACAATCAAATGAATTAAAAGAATCAGCGCAACGTGCTTTCGTTGCTTACATTAAATCAGTTTATTTAATGAAGAACAAGAAAATTTTTAACGTTGAATCAATAAATTTCGATGAATATGCAAGATCTCTGGGGCTTGTAGTTACACCTCGTGTTAGATTCCTTCAGCGACTCAAAAAAAGAAAAGAAAAGAATGAAATTGAAGAGAAATCTGATGACGACATTGACTCTGCTGGCGATGAATCAAATCAAAAGGAGAAATTGAAATCAATAGATTTGAATGCTTTAATGGCTGAGGAAAGTGACGAAGATGATGACTTTGTAACTATTAAAAGGAAAGATCATGAGATCGTTGAATTTGATAGCGAGACCATAGTCGAAGACATTAAAGAAGCGAGAAAATCTAAAATTTTAACAAAAGCTGCTCTCGCTAAGAAAATAATTAAGAAGAAAATTGTTCCAAATAAGAAAATTCAATACGATGAAGAAGGCAAAGAAATTATAAATACAGCTAAACAGTTGCAATCAGAACTTGCACGAGAGTATGAAGAAAATGATGATGACGATGGTGGAATTAATATTGAGAAAGCTAAGGAACTTCTTGAGGAAGAAGATAAATTTGACAAACAACGATATAAAGAAAAGGTGAAATTGAAGCATCGTGAAAAGAAAAATAAATTGAAAAAGTTGAGAACGAAGGAGAGTGGAAAAGATGACGATGATGACGAAGAAGAATTCGACAGTGAAAGTGCTGAAGAACCTGATGTATCGTGGTTGCCAGATTATGATGAAATAAACAGAAAACAAGCTGAAATGTCTGATGAAGAAGGAGATCAAGATAGTGAAAGTAGTGACGATCAAATTCATAGACCACCAACTAAACTCTACGAAAAGAAGCGATCTGCTGAAGAAGAATCGAGTGAAGAAGAAATTCACTTAAAGAAAAAATCAAGAAAAGATATCGCTTCAAAATTGACTTTGAACGATGCTGAAGCGTTAGCAATGTCTTTAATTTCTAAATGAATTAAACAATTTTTGATTTCTTTTTATTTCTGGAATAAAATTTCAATTCTGTGAAGAAAATTAAATATTTTTGTTTGAATTTCTATTCCACTTTATAAAAAGCTGAAAAATAAATAAAATGTTTTGAAACTGTTTTGATGAACTCAAATTTATTTCAATTCAATCGTAACTAACAATGCTTGGTGAATTATTTAGTGGAAGGAAATTTAATAACGTCCAAACTCTATTGAGTCTTGTTGCAATTGAGTATTGATTGTTACAATGTGACTAGACTGATTACGCTTGTATTTTTATAATCAGTTTGATATAAAACATGTTTCTATACCACCGCATTTTGTTTTCCAAACTACTTTCTAAACAAATTTTTAATTATCATCTGGACTTTATTTGTACGATGTTGAGGTTCAAGACCTACAAAAATTCAAGCAAAAAAGTTGATTCAATTAATAATCCAAAATTAGAAAATAATTTAAGCTTTTTGAAATGAAACAGTTAAGTGATAAAAATTATTTCAAGAGTTGCAACTCTATTCAAAAGTTTTGAATCAAAACTCTATCAAACCATTTTTGTTACTTTTGTTATATTTTATTTATTGAAGATAAATACAAATATTTTGAAAATTTTCATTACGCAGTAGATGATCAGAAGAAGAAAATATATTTTTATGAAGAAACTTCATAACTTCACTTATTTGAATATAAAATTCTTAAACTATGTATCCACGAAGAGAACTACCTAATAAAAATCAATTTGAGATTTTTAAACGAATATTCAACGAAATGACTTTCCAAATTGATTTATAAATGGTTTGGCTTAAAATTTTGCCTAACTTTAAGGCAATCAAAAGTTTGAAAAATTCTAAAAGTTTATTAACTTCAAAACAATTCAATCAATCAACATGAAAATTCGAAAAATCACAATCAATCAGCATGAAAAACAGATTAAAAACTCATTTCCCAAATGATACTACAAATTTCTTACCTGTTTTCATCATATTTCAACAGTTAGTTTTGGAGAAATACTAAAGCCTTGAGTGAGTCATTTGATAACGAAAAAAATCATTGACGAGTTTCAATATTAATGTACGAAGAATTCATAAGATAATAAAATTATTAGAAGCAATGGTGCCAAAAACTTAATGATATCGTTATCAGAATGAGAAGATATGTTAACAAGTTTTTATTTTTCATTTTTGATAACGAATTTCCTGGAGAATATAAAAGCGAACAACAATAATTTACAATTTCAGTCGTCAATTAGAACGAAGCAAGATATAATGAAGTTTTTTTGTATCTTAGCATTTTGTGCATCGGTCATTGCACAAATTCCAGAATGGCCTGTTATTTCTCCACAACAGCCTGCACCTGAGAATAATAATATTCCACAATGGCCAACTAATCCGCAACAACCTGCACCTGAGAATAATAATATTCCACAGTGGCCAACAAATCCGCAAGCACCTCAACAACCAGAAAACGTTCCACAACAACCTCAGCAACCAGGAAATATTCCACAATGGCCAACAAACCCACAACCACCTCAACAACCAAATAACATTCCACAATGGCCAACCAATCCACAACCACCTCAACAACCAGATAACATTCCACAATGGCCAACCAATCCACAACCACCTCAACCAGATAACATTCCACAATGGCCAACCAACCCACAACCACCTCAACAACCAGATAACATTCCACAATGGCCTCAACCACCACCTCAACAACCAGATAACCCACAATGGCCTCAACCACCACCTCAACAACCAGATAACCCACAATGGCCTCAACCACCACCTCAACAACCAGATAACCCACAGTGGCCACAACCACCTCAACAACCGGATAATGGAATTCCTATATTACCTGATCAACCTCAACCACCTCCACAATGGCCACAACCACCTCAACAACCAGATAATAGGATTCCCATTTTACCTGAAGAACCTCAACAACCCGAGCGACCCCCACAACCTCCCCGTCCTCCAGTATGGCCACAATGGCCACCACCTCAACCTGAACACCCACAACCGCCACAATGGAATCCTGATGCACCAATATGGCGACCGGAAGAACGTGCAGCACGAGACCCACGTTGTCCTGCTTTAGACCCAAGAATCCCAACTGTTTTCCCTCATGATTTCAATTGCAGTTTCTTCTACCAATGCCGTAACGGATTAAGATGTATGAAAATCGTTCATTATAATTACTCACATACAACTAATGAAATTTTAACTTTCATTTTAGATACTTTCCAATGCCCAGGAAACTTGATGTTTGATAGGGTTACAATGACTTGTGTGCACCCCCGATCAGCAAGATGCTAAACAAAGGAACAATCTGATATTCGCTATATAAAAATATTTAATCACGATATAAAAAATGCTTGCTTACTTGTGCGTGCGTGCTCAACATATAATAATCGAGAAGAAAGTGAATAAAACATTAAAAAACTTGTGAAAGTCAAAACTGTCAATCGTTTATGTGCAAGTGATCGATTTATTAAATTTTTTGTCAATTGACGTTTAAATTCTAAAACTATAAAAGCTCTTTTGGACTTTTTAGGTGAAAAGAACACGCCTGAGTCTTGTTTATCAATTCTTTATTGTTTATTAAAAATCATGATTGAAAATCATGAATAAAAATCATAAAGAAACTTAGTGGTATCCATGGATTCATTCTTAACTGAAAATTTTTAGTTTGTGTGTTTCTTGCAAAAATGAATTCTTGAAAATTGGTTCTTATTTTATAACTGTTTAGAAATATTTGAAAGTCAACTTTTTTTTTTCATTCAGTTTTGGCAAAAATAGATACTAGAAAACATTTTTCTTTTTACAGAAGTCTTTTAAAGCATTTAAACTAACTTTAAAATTATTTTAATTAGAATATTGAAGAAGATAAAACGGCTTTCCATACTTGTGTAGATGAATTGAAAAGCAAATTTTTATTTGTTGTAATGTAATAAGAAGAGAGATAGGAGAATTGCATCTCACGACTTTAGTTCAACCTTGAACTAATCTATATAAACCTCGTCAAAGTAAAATAAAACTCTTTCCGACAATTCTGACTAAAGAATAATAATGTGTTTAAAATCTGCCTTCAAATAAAATCGTCATTTTCAGCGTTACGAAATTGGCGACGAGAATAAAAACGTGAAAATTAAAGTGTGCAAAGCAAGAAGTAAAAATTGAAGTATATTTAAATTAGAAATTAGTTAATCGATAAAAGTTAAAAGTAGAGATTGAAAGTTGCCGTAAAATCTGAGTTTCTGAAGCAGACAGATTTTCCTTTGGAAGGTTGGACGAAGAAGTTTGAGTTTTTGAAGAAGGAAGAAGATTTGGTTAAGCCGCCACTAGCAGAGAAAAGCGGGCAAATCTGAGAAGCGTGAAGAACAGCAACAAGGGCTGTAGCAAGTTTGTGATTTGGTTAAGCCGCCACTAGCAGAGAAAAGCGGGCAAATCGTGGAGGAAGATAACAGAGAGTTTTTTGATTAAATGTGAAGGTCCCTAGAGAAGACACACGTGGGCGGTTAGTGAAGAAAATTTGGCAATTTGAAGGCGAAGAATTTGTCGTGAAAGCACCGCGCCACACAACGAAGGACTGAAGAACAAAGCAGAAGTGAATTCAACAATAGAAGCAATTTTTTAGTTTTGTTATGAGAAAGATTTATTGAAAGTTATTAGCAATGCAGAAAGTTTTTTTTAAAGTAAAAATTTGAGAAGAAGATTTTAAGGAGGAAAGTGTTGTAATGTAATAAGAAGAGAGATAGGAGAATTGCATCTCACGACTTTAGTTCAACCTTGAACTAATCTATATAAACCTCGTCAAAGTAAAATAAAACTCTTTCCGACAATTCTGACTAAAGAATAATAATGTGTTTAAAATCTGCCTTCAAATAAAATCGTCATTTTCAGCGTTACGAAATTATTAAGCTCCCTTCCGATTAGTTTTGATCTTTTAATGATGTCTCGAAAGTTCATTTTAAAAATGAGTAATCTGGTCGTCGAAGTAAACTCATCCCGCAACCTGCTGGTGTGCCTTTCTATGATTTTTAAAATGATAGAAATATATGTTTAACCCTTAAATCTAATCAAAGTGTGAAGAGAGAGAGAATTAATAAACAGTACGAGTCCATCAAAATAAAACACAGTTTAATAAAAAATAAACACAACAAAGTTTTGCTATATTTTTTTTATTTCTAAAAACACTCCTACATAGAAAATAAATTGGAATATTTCTGGTTATTATTGATTGTTCAAAATGGTGTGAGGTCGTCTTTACGTTTCAAAAATTGAATCTTACAAGTTTTAAACACTTTTTGGAATCACACTTATTATTATTTATCAAATTTCAAAAGCTTGAATAACTCACGAAATGTAAAATTTAAAACGTCGTTATGAGTTTTTCAATGGAAAACTTCATGAAAGTTAATACAAAAGAACAGAAAGAAGGAATTTGTCAAAACGAGGCAGTCAATAACTAATACCGAAACAAAAGAATATTTTACCGATTAAAATTTTATTTACAAAACTGAATAAAATCGAGAGTGGCAAAAACACATTAGCCAAAAAGTAAAATTTAAATTTTTTTTACGGCCTTTTTTTATTTATAATGTCAATAAACTTTTGTTTCATCATATAAAAATCAATCATATTAAATCTTTTGGGAATAAAATTAAAGACATGAAATTTTGAATCATAACCGAACCAGTTTCAAATGAAATATTGAGAGTTTCAACACGATCGCTAACACTTAATCGTTGAATTTTTTATTTTCTTACGAAGGTCATATGAAACATCATTTTTTTACTCAAGGTTATACATATATACCTATTTATGCAAAGATGCAATATCGCTTATATCTACTATATTAGACAAACAACATAAATCCTTAAGAAAAAACTTTCACTTCATAAAGCCGATATCAACAAGTTCGAAAGATATTTTCTCAGACACAATAAGTAAAGCAAAGATGTTAATTCAACAAATCAGCGTTAGTAAAACAGCTTTCCGAAACCAACCAATCAGTTTGATTTTGATGCTTTGGATATTTTAAATTCTATAAACTTGAAATCACATTTAAATATTTAGGATTGGTTCATATACAAAGCTAACAAAATAGTCAATACACGAACTAATACTTTGGAACTGAGTCAAATGTGCCATGGCGCGATAAAAAACAAAAAAAATACAACACTATCACAACCAATACTTACCTGATAACTGAGAGAAAAAGATGATTGAGAACTAAAAACATGATCAATTCTCCATTTTAGAAGCAGAATAATTTTCAATTATTTGAAAAAGTATTGACAAATTTTTTGTCATTTCTGCAGGATTATTTTTTCTAGATGTAACATTCGATGAACTGGATCTTCTTAAATATGGACAAAATCAACAAACTTATTGCTAATCGTTTTACATCAGCTCCGGTGTTAAGTAGTTTATTAATTATGTTCACTATTCAAACTTAAAATTATGATTTAGATATTTATATTCTTTTAATTCTCTTAATAGTAAACTTGTTAGAGCATACTCATTAATAAATCTTGTTTCTATCAAAATAAATAATTTTATTCAGTTTTCTAAGAATTGGTTGTAAGATTTTCATTAAAATTTTAATTTGTTTAGAGATATTTATTATTAGAATTGCATAGAAACAAATAAATTCGTTTCCTGCATTCATTTAATTTTTAATATACCTATTTAACATTCAAATGTACACAATAATTATGCTTTTCTGTATTTACTAGTTTTTTGTATGGAAATATTAATTGAGCATTGCTCGTACAATTCCTAGGTGTAAAAATTTTCGAAATTCGAATGTATGAGCAATATTCAAATCAGTTCTTCAATCATCATTTGCTTAATTTAATTATTTCATTCCTACCCAACTGCTGGAACTGTGCTATTACTCCATCAAGTAAGGAGAATTCCCTTAATTCTTCCTTAAAATCATTCATAGTTTCGAAAAGAACAGCCCGAAATTCTGGAAGAAGTGAATGATCCAATCCTGGGAACATATGATGCAAGAGATGATTCCCAAAATGTGTTAGAGACATGAAGATATTAGAATTGGCTTCTTTTCTGTCAATCACAGCACTTATTTGATAAATCCCAAAATCAAGCTCTTTGAATTCATCCCCTTCATGAACAATTGTTTTCCCATGGTGACCAGCATTGACTGAAATCGAACTAAACATGAGACTTCCAATAATTTCTATCCAATTCCAATGAATGAACAATCTTAAGAAATTCTTTACTGATATTGTGCTATCACCACCAAACAATAACATCGCTAAAGGTAGAATTAGTATCATGAAATCATGCCATACAATTCTATCTCTTTTCGAATATATGAAACCACCAACTCTGTGGGATAAAAAATCAATTAGGTTATAAATGTTTATTGTCTATCTTTAAACAAAAACTTACCGTGAAATGATGACTCTCCAAAATAAAAATCCAAATAATAAAGGAACATTTAAATAAGATTTTAAAATATCCAATTTTGTTTTATGATGAATTGGAAGCCATCGAAATCCTGGTTCGTATCCTGATATTTCCAAGTCATTTAAAGTATTTGGATATAAGTGATGCGACTGTGATTAAGAAAACAAAAGCTTAAAATTCGTGATGGGTCTCGCGTATTTTGAAAGCTTACAAATGCATGAAAAACTCTCCATTCCCTCATATTTACTCCGATTAAGGCAGATAAATACATTCTCCAGTTATTTCTTACATGAATGAAGTTATGAGATGTTCCCATAAGAGTTACACAACTAAGAGGCGCTAGAATACCGAAGATGACTTTTATGCTTTGAATTCCTCTCATTCTTACAAACATTAGCGATGCGAAAAAGTACAAAAAAAGATTTAAATCAGAAATAATCTTCGATTTCCATAAAGAGCTTTTATCCATATTCTCATAAACTTTTGTAGCACGACGTTTCAAAGTTCGATAAAAACCATCATCTTTAAAGGTAAATTTGTAGTTACGTGGTAACTCTGCATCTTTCACAAAATATTTTTGTAAAATATTTGAAGCATTTTCAGTCAAATGATATGCTTCAAAAGCTTCTGTGATATCTAAGCCCTTGAATATACATCAGTCAGTATGTGAATGCAAAAAGTATGATTTTAAATTTTATTCCTTGAATTTACATACCTTAGTGAGAGTCAACCACTCACTTCCACCAGGATGAGCAGTTACAAATTTTTTTAAATCGTACAATTTATCATGAACCCGCCATAACCCTTCGGCATTATCATCCATTTGCCTTCCTTCTATCCATTTCCAACTACCATTGACGAAATCATCTCGATATGTTGGATATTTTCTAAGAATTGTTGTATGTTTATTTTGACCATCTTCAGACATTTTCACTATTTTTGAATAAGTTGAATTAAGTTATTAGTTTATTTCATAATAATAAAAAGAAAGTTATGTAATAACAACCCCGAAACATGTCGTACCATGTCGCACAATTTTCCCATAAGCTGATAAAGTTTTCAGGAAAATATATATCTACAGTGGACTTTCTGTATAAGAATTCTCCTTATAAGTAAAAAGCTCTTTATAAGCCACACACTCATTTTAAGAAGTAATGTTCAAAAAAGTTCTTTATAGGAAGAAGCTCTTTATAGGTGACTCCCTTCAAAATTCTTATAAAAAAAGTTCACTCTACACGACTTAAATATCAGTTGATTCAAAAAATATCCCGATTACCATACTTTTTTTCAATTACAATCCTGAATCAATTATTATCTTAAAAAAATTCAATTAAATTTAAAACAAATCTCAAATTAATATATCGAATAAAGCTCTATGAAGGCCGGTGCTTAATACAAAACGTTCTCCGACTGTGAAGCAAGTTAACTTTAATCACATTCAGAAATGCTAATTTTATTATTTAAACTGATTCATACATTATTCATAATAGATATATGTAGATTATGCCACTAAGGCATTAAAAAACGAATTTTTATTGCCTCTTTCCGACCAGCTTCGTTTTTATTTTAATCATCCGACCAGTTTCGTTTTCATCAGCCAAAACTTGTTAGTAAGTAAGTATTTATTAATATTACCAAAATGGTATTTTTCTTTTCGTGATGTTACAATAAATTTCTATTTGTTGAAAATATAATTTTTGAGTTTTTGCAATTTCATTTTATAGACTTCACAGTCTTTATCCCAAACCGCGTGATTAGCGTTGAAATCTAGTTTTAATCTCTCATTGGTATCTAAACAATTTATACATTTTGATTCCTTCCCATGTAATTCATCGTCATGTTTTATTAGTGAGTGATTTTTAGAACATTTGGGGCAACATTCTTCTTCTTCTTTGCAAACCGAACCTCTATGAGCATATCGACTGCATTTGTAGCATCTCATTGGTGATATTCCATCCACAACATTGCAACGACTCCAGCTAATATTGATATTTTTGGCTTCTATTAATTTATGATAAGTTTCTTTATCACAGTCGATCCATATAGTCTTCAAGTTTGTATCCTGCTTCTTTTGACTCACTTTTTTTACACTAATGTAGTTTTTATCAGAAATTAGTGATAGATTTTGTGCGCGCATTAACTCCTCCAATTTTTGATAACTGAGATTTTTATCATCGTACAATCCGAAAATCTTCAATGTTGGTTTTTTTGTCTCATTTATTTCGACATTAAAATTGCTTCCTAATTTCTTTTTAATTTCAGTTTCAATTTTATTTTCATCATCTAGGTAGCACTTGAATGTTACTCCACCGGTTGAAGTTGATCTCATATTGCTAGGTTGTAATTTATGTGGATCTATTGAATTTCGTACTTTCTGTAAAGTATTAATATTTTTGCTGTTTCTTCCATTTTTTACATCGATCTTAACGATTTTGGCGTATGACATCTGTGTTGTAGAATTATTGTCTCCTTTTATTTTTACTTCCTCTTCTTCATCTTTGTTTTCAAAAACTTTCAATTCAATCTGTGTCATTTTTATCATCAACTTTTGCAATTTTTGATCTATTTCATCAATGGCAGTCTCCACAGGATTTGATTGATATTTAATTTTAGCTTCTTTACATGATTCACAAACAAAATATAGATTATTATTTCTCACTGCTTGTATAACCATCTGAGGCAAGAAAAAATGTTCCGCTTTGTCACTAGGATAAGAGACAAAGCATTTGATGTGTTTATTCTCTCCACAGAAGAGACAATCAACTCCTTCATTGTCTTTGTAAAATTTCTCACAATTGTTACATTTCTCGGGCATTTTGTTAAAATTTTAATTCACGATATTTCATTGGATATCACAAAAATCCTTCGGAATTCTGTTTGTTATGTTATTTTATTATCTTATACTTTGATATTAGCGAACTGTTTAAATTAATTTAACATTCTTCAATCAATTCGTTTTTAATTTTTTGGAAACAACTCTTCACCATTCAAGCGCTCTCTCGCTTCCGTTGTTAAGCTAACATATTGAAGGCAACAAACAAATCTGCATGTTAAATTTCTTGGTCAAGTTCATATTATTTAGTTATTTAAAAATATTCAGACACATGGGCTATCACATCTAAAATCTTTTGATTAATGCAATGTTTTTCCGATCGAAAATGCACATTCGCGAATCCTCATTTCTTTCTTTTCTTCTCCTATATTCTCTCAGCTGCAAAATTCCGTTGTATATGTGAATAAACTTTATTGTGTCATTCCTTCTGTTGCCAGTTTTGTTGCAACATCTCTAAAACATTCAGGTGAGACATGTTGCTTCTTCCATCAAGAATTTTAACAATTTTAAAGTCAAACAGATGATTAAATTCTGGTTTTACTGATTTATTCAATAAATCAGTTTCGTAAATGATGTCCGCATTAACAAGTCTCTCAATATATTTTTATATGAAGTCAGTTATGATTGGAAGATTTGTAATTTTTTATTCTGATCATTCATTAAGAATAAAATAAATTTAGCATAGAATTTGATGAAAAAAAGATGAGATATTTAGGTAACAACAAATGGCATGGAGTTTCAAAATTTTAGCAATTATGTATGTGAGAAAACAAGTTTCCAAAAAAATTGACAAATCGCATCTTAAGCAACAACAATTTGCAAGCGATACAACAAGTGAATGTCACAATTTCGGTAAAATATTTTGTCAAGTGATTCTGTGTGGCAGTGAGAATATAAAAAGATTATTAAGAAGAAAATTCCAAGCATAAGTTTCAGCTTCGAACCTCACAATAAAATTAAACAACTCGTCTCGAAAGTGAAAGATAAGATTCTAGATGGCAAAAGGAAGAATTTGATATACAATATTGATTGCCAGTGTGGAAGCTGTTATGTTGGTCAAACCTCTCGTCAATTGAAACAAAGAATCTCTGTGCATGAAGGTGGTTGCAGAAATTTGAATAGACTTGCTAATGCGGAAATCATAAACGNTGTATCAGTTCGTTTATTGACAGTGTTGTTGGCTTTTATATGTAACATTTCCAAAATATTTAATTGTGATTTCAAATTTGCAGAATCCAATACTTCAACCGCATCAAAATCAAAACGATGATTGGTTTCAGACACATGTTTTACTAACGCCGATTTACTGATTGCTTCGATTAACAACTCTGCCTTACTTCTCGGATCTGAGAACAATTTGTCAAACGTGCTAACAGTTGTTTTGTGTTGTAAATGAAAATTAATGTCGCCTTAGGTTTATTGAAATGAATGGAATGTTTCTCTAATAATGGACAATTTATTCCAAGCTTCCGCAAATTGATGAGAGAGAATGATTTTCCTTCAAACATCATCAACAGAATCGTCATTAATAACCACAACATTCAAAGTAATCGACCAATAACAACTAACACCAACAAAAAATTTTGCAGCATGACATATGTATCAAACATTTCAGAAAGTATTTCCAAGCTAATAAGAATCAAAACTGATGACGTCGAATTAGCATTTAAGCCACAAAATAAAGTCAGCAAATTTTTCACGAAACTGAAAGATAAAAAGAATATTTTGGAGTCTAAAAATGTTATTTACAAGATTCCTTGCGAATGTGGATCATGTTACATTGGACAAACAACACAAACACTAAAGAAAAGAGTTTCACAACACAAAACAACTGTTAGCACGTTTGACAAATTGTTCTCAGTTCCGAGAAGTAAGGCAGAGTTGTTAATCGAAGCAATCAGTAAGTCGGCGTTAGTAAAACATGTGTCTGAAACCAATCATCGTTTTGATTTTGATGCTGTTGAAGTTTTGGATTCTGCAAATTTGAAATTGTTGTAATATGTTTATCTTTTATTAATATATTACTTTATTCTTTGAGTTCTTTTTAACGAATGAATATAATTTAGTTTTCTCTAATAAGGAAAACGATCAAAAGATTGTTTTGATTAAAGAGAAAACTGAAATCAATAATAGCATTACTGAGATAATGTATGTTCTAACAGAAATCACAATTAAATATTTTTTTGGAAATGTTACATATAAAAGCCAACAACACTGTCAATAAACGAACTGATACATTCGTTCGTTAATATAAGTTGAACTCTTAATGGCGATTGGCGCAAAGTATTATTACATGCAGAATATTTTTATAAGTTTTTTCAAATAGTATTGACAAATTCTCTAACATTTCTGTAGGATTATATTAATGTTAAGTACAACTCAGATTCATTAAAAAAAATTTCATAACAATTGTAGAAGATCCTGATTATGATGACATTTTGCCACCGAAACTAGTCGATGAATAAAATTTGAGAAGAATATTTCTAAATAGTCTGAAAACCGCATTTCGTTTCACATTCATATAAAATAACATCAGACGTATCAATTATATCCTAATATGAACACTAAGATAAAAAACTTTATCATCATCAGGGTAGGGAGTGTACCAACCAGTACACTGAAGAGATTAAGAATATAGGGGTATAAACTCCATCTTGTTTCGCTCGCTATAACTCGTCATTTTATTATTGATGTTAATCATAAGAGTTTCCAAAACTACTACAGTCGAATCTCTACAAGTGGAAGCGCTTTAAGAAAAAGAGCTCCAAACGTGACTTACCTCTTCAACTGCTTTCATATAGGAAAGCAATTCTATAAGAAGAAAAGCTCCACAGTGTGGAGTCCACACATGACTACTCCCTGTATAAGCTTCACTAATAGCGATTCGACTGTATTATTGAATTGAACAAATATAGGTAATCCGTTCGAATATCTCAAAACGCGAAAATCAGGAAGAGTGGGGATATTTGGGATTTATTCCTCAATCATTCAGAGATAAAATTCTATGACGATGAGAACTCTCACCAGCCAACTCCCTGATTTCACTGTTAGATAATAAACTTAAATCACATGTTAAGATTTTTAAAAATATTCACATATCTATAATTTTTTTCCGTCCCATTCACATTCCAACAAGAAATAAAATATTAATTGAAAAAATTAGAAAAGTAATACCTTTATGGTAAATAAAACAAAAATCAATCAATCAATTAATATTCTACAGCCTTGATAAGCAAGGTTTGCTGCAAATTAAGGGTGTAAACCTGTTCATGTAGTTTGAATCAAAAATAAAATAAAATGAAGATAGTGGATAAACAAATTTTCAATGCAATTTACGAACAACTCTTGGGCCATATAGACATAAAAATGAGAACATCCTTGGGTGTACGAACGATTTCTGGTCTAATTATAAATAAAAACATATGTAGATAGATATCTAATAAGAATAAATTTATTATTGTATTCTTCATTATTTAACTTCACAAATGATGTCAACAATCAGCATCATTTTATTGAATATGCATTGTGAACCATCAATTAGCGCTGGTAACATAAACGTCGCTGCTCGATCTTAGTACATGAGAGAACTTCAAGATCTCATGTAAAGCATGTTATAAACAGATTCGCATGCATCCATTTAATGACAAACCTGCCGTGAATAGTTATGTATGTAAAGTAATAATGCATGCAAATTATTGCTTGTGTTGCTTAGCAACCATGATCAGCTGTTTTTTGTTTACAGTTTTTAACACCATCTGTTGGTGGGAAAATTAAACTAAAAATATCTACTCGTACGACACGAAAAAGTAGAACTAATTTGAAATGTGTAAAAGTATTGGTGCGTAGAAGATCTACTAAAATCTACAGATTTTACATAGCCGAAATCAAAAATAATTTATTAATTAAAAGAGAATTGAAATAGCTATGGTATTAAGAAACTCATAAAAAGGTCATTGAACATCAAAATTTTTGAAAATAAACCGAATATTCCAGAAAAACGCAGATTTTATAGTGAAAAGTAAGTTTTATTTAATAACCCAAGCCAAAGATTTCAATGTTGTTTATTTTTGTCTTTTTAGATGAATAAGCGTCGAAGAACCTCTTCAGACATTGAAACTGATGACTGATGATTCAGAGCAGTTTACTGTGACACCAACAGTGAGAAAACGCAAAAAATTGGATCCTGTTAGATTTTTGAGGTTCTTTGATAGTATCGATGCAATTTTGTTGTTGTTTTTAATGGAATTGTGTCAACAATTATACGATTCAATAAGAAATATCAAGAAAGAGGATGGAACAATGTTATGCGACACATTTATACGAGCTCCGAAACGTCGACAAGAGCCAAGTTACTATGAAATTGTAACAAATCCGATTGATTTACTCAGAGTCTAGCAGAAGTTGAAGACTGATTCTTACGAGGATTTATCAGAACTGTCTAGTGACATTGAACTGCTAGTGAATAACGCTAAAGCGTTCTATAAACCTGAAAGTGATGAGTATGACGATGCGTGTACGCTTTGGGAAGTTTTCAATTCAAACAAAGCAAAAATTCTTGAAAGTCTTAGTGAAGATCCTTCATCAGTATCGTTATCGGCTGAGCTAAAGCCACGACAAACGCGAGGCATTGGTAGGCCTCGAAAGTCCACTACAGTTGATGATGATCAAACATCTGAAAATTCTTCAGAGAACAACGAATTCGATCCTTATGAGGAACTTTTTGCAGCTGTAATGACAGCAGTTGACCCACTTGATGACCGTTCATTGCATACGATGTTTAAAAGAAACATTACCCAGAATATTACGCAGTCATTGAACATCCAATCGATTTAAAATTCATTGCAAATAAAATTCAAACCAATGCTTATACAAGTCTAAATGAAATGGAAAAACATTCTCTCATTCTCACAAACAAAAGCGATGTGAAAAAGAATAGAAAAAGATTCAAATCAGAAATCAACTTCGACTTCCTTAATAATAAAGAGCTTTTATCCATATTCTCATAAACTTTTGTAGCACGACGTTTCAAAGTTCGATAAAAACCATCATCTTTAAAGGTAAATTTGTAGTTACGTGGTAACTCTGCATCTTTCACAAAATATTTTTGTAAAATATTTGATGCTTTTTCAGTCAAATGATATGCTTCAAAAGCTTCCGTGATATCTAAACCCTTGAATATACATTAGTCAGTATGTGAATGCAAAAAGTATGATTTTAAATTTTATTGTTTGAATTTACATAACTTAGTGAGAGTCAACCACTTCCACCAGGATGAGCAGTTACAAATTTTTTTAAATCGCACAATTTATCATGAACTCGCCATAACCCTTCGGCATTATCATCCATTTGCCTTCCTTCTATCCATTTCCAACTACCATTGACGAAATCATCTCGATATGTTGGATATTTTCTAAGAATTGATGCATGTTTATTTTGACCATCTTCAGACATTTTCACTATTTTTGAATAAGTTGAATTAAGTTATTAGTAGTTTATTAACCACTGCTTCCAAGTGGCAATTGGCTTACTATTCTACCACTTTAACTAACTTAAACCCCCCCCAAACTGATATCTAGACCTAATAGAATTCACCTCCACAACCTAATATTAAATCCGATGACGCCAGGTGGCGCTCCTTATAGAAGCAACAGTTTTTTTGACATTTTCGTGGTATGACTAAAATGTTTATTATGCATTTTAGACACATTGTATCTTCACGAAAAATGTTTACCAGGCAAAGTGCTATCCACCCACGCAATTCTTATTTCAATCCGATGACGGCAGGGGAAGTAATTCACTTTGAAGTGTCTACAGCCGTCAGTTTACGTTCTATGTGGGTGGACTTTTTGCAAGTGGAGGGCACGGCAATTGTCAACAAGCTCATAATAATTAAAAAAATCGGCGGGGGCGGGAAAATGGTGAAAATTTGAAATGAAAATTTTGACATCGATGTCACAAATGTCGAAGGCTCGTATTCCGTCATTTCAAAACCTATCGAATTGAAATTTTCACAGGTATTCAGATTAAGTGTGGTGGTTTTTAAAAATGCTTAAAAAGTTTTAAAAATGTTTTGTTTAAGGGGTGAAAACGTAGTTCTGCCGGAGGCTTAAAAAAATTTCAATTGCTTATTGTGCCTCTTGATTTAAACGTAGAGTGCTCAATTTTGGCAAAATGAAAGAACTTCATTAGGCCTTTGATGTGAATGGGTCAAACTTTTTTTAAAATTTAAAATGGATATTTAATTCGATAATTAAACAATTTTTTTCGATAAGCTTGATGCACAATCTCCACCTACTGGCCATTTTTTTCCTTCATTCAATACAAAGCATTAGTAAAGCAGTACAATTTGTATGGTTCACATTTTGCAGGTGGTTGTAGAATGACGATGCGGGTTCAATTCTCACAAGATTTTGGAATAAAAATATTTAATTTATAATTTTAGTTCTTTATATCTTAATTTACTTTTTATTTTTATAAAATCAAACAAATCACTCAATCACTCACGAGGAATAATTGAATGCTGTAAAAGTTGAGAAAAATAATCTTCAACAATCTGCAGTTAAAACTTCAAAAAATGAATTGGATGAACTACGACAAAATTTAATGAAAAATCAATGGAAGTTGACAATTTACAACGCCAATTGTAAGACACATTCAACAAATGTGATCAACATGAAGAAGCACTTTTCGATCGTCAATCACTAATTCAAAAACCTGAAACTGAGCAAATGAAATTCGATGTCGTAAGCAAAGCTTAAAATGGAATTCAAAGCGGATATAATCATGTCAAGCGAGAGAATGAAAAGTTGATAGTTAATTAAATCAATAGAAAGTCATTTTCCATCTGACATCGTCCATCGTAATCAACAAATTTCCAGTAGGGGAAGTGAGAATTTACAACTTTAAAATCATTTTGAGAATCTTCAAGCTGAGATGAAGCGAATGCAGAGTGTCCATGAGAAAGCCTTAGCAGCTAAGCATGCCGAGATTGATGACATGGAAACTGAGCTGAGTTTGCAACTTCAGAAGATTGAAAATGAGAAGAAAATAATTCAAGAAAGTTTAGAGAAAGCAAATCATCAGATTGTTGACTTCCAGGATGAAGTTGTGAGACTCAATGACAACATTCATTCATTGGAACAATCAATATCTGATGCCGAACGTAAACTTTATGGTTGAAGTTACAGAATGAAAATTATACGCAAGATCAACTTGAGCACGAAAAATTGCGAATGCAATTAATGCAAAGTGAAAATGAAGCTGGAAATCTTCGTTCACAAAACGAAACACTTTTTGATAATCACAATGTTGAAAAAAAAAAGTCTGTTACCGAAAGTCGGCCCCAACAATAAATATCGTGCAAAAGCCCGATATTTAAAACTCCGGCTATTATCGAGTTTCTATTTAAACAGTT